AATATCCTTTATAAAATATATTATGACAAAGCCTAACATAGAGCATACACTTAGCAACATCAATTATATTTAAATTATATGCGTTCATATTCTATATTCGACACTTAAAACTTGCGATAGATTAATAATCTTTTTTTGTTTCGCTAAAGTTAGGAGTAACTAATTCGCAAAAATTAATGAATATTATATTACAGTGAAAGAGAACTACTTGCTTGGTTCTTCTATCTTCTGATTTTTTTGGTTGATGCCAATGTTACTTTATCATACATATCACTGAGAGAGAGTATTAATTACAAATTTAGCCATATTAAATCAACAATCAAAATAAATAGTTTGTTAGAAGTAATAGTTATCTTAAATCTTATAACATAACATATCGGTTACGATCATACTTAAATTCAACAATATTAAGAAAGATAATCCCATTTTAACTTCACGTGAATTACTGATTCCCGCGGTAAGCGGTAATAAGCGGATGATAACCTTGCATATGTGTGCCAAGCCATAAATGTTGATCTGAAGAATAGAAGTTAGTTCTAAGTGAGTGAGTCCACATCCTGATATAACGAGCAGTGGACAAAGGATACTCGTTTCCATCTTTAACAACAAACAAGATTTACATGGCCATGGATTTATTTTAAGCGAGTAAGAATTCTTTCTTTTTTTTTCAATTGACGATTGCTCTTTTCATCTGAGAAGCCGATATGATCGATATATTGGAGAAGTAAAAGGTAAAGTTACGGGAATTTTTTTTAAATGAAATAATCAGTGATGTGGAAAAGTACAAATACTTGAAGGCAAACAGTTATTTCATGGTGGAAGGATAGAATTCAACCTTATAATTTTAACAACAACAAAAGATGGGTGGTTGGAAAATTCTGACTCCTGCAAAACTTTTACAAATCTTAAGACTATAGTAATGAATAGATTTGCTAAACAGTAAGCTTAACCATTGCCTTTATTTCACGAATATGAAAGAAAGTGTGAAATGGCATTTAGTGCACTGATGCATTCGAAGATTGATGACAACCTCTCAACATTCAAACAAAAAACATATATATTTGGGAAATCGTTCACAGAATTACCACTAATTATTAGTTACCAATAATTATCAATCATTTAGGATAGCGTGTTTTAATTCTACGAATAACAACAGAATTAACCAATGAATAAAGAAGGAATAACTAAATGAAACATCGATAAAACATTAGAAGGATTACCTGAGGATAGATCACTTAATTTTATTAGTAAAATAGATCGTAGTAAGTAAAAAGGGAATGAGCTAACAAGAGATCTTTGATGTTTGGTGGGTAAAGTGGATAATACAAATCTTGTTTGCACTTTCTGCACTTTCTTCATTTCATTGCTAATCTTTCCAGACGAGCTCACTTGTTATGGCCTATTTTCTCAGGCTTAAATTTTTTTATTCACCACTTACTATTTGATATGATTAGCCTAGGAAATTGTATCTATTCGGATAAAGAACTTTAATGGTAGGAAATCATAATTTTGGTTGTAAGGTATGCCAATGAACTGTAGGTCTGCTAGTAGTCATCATTTCAAGCCATTGCTTCTGGCTAGCAATACTAACTGTGAAATCGTTCAAAGATTCAAAGCGAGCCAAGTTTTATTTCACCGATAAAATCATTTTTGCTCACTTTATCATAGTCCCAAACACTGATAACCAAATGCACTTTCTGCAAAAAATTTTCATGAAAGATTAAAAAATAGTAGAATTCAATAAATTAATAACTAGTAATAGTAATTGATTGATCAAAATGTTGTTGTAGTTTATTGGAAATTGCATAATTGAAAAATATTAAATTTTAAACTAAATCGAAATGAAAACTTAATTCTAATAATTCTTGTTCCAATTTAAACTGAAAACTCTCATTGTAATAGGGATTCAATGTTTTATATTTTCGTGTTGTCTTCTTTTTCGATATCAATTTCCGACCGTTATATAAATGCATTTTGATAAATGGATCTGAAAGTTAGCGTAAAAGTTAAAGTTAAATGCAGCGATGAAGATTGTGCTTTGAAAATTCTTGAAAGTTTGAAATATTTTAATCACTAACCTGATAGACCTCCAACATCCATTTTCTTAAGATTTCGAGCTTCCATAATTGTTACAGTTAAAATCATTGTACTTGGCCGATATCGTAAAGAGAAACAAAGATCACCGAGTCTTGAGTCCTAAAATTTTATGAGATCCTCAAATATGACTCAAATGTTGGCCTATCTTATTCTTTCATTCAAACTATTTTTTGTATTTTATAAAACTTGAATTATCCTAAGCAAATATCTATCTTAAGGCTTAAGATTTAAAACTGTAAACACACTGAGTTAGCTTCGTGTTCTGGTGGATTCAATCGAGACCATTCTTCCACAGTAATACCAAAATCGACTTTTTCCAGTGGTATTGATAATTGACCAATTCGATCATCCTTTTTTAATCGATCAAAATCATACACAATCAATTGAAGTGTCTTACGTTGAAGTTCCGCAAATGCTATCTGTAAGTGTAACGTTTACAGGTGGAAAATTAAAATGAAAAATACGGTAAGATAGGATTTAAAGAATTTTAAAATATTTTCAAAACAATTAATATTATTATTTTCTTTAGAAAGATATAATTTTAATGATATTAGAGAAAGAAGTTATGTTGAAAAAAAAGATTAAATAATAACTCACATTAAAGGCGAATATTTCATTAAAAGTGGGATTTAAACATTTTCGTTTAATTTTTGTTTCAAATTTTGGCTTTCCTTCTGGTAGCAAATATAGTTTTACATATGGATCTGACATTCCGTTTCGATCCATTGCTGCCAGTCTTTTACATTCAAAAATTGTCACTGCTAGCTGCAATAAAAGATTTTAAGTGAGAAATATTTACAATAATTTAAATATATATTACTTTTTGTGTTTTACCATTACCATAAAATAGTTTGATTGATCATTCATATAAGTTATAAAAAGTAAATTACTTTGCTTCTTTGCTTTATGCAAATGAATAAAAGTAATAGATTTTCTATGTTTCTTCATGAATCTAACAATAACACAATAATGTTAATCGATTACTCGAAATAATTGCTTACAGTTTTAATTTATTAGTGTAATTAGTTTTGCATATAATAAAAATCTAACTTTATTATTTCCAAAATCATAGTCTAATTTGTAATGAATTTCACCAAAAAATGATAAATCATTGGCAATATTTGGTGAAATATCTGATTGTATAGGAAATTCATTTGATATGCTTGGCACTAACTCATTGATAATTGCATTATGCATAATGCGCTGGAAATATTTTAAAATAATGACAGCCGTAGAAGTTATCCGGGAAAATATTCATTAAACTTTATGATAATAAATAAAAATACGAATAGAAAAAATATGGACAAAAAGAAAAAGAAATTCTTTTAAATTATATTTCTTGAGAAGATGAACAAAAGATATAAAATTGAATTTTTCTAATTGGAATCTTTTGTTTAAGGGGAAAGTTAAAAGACAAAGAAAAAGCGTAGAAAGAAAAAAATACGGTAAAACTAACGGTGTGTGACTTCGATCGCCTGGGGCAACAAGGGAATAACCGAAATATCGATGAATATAGCGCTATTAGACTTCCCCACATTATTAGTATTTATGCTTATTATTATTTTTAATTGGCAGCTATCATCAGTACAAAATATGAAAATAGCTTTTATGCATTAAAAGAGAAGAAATATAACTTTGCAAATTTATATTTAATTAGAAAATAAAATGAAACGTTAAGCTATTTTTAATTTGTTTTAAATTTGTTGGAAATTGAAAAAAATTCAGAAGAAATTTTTAATAATTCATCATTTAATGATTGATTTAGTTTGAAGAAATGTTGTAAATGCATCTCAAATAATGATAGGCTTTTACGTGCAGACAGCGTTACTTAAACTTACCTTTGTCATTTGCAAATTTTGCAAGAATGAAATTTAAATTTTTTTATGAAGCATAATTTGAAATATAAATTTATTATATCATCCAAATTTGATTATTTCATTTCACCTGGAAAGTTAAACAATAACAAATTAACTTTTAGCATCAGTTCTTCCAAAAACTAAAAGATTTATAAGACGCATTTGAACAAAGAGGAAATTAATTTGTTAACTTATTTATTCATAAAAATTCTTTTATCATTCGATTTTTCAATTATTTATTAAACTTAGAGCTTCAATTTTAAATGTTTGTTTGTTTTATTCAGTGAAAACAATTTCTGCCTAAACTATTTAAATTTTGTAAGAGTTTCTACGAATGGAAATTATTTCTTCAAGATTAACTAAACTTTTCAAATATCAGTCTATCTTCTGAAACTTTTGTGGTTTTGATGAATGAGGAACGGTAATGCAAGATTGCATTCCTAACTAAACTTTAAATATGGTATGCCTAATTAAGGAGGGAAAACATATAGTAAAGAGAAATAATTATAGCGCCATTATTCCAAAGGATGATAAACCGGAAAAAAAAATATTATTGTAATAAAATTTTCAAGATTCCTAAACAAATCAAAAACCTATTTTCATGAAGTATAAGTCTATGGTAGACATTGAAAGGAAGGGCTGACTTATTGAAAGGGACTGTACCATTGATGCCAACCATCCATTTAATATTTTTAAAATCTATGGGAATTGAAAATAGCCTAATAGATATTTGCTTCTAAAAGTTATATAAATATATGCGTACAATAGATTACGTTCCATATTTCATGTAATTAGTACATATATTTTTGGGGAAAATGCGATCGGAGGAGTCATGATACTATAACATTAATGGAAATGGAAATGATTAAACTTCTTAATCTAAAATGAAGATATTATTGGAAAAGCAATAAATTTCACCAAAAGGAATAACAATTAAAGAGTGAACGATTTTTAAATTTTCTTGAATTTTAGATTGAAAATTAAGTGTAATTTAAGTATTTGTCAATTACAATAATTTGCTACTTGTAATCATGAAAGCCTGCATAAATTCATTGGTTCAAATTCAGGTTAGAGTCTTATTGGTTGATATCATCGATTTTGATAGATGAGATTGACATTTGAATGCTCCTGTAAATGTTTTCAGGACCAAGCAGTTATGATAGTTACAGCTCAGATCATTGATTAATGGAAAAAAAAAACAGAGTAGATAAGGCGCTATTCAGCTAAGAGGTGGTAATAATAAAAAAAGCCGCAAAGATATGTGCAAGAAGTATTAGAAGTATTAATAAGTGAGAAGAAATAGAGAGGGAAAAGAATCATTGATAGATATATGCAACAATGAATAGATTTTTAAATTATCACTAATGATTTATAAAGATTTAAAATGAGAGCCTAATCGGTTAGAGGAAGTAATTTACTTTATTTCGTATTTTATCATTATTATCACTAACAACAATTATCTTCTAAATGAAGTATGAAAAAATTCCATATATGAGATTGTTAATCATTGAGAAATTGTATATCACATTTATATGAGAAAATAGGAAAGTATTATTGACAAAATGGAAATAAAATAAAATGCAAGCTGTATAAGCAAAAATGAAAATCCCTTCCAACTATTTTAATTTCTTTTTTTGTTTTTGTTATTGTTGCAAAAATGCAAATTAAATGAGAGAAATGAGCACAAATTAATTCTGCACTACGGTAATTTCATATAGGCAAATAATTTTGATTCGACCAAATTAAGTTTTTACATTCGACTTATATATATATTTATTTCAGCGATAAGTTTGCTATCATCTTGCAACTTCATTATCACTCAGACTCTTTCTTTTCTTCAATGGAAGTTTTTCCTTCTTTAGCTATATGATTATTTTGAATGTGATTTATTTAAAATATCAATCGATCATTTCATCATTATTGCTTTCCATTTTACATCTTAATATGTAACAGTCATTGTTCTGAATATTTCTTTTAATGAAAATGTGATATTTAATTGTTTAAAATCGAAAAACATATCAATATTTCATCATATTATCTTTGTCTTCAACTTCCACTTTATTTTCATCGAATAAAGAAAATGTAAGGAATTTTATGTTAGTAATTAAAAATTGAAAATTTTTACATTTGCATTTATGAGATAAAAGTTGTGCGATTATAAATTAAACTTTTAAATTCGTCTGAGATTTTCTTCTAATCCACTTTTTCCTTTAATGGACGGAAGGAAGAGAATAATAGATAGATTAGAGTAGGAGGTTGAATTTTTGATTCGTTAAATTTATTTGGATCATATGGTCGACCTTCTTTTTTAACTATTTCAAATTATCAGTTCAGTTTTAACAATCCATAAAATATTTGTTTGCATTATACTGCAAAATCCCACAGCCCTTATCTTCATTCCTCATTTTGTTTAATTATTCACATGAATTTCTACTTCATTTTTCCATTTAAATTGAATTCGTTTCAAAACGACAAGCAGAGAAACATGAAAGGGTTCATGAAAATATGGAACAACTCCGGCAGTGCTGCCAGGTAACTAAATTAAATATTGATGTCGAAGACAGTTGAAAAGTTCAAGTGCACCTGTATAAAAAACTAAATAGAAGAGAGCTGCCTGAGAAGGTTTATCATCAATAACACATCTCGCAAAGGTTTGCACATCGCGCAGAATGACGTGGACCGCTATTCTGAGATTTAATTTTGTTTCTGAATAGAGGCTACTTGGGGAAAAAATCAGACATAGTTTGAAGTATCTCTTTTTCTGCATGAAATAAAAATTTCAACTCCAATTCAAAATTTTAAATTAATGAATGGCTAATTTCCAAAAAAATTTTAACTTTTTGAAACAGGTAAACAATTGTTTAGATAAATTGATGATGCATTATGATTAACAGCAAATGGATAATAGAGACATAATTCAACTAAGCATAATTAAAAGTCTCAAAATCACTTCAAGAATTGCATCCGAAATCACATCAAATCCGTTGAAATTAACTTCTAGTTTTACAGTTTCATAATTGAGTTATTAGAATTGTAAAAGCTGATCTTCGTATTGTTTCATGAAACATTCACCAACAGGAAAGAATTCCCAATCACGATTATCGTATTTTTCCCGCACGTATGTCTCTTGTCCGGTATATTCCGTTTCATCTTTGTTCACCAAATGTTGAAGGAAAAAGCTGAAAAGTCTTTAATAACTAATAGCTAATAGATAAAACTTGTTAAATTAATAGAAATAATACTATTTCAACCTACTAGATGAATCCATTTACATATTTGGCGTTCATACATTTTCAGAAAGAATCACTGCAATTCCTTCTTTTTATTATAGCAGCTAATCTTGAAAGAAAGAGAGGGAGAGAAAAAACTTACAGATAATTAGCAAAATTGTGCTCCTTAGAGGTATGTATCTCGAAACCACGTGGCAATCGATCAAATGTTTCCTTACCAATATCACAAATAAAACACGATGATTCCAATTTCTCAGTTGCTGATTCCTGTTGATCACGTAATTCACCGAATGCATCAATAATTAAACCTGAAATGGGATAAAACTTCTATTAAATTTGGTATCTCCAATCTAAATATCCATTGATTTGAAATAGTCGACCCTTTATAAAGGCTTCTTTTCTAGATGAAAAAATAATATTACCTTGCATAATGGCAAGTAAAATAATGATAACGAAGAAGAAGAAGGAAATATCATAAAGCATTCGCCAGTATTCCAAATCATCACCGTAAGGAGATTCCAACTCATCACCAATACCGCCACCTGCGCGTACTCCTGCGTAGAAATGATAAATGAAACACTGAAATGATCGATTTTACTGTTTTTTCGGAAAAAAAGAGGCAACTTCCTAACATCAAATCGTTCCTGAATCCATTTTGAGCCGTCTTATTAGTTATTATTGTTTTCAAACTTCATGGACTTTTTGGCTTATATAAAACACACGCAAATTGATGATTTTCGACAACAAAATAATCATTTCTTTTAAAATTTCATACAAATATTAACTTCAAAATGATGATATTAATAAGAGTAAAATAAAATAATTAATTAACCGTCAACATATTGTGACATTTTCGATCCGGTGGTTCTTCACCTTCACCTTCTTGCACGTAAAACTTGCGAAAGAAATTGAACGCCAGGACAGTATATAAATAGACAACCACTAATGTCATCATAATTGTCAAAATTAACTAAAATAAATTAACAATCAATTAACTTGTCTAATTTTCAACCCGCTCGTACCTGTACATCCAAAAAATTGGATTCATTTTTTAATTGAATAAATTTTTATTAACAAAATTCGTCTATAACAGTTTATTAGAATTAAAAGAGTTTCAGCAGAACAGACAACTGTCTCCATGCTATGCATTTATAGCTAAAGCATCATTTTTTAAAATTAGGTTAGAAAAATTCAAGCTCAACGATCCTTATACATATTTTACATCATCCAACTCACATTGTTATTTGCTATATTTCAATCTTTCTCTATATATTATCAGTGGGTTTTAATTTTGAGGATTTTCAAAAAATAAAATTGCTGAATAGAAACTAATTACCTGTTGTAAATTATGAGTAACAGATTGCAAAATAGCTTTCAACATGGGAAAAGAGAGTACCACATCAATCAGATGAAAGGCATAAAAGAAAGGAGAAATGAAGACACCAAGTGCTGAGCAAAGTAAATAGTGGACACGATATAAGAATTGCCCATTGGTCAAAATCACTCCAAGCCATAGCCAACATGCATATCTGAAAAAAGAAAGAAAGTTATGACATTTCTGATTCTTGTTTTTTTTTTTATAACTATTACCTCGATAACATGAAGGAAAAAATTATGTTTTTGATTTCAAATCAAAACAGTTTTTCATGAGGTAGAAAAAAGGGACTGAAAGATATATTCTTTTTATAATTTATGCAGTTTTTATTATAATTTACGAACAATTTACGTTTACAACTTGAATTACATTTCAAGGAATAAAAATAAAAGTTATGTAATTAAAGCGAGTGAAAAAAAGAACTATGAAGAATAGACTTCCTTTTTATGCTTACCTGTAATCAAAGGAAGTATCAGTTGCCGGTTTATCTTCACCTAATATTGTAATTAACGTTTCTTCATCAATCTGATCACGGAATTTATGTTTCGTCTTCCGGCGAACAAATTTATCCCAATATTTCATAGGAAATGATTTTGAACTGATAACAATACGATCGATGTACCTGTGAAAAAAAAGATACTTCAAACTTAGTGCTACAACTCTTTTTTAACATAAATTTATGCAAAATTTCACGCATATTGCGGAAGAGATATAAGAATGGTAAAAATATTTTACCAAAAGACAGTATTAGTCAAACTTCTTTCTTCATCATCATCCTCAGTAAGCCAACAGCCGGCAAACATCAAACGACGTGCAACTTCCTTCTCACGCTTGAAAGTTATGAGCGGAATCTGAAAATTTAAATTCGAATATTGATAGAATACTTAAGATTTGAACAGAATTCAAAAAATCATGATTTAATCATAAAAATAATGATAAAGTATCTATGCACGTTCAAGAAGCAGTAATTGATTGTTGAAAAATTTTTAAACAATTAATTATGATCTATCCAAGTTAATAAACAACCAACTAAGAAAGATTGATAATATTCGAATTGGAAATAAAATGAACGTTTGAAATTTATAGAATTAAAGATAACCTTTAATTGATAAAATGACACCAATAAAGCAAATGATGCAACAGCATGCAAAACACTAATCCAGTAGAGTAACTAAAGAAGAATTTTAATTTTAGCATAATGATTTAAAAATTAAAAAACATTAATTGATGGAAGAAATTTTAAGACACTTTTTTCTTTTCTTTTCTTTGTTAATTTTAAAGATCCCAATCGAAAAAAAGACTAAATCATTAGTAATGCTAGTACAATCTTACTACTTGTAATCTTTGAACAGTTTAATTAATTTCAATGAGAATGGGAATCTAACATTCTATATGCGCTAGCATCATTTATGCTACACTTAGCTTCAAATATCTTCCAGTTAAAAATAAAAATAAAAACCTGTGACAACATCCATCCGGTCACCTCATATGATGTGTACGGTAATATCACACCACTGATATAAACTGATTCTGTATCTTCATCTATATAATATAAATGATACCTTCACATCATGCAATTTTCTCTAACAATTTAATCTTTTATTGATTTACTATATTTATAGACATTTATTAATATATTTAAACAGATCAGTGTTACCTACCAATTTCATCTTCTGATGTTACGATATCCGAAATTCGTATTCGATGAAAAAGCAAAATAACGTTGATGAAGAAAGCTAAATATAGTGTGGTTTTTTCGATTGTCTTGAAATTACGAGCCAACATATTCTGAAAAGTTAAGATAAAAAATGAATGAATCAGGAGATGTTAACAATCATAGCAAAAATACATATACGAAATATTATCTTAGAATTGTCCTATCTATCTTGGAATAATTCCATGAAATCAAAAGTAATCTAATTCACTTGTTTAATAAACCATTATTAAATTAGCATATTTTAAACTCTAAAGAAAAAAAGCAATTGAAATAAATTTACAAGTAATGATCCTCGACTACGTGGCGGAATTTGTTCAGCGATTTTTGGCTCATAATAATCGGTAACACCATATTCTGATATTGTTGATGAAGTTATTTGATTGTAATGAGCAGCAGTAGGGTTTTGGGTTTCATATAAGCTAGAATAAATCAATTTTTGATTATAAACTGGTAGCCATAAGCTATAGACATCTTTTTTGAAAAATGATGAACAAAGAAATTCCATAACGAAATGAAACGACTCACCTCGGTTGTACAGTCACAGATGGTTTCAAAACAGTTTCTGATTGTTGAACTGGTGTCGCTGCATTTGTAACTAAATTTTTTTTTTCAAAAAATAATTTAATAATCAGAAAAAAGGTATCATCCTTTATTATTATAAAATAGTTGCGCATTTGTTTTTTCAAATATATTCCTAATAACAATCGACAAAATATTCATTCAATTAAATTCATTAATTACCTATCAAACAAATCATTATGCTTCCTCGATTAGTATATTTTCACTTGTTTGTTCTTCAATCTCATAGAAATCAAAGATACTGTAATTTTACAGCATCTCTGATTTCTAGGTTGATTGTAAGAAATGAAAACGATATATTTATATACCAGTGATTAATTACTCGATAATAAATAATCAGTGACAAACTATGAATACTTAAGCAAACAAACCTTCGATTTTTGATTGAGATGTTGCTGATGCCTGAGGATCAGTGGATGGCAGACGCACGCCAAATACGTCGTAATTACATGAACGCTGATACTGTGGAAAAGATGGCCAAACTGGAGAGGCATATTGCATGCCAACGCTGAAAATACATCTATTAATTATAACATAGGGATAGATTATTACACTTTAAATATCAAATTTATTTTTATCAAATGATTCTAAAAATGCTGATATATTCACATATCACAAATAATACCTTTCAGGCATTGGTAATGCAACTTGTTCCATCTCTAATTCATCATGATCCGGTGTCATCAAATAATAACCAAATCGGAAGAATGTACAGATAGTCAGGTATATGAACATTGCTACTTTCATTGAGATTTTTACTGATAGAGTAATAACAGCAAATATTAGCTGTGCCCATGTCATTGACCTAAAATTTCCATATGAAAATTTAGGTTATTGATTTACAAATATAATTATATATTTCAAAAATATTTCAAATCAGCGATTTATAATACTTTTGCAACAAACAGTATAACATGTTATTTGGGGTTTTGCTAAACTTCTGTATTATCATTAATATCTGAAAAGATTATTTCTATTGAAGAAAAATAATTTTTCAGAATATAAATTTATAAAAATCTAACCTAAGAGTAGCATTAGCTGTTTTGAATATTTTCTTTACATTTGCTGGCTTTAGAGCATTTGCTGCATTAATTCCATAGCTAAATCCAGTTTTGAAAGTTGCCGAAATTTGTCTAAAAATGAAAAAAAATTTTTTGATTTTAATTTTACATTAAATTTTAATTACATTGTATAGTGGATGAAGCTAAAGGAAAACACAAAATACGAATTGTTCCGATGAAGAAAATCTTAACCGACTAGAAATTTACATCCAACATTTAGATCTTTGATTTCAAGTATATTAGATTGAATCGTAAAATGATAGAAGAATTGATAAAAATTTGAATAAAAATTACAATTCGTTTACAACAGATTAAATTACATACGAGCCAGCTGAAGTTTGTTGTAAGAAATAATCACGTTGTTTCTTTGCTCGTTCAATTTTTGAATCTGCCGCATCGCCAGCACTAATTTCTGCTGCATGCTGCATCTAAATTTGATTCCTCAATTCTAGAGTTATTATGCAAAAAATGTTTAGAATATTAAATAGTGAGAAGCAAGAATATTATTTGAAAATCAAATTGAAAATCACGACTACTTGGAAATCAAACTGTGAGAATTTTGTAACAAATAGGAAGACGAGGAACAAATTTGAAAGTTGCATAAAAGAAACCTCAAAAATAGTATCTTCACAAAAATTAATAAATGCTTCCAGTTTTCCTTGATCTCCACCATCATCTTGGAGTACGTTAAAAAGGAAAGAATTCTTGGAATCTCTGTAAAACAATTACAGTTTTTATTTGCTCATAAATATAAAATGTTACAGTTAAAGAAATAAAAAAACAATAGAAATAGGTTTTTTTGAATTTTTGAAATCTAAAAAGCTTTTATTTCAATCTCGCCAGAAAATAAAAATTTACCAAATTCCAATAATATAAATAATTTTGTATTTAATTTCCTCCTTGTAAAATTTTTCTTTATAATTTTTACGTGAAACCAATTAAAACCCTTCAACAATTCTAATTATTTAATTCAAAAACTAGCCTTATTTGTTGTTTACTCCATTGTTCCAACCATGACTCTTGAATTTCAAAATAGATCTTCTCTACTTTCTTACTGGAACCCATTATCTCAATTCGGCCCAAATAAGGGTCGAAATATTCTAACAAACTGCTAGCTTGTTTGATTATTTTTTCCAGACGTGGATCACTTGTAATATGCTCTTTGAGATTTGTAAGCAATACAGCCACGTTGAAACCTAATTGTTTTAGAAAGTTACTAAGTTTTACTTATAGTGTTTAGAATGGTTTCTGCTTTTCAGTATTCAAACTCTCGAAATTTAATCAGCACCTAACCCATTCAGATGTTTCATGTTCAATCATGTTCAATCTTATTAAAATTGTGAAAAAATAATGAAAAAACAGATATGAATGAATGTGAAATTTTCACCAGTAGTAACTACCATCGAAATTTTGAGCAGTAAGATTTAGCTGAGTAATAATCTTCATAGAATGAATGCTCATAAACAAAAGCATCCAATATATTCAGTAGCAAAGAATCGAATATCACAAACCGATATCTCGAGCGGGATTGTGGAAACGTTCCGTAAATTCCATATAATCCACTTTACCATCATTATTCACATCTGTACACATCATCAAATATGTTATTTCCTCACTGAAACATTTTGAGGATTTTTTTGGCGAACTAAGATGAAATATGAAGTTAGCTAATTAATTGCGCTAATAATGTTAAGCTTAATTAATCAGCTAAATTTACATTTTTTTGGACAGCCAGCAACACTTTCCAAATCTCAGCTTAAAAACTCCAAAATAACAGCTATATATTCAGTTCGTTACTGAATCTGATTTTTATCCATAAGTTTCTGATTTCATAGTACATCCATTTTGAATATTGAAAGATATTTTAAACCATTTCAAAAGTTAAAAAATGAATTAACTTCAATACTAAGAATATATTTTTAATTCATATAACTAAACTTCCATCAATACTTTGAAAAACTTACACAGAATACATTTTCTGACTTTCCATAGCACGTTGAAATTCTTTAGGTGAAATCCAACCATCACGGTTGGTATCGAAGTCTTGGAATGCTTGTGACGTTGTCAAATCTTTTAATTTCAAGAACATATCCGAAAATTTCAATATCATTTCTACATTTTGCTCACTTTCAACTAATGCATCAACCATCTGTTTACCAATTGATCCATTAAGCACATTTCCTGGAAATTTTATAATTAATATTGATTTAACGAGAAAAAAATTTTCAAACTCGAGTGGCATATTATATTTATTTCATATTGCAGATTTTTTCTATCTCTAATCATTTACTGAAAAAATTTCGAAATACTTCTACGTTTTTTATCCTTTGATAGAAACAAGCAACCAAAATTTTAATAACTACTATTTCGTTATATCATATCAATATCCTATCACCTTTATAAATTCAAAAAGAAATATACCTTCAAGCATGGATAACATTAACACAATCATATCCTTTTGTAAATTTAAGAATTCTCTTAATAGTTCCAATTGTGTGCTGTTTTTGTATAATTTTTCCATCATATGTGCGAAGAGAAAGAAGAATCCATTGATGGCATCCCACAAACGAGAATTCGCAAGTGTCATCTGATTTCCAGTACATGGACCCTCAAAATTCATTTATCATTTTTTCTATTTTCTAAATTCTTCTATAATACATATTACTCAATTGCTATCTAACACACTCACAAATTTTTCTTCTTGTTAATTTACAAAACTTCAGTAAATGTTTAATTAATACGATGAATTTCTTTCGATTTATTTCATTTCAGAAAAAAAAGTAATAAAGAGTAGTAACTAGTTACCTGTATACTTTCAGTAAGTGTATTAAATACTTGACTGCATACATTAATAGCTCGTAGGAAATATTCTTTACCACTCTCATCAATTACATCTTTACTTGAATAGTGCCAATAGAAGTCCATCACCGATTCTTGCAATCTTAGCAAATAATCAACAGTGCAATTGATCAGATTTACGCTTGTCGTATGTCCTGGTTGAGCTCGAAGATAATTTTGAAATTCTAAAGAAATTACTTTTTTTAATAGTGGTTAAACTGTTTTTCAAATGCAAAATATATTTAATAGCTCAAGAATTCACAATCGATCCACAAGTAATAGTTTGCGAATATACGGAAATCGACTCAATTCTTGAGGATAATACTCTTCTTAAAGGCTTACTTCTTCGTCCCTCTAAATTATTTAATTCAAATTAATGATCATTACATTGCAGATGAAATGACTAACTTAAAATATTACCTAAATTATGTCCTTCGCAGGTTAGCTGTAAGAATCGGAAAAGGCTACATGTAAATTCAGAATCATTTAGATTCTGATTAGCAGCAGCGGCTAATTCAGCACCCATACCAAGACCTTCAGCCTGTAATTAAATTTTTTAGATGAAAAGATTGAAGAAACAAGAAATAATTAGAGAAGAGTAAACCTTAATTTGGCGTTCGAACATTTCAAGATTCAGCACACTGCATTTATTCATCAAACCAGCTAATGATGTAAAGAAGCGAACATCCTTCTTCAATTGCAAGTAATTGATCAGCATCTGCAATGATCGTACAAAAACCTATCATTACAATAAGGTAATTTATCATATTTTGTAGTTCTTTCATTTTTTGGTTACCTGTTTGTTTAATTGATATTTGAAGCTATAATTATCACTTTTGAACACGTACACTCAGTTGTAATTTCAAATTGCAGATTGATAATTAGTTACAATTGATTAAATGTTACTATTTGAATTTGATGAACACCTGATGGCGAGCATTTACTTGATGTCTTATTGTTTATAGTACCCTTAAATCAAGCGCAGGTTTAATACATCAAAATAGCTATTCGCTAATTTTACACATCGATCGGTATTATTTTTATCTAATAATTTCTTAAAATAATTTGGAACATAAGTAGATGAAACCTCTTGGATTTTACTATTTCCGCCACTGAGAAGATGTATGCCAAGTTGTAGAGCTTCTGCTACCATATCGCTTGGTTCACCATTACTAGCAGATAAATACATAAGACACATTATTGCTGCCCCGCGATCTGCCAGAACTGCTTGTTCTGCTCGAAGTGCTTGCGATATTTCTTCTTTTTGCTAAAACATAAAAATTCATTTATGATCACAAATGCAAATCCAAAATTTTCATACAAAATTTGACTTTGATAATCTTATCTAAAATATCGACCAACTGAGATCAATAGTACGAAGAGAACTACGACAGATTAACTAACCGCTTGATCAAGCTCTCCTTCGTCATCACCGTCATCCTCATCTTCGATATGTACTGATTTTGACATCACTTGAGCAAAATTCACAAACAATGAATCATTGGCAATTGAGATCGTCTGACTTTGCTCACTTGTTGCTGCACGTTGGAAGCATTGAATTAATTGTTTCAATGGATCTGGAGATTGAGACCTGAAATTGAGCTTAAGCTGAAAATTATAAAGTAATAATATTTTATACGATGGTCATAAATCTATCGAAATTCAAAGTAGTTTATTTGATAAGAATTTTATGTTTCAAATAAATTCAATAATGAAATCTTAAAATTACTATTGAGAGAGATTTGTTCATCATTATAAGCATTATAAAAGACATATTTTCTATTGAAGTAATGAAAAAAGAACAAAGAAAAAGGAGAAACAAACTAATTCGTTAGTATTTCAACAAACAACAAACTTTTCATCTTTTTCATCATTTAATACTTCTTCATCGACAGTCCTATTATGTATTTCTTCTTGTCCTTCATCTTTCAACTGCAATAAATTTCATTCCTTACTCGCTTATTTGTCTCATAAAATGCAAGACTTGTGTAGGAATAGAGTAACCTGTGAGTAGTATTGGACTACAATGCAGGAGATATATTTTAGAAATTTCAAAAAAAAGTTAAGAAGATATCGACAAATACTAAAGTGTCAACAATAGTCTAACGCAAAATTAGCACTTGAAACTAGCATTTGATTTCAATATTTAATAATATTAGAGCTGGACGATAATCTTAATAGACAATCGTATGAGTTTACCAAGAAATATTTACATATTTCTTCCAGTTGTACACAATATCATAGAAGATAACAAAAATTACTAACAGTAAGCTCTTTAATTAGCACATCTTGTCCAACATCTTCATCTTCCAGCCAAATTTTGTTAAATGCTGGCAAGAAGAAATTAATTGCTCGATGTCTGAAAGGTTTTTAACCTTATATAAGAATAAATTTCAAACAACATGACATTTTCTTTTTGGGAATTTTTAAATGTTTCAAAATGAAACAAATGAAATAAAAGAGTGCCATAATAATGCAAAAAATATAAGATTAACAAAACTTTTTCAATTATCACTTAACATATTTCCTTCCAAAATTGGAAATTCGATTGTAGCAAAGAACATTTAATGCGAAATTAATTTCATAATCTAACAACTTTTGATGAAAATTTTGATATCAAGAAAGAAAATTCGAATTTTACCTGAAAATATATATAGGAAGTAAATTTTCCAAAAGAGAAACTCAATGAAAAAAAAGTAAAAATGTTAGAAATTCCAAATAACAGACACTGCAAAGTTGATTTTCAATTCATGCGTTTCTGAGAATTAAATTTAGTAATAAAAATAAATATATGAACAAATATGGTAACATAATAATGATCTATTTAGTTCTAATAGGTCATAAGGTTATTACAGGAAATAGTGTTATTGTTTTTCATCGAATTTTCAACTTCTTCAAAGTATTTTAAACAACGTTTAAGGTACAGATGAGAAGCGTATACAAATAAACGAAAATGAAAGGTAAAAGTAATTAATGACAAACTGAAAAATCAATTGAATTTTGAGACAATACATTTCGACCTCTAATTAGCTACATCTAACAAACAAAAAAAAATTAATATGGACAAGAACAATGATGTTAAAGCAATTTTAAAACAACACTTCATGAAAACAAAGTCAACTCATTTCGAAAAAATTGTATGAATTCACTTGTAATTATCATCTCGAATTTCTCGCAAAATCTATATATTATAGCATAGTATTTTAATCATCGAAAGTATTTTGTTAATTCACAAATATATTCAAAAGTTCTTTCATTTCTGAAATTTTTTAGAAAAAGAAGAAATAATCATTTTCTTTAATAAATTAACCTTAATGATTTTGAAAATATAAAATATATATATATATATATATATATAGTGAGAAAGTAACAATTGTTATTTTTTTTGTTATTGAAGCATTCTTATTTTTGATTACTTAACATATCATTTTCAAAAAAGCATCGCTTACATTTCCACTCGGTACAGATGAGTTGCCGTTATCAGAGTGACTGCCAAACGTTTTCGTTGCAATGTTAGGATACGTTTCCATAGGCTTTCTTTCTTAATCTTACTGGTTACCTGTGGTAAAAACAACGACATATTCAGCACAACATAAAAAATTCTAACGAATTAATTTACAAATGAATTTGCCACATCGTTACAGGTAAAGGTAAATTGAAAAAAAAAAGAAAAAAGACAAATTTTGCATACTTCTCGTATTAAATATCAATCAGTTGACAGGAAAAGAAAGGTATTGTTATTGTTGACTTCATTTGAAATTTTAGACTGTTTATTTTAGTAGTAATAAAATACTGTACTGATGCGGCGGTTGTTGAGAGGACAAAAAAAGCAATTTTTTAAATCACAATGTTATAATTCAACTTACTCCTAACAGAGGTGTAATAAGACAAATGGAAACACATAATATTCATGCATTTGGAAATGCAGTTCTGAAGCATCAATTTGCCAACCATTAAATATTGGCCAATAGTTAAATGATAGAAAGTTAGAATCTGTAGAATTACTTCTCTCTTTATATTCTTTTCTTAATTATAATTCAAATCATAACATTATCCGCTAAAAGCAACATGCAAAAATTTTTCTTATCACTGAAAATTGTGTTTCATGCAATCATGCAGAGTTTAATCGATAGCTCTTAAAATGGAACTTTTGAAATTTAATTAATGGAGTAATAGAGTGAAAGACTTAAAACAAAAATTTGAATTTAATGGTCAGAAAAACAAAAGAAAAAAGAATATATGAATTTTAGTTTTCCTTCTCAAAAAAGATTTTCATCCTTTTTTATAGATAAGAATATCGAATGTAACGTCATCAAACATAAACTGATCGGCTTTCATTAGTTAATTAAGATGATAATTGATAGAGAAAAAGTGAAATTTTTTCTAAGGAAATAAATCTGTTTGGTAAAAAGTAATAGTAGTGATAGATTTTGACAATCGAAATATGAAGGATTGAATGAAAAGAGGAAAATTTTTTTGATTTGTTATTTAGTGAGAGTATTAGTGATATAATACCTTAGTATTCCATAGAGTGGAATCATCCGGAAACAAGCAACGACAGCTCTCTTCCGTTGACTTGATATCATAGTCTTCCAAGCATTAACCATTGAGCCTTGTGGATGTTCTGTCTAAAATATCAATAGATGCCGCCATCTGCTACTAATAAAAACAAAAAAAGTGCGGCGGTTGAAGATTCCCAAGTGAAGAAAGTAATGAAAGGAAAAGAAAAGAAAAGAAAAAAAGCAAAATAGAAGCGTGTTTGATTCACTGTTGAAAATTTTAAAAGCAAATAATTATTCGAAAGCTAAGCTAAAGCAACACTTCTGTTATGATTTCTATCCACTTCCGATATTCAATCCGTCCATTACATACTCTTTTAAGTTATTTCATTCAAAAACTATCATATACTTAAACTATAATAATCAAATATTTTACATTTAAAAATTTAATATATTGATTTATAAATAATCTGAGTTAACGAGATTATTATCAAATTATAAATTAATTAATAATCTACTGAAGTTAAGAAGCTTTTTAATATAGCAAGTTGATGAAGAGATTTGATCGATGGTAAGAAAGATGAAAAAAAAGCAAAAAGCATTTAATTTCATTTCTAAAAGCATCAAAAGAGACCGGCAAGCAGTCAGAAAAACTTGATTTTCAAAACGCTCATGCGATTGTTAAAAAAAGGCTGTGGCAAGAAGGAACAGAAAAGATAGAACTAATTATTGCAAAAGATTTTACTAAAAGTTAAGCTGGGAAAAGAAATTCATTTAATCACTTCCTATTACCTATGCGTTAAAATGTGTCGCATTGAAACACCTAGAGAAAAAAACATTTATATCATAGTTTTTCAATACACGTACGTGTTGAATACTTTCACGATATTCATGTAAGCGTAAGATATTTTATTCCGATTGAGTTTCTAATATTAACTTTTCAACTGTACGTGAATGAAAATATTTGAATTGAAAATATAACTATTTTAAAACGAAATCAGAATTCGATTACTTATCGAAATATTTTCATTCACGTACAAATATTTAACCTATGGATAGTTTTATTGATTTTTCTTTCACTTACGAAAACCCTAGAGAAGAGTGTAAAAAGTAGTTGAATTTTTGACAGAGTAACAGCTGTGCCAATACCGTATACATGAAGATTAGAATGAGTATAACTCAAACATCTTGAAATAAAGATTTTAATTTTTTTTCAATAGTTTTTGCTTAGCCTATCAACAAATTAGAGCCTAATTAAATTTCAAAAGAGACAAAACAAATTAAATCTCAGAATTATCATGCATTTATGCTCTTATACTAATTCTTTGCTTCCATAACAGAAGAGTTAATAAAGATAACATAATCAAATGAGGAAAAAAAACTGAAGGAGAAAGAGAGAGAGACAAAAGGACTGTTTTCTAATTAAACGGAATATTCATCTTGTTAGTATAAACTCACCCGTATCACCCGTATTGATGGATCCTTACATGTCCCATAAATATTTGTGACAAACAAACAATTCATAATAAAAGATGTTTATTGATCATTTGAAGTTGTCTTTTTTATGGATTTAATCTTTATATATGTTTAAAAAAAAATCCAATTGATGGGAAGTTAATAATTTATAATCAAAAAATCGGAAAACTTGGGATCTAGAAATAAATCTAATTTCTTTTTTTGGTAAACAATGCCAAATTTGAAAATAAAACAAACCTAAAATTGAATAAAAGATAATCCTACAATGTCAATAACAGTCTAATGAAACCTCTTTTAAAATACTATTTAGTGATGAGTTAGTTCTGCGATCTTTAGAAAATGGTTTTTTTTAAGATAATAAATTGAAAAAAAAATGTCTTAAAAATTGAGACAATTTCGAAATTGAAAAATAATTTATGTTTAAAATTTAACGTTATTTTAGCACAAGCAATACGTTCAGAAATTTTCATCAAAACTTATAATAATGACAAATTGATGATAATAATACTTTCATTTCAGGTTAAAGTGAAATTGGTGACCATTGATGAGATCAAACCGTTTTGGAATAAAGATGCATTGTTAGAGCTTTCGTGCCATTTAATTGTGTGCATATACTAATACAATAAAGCATAAGTGATGCTAACATTAACAACTACGTAATGATGATACACATGACTCCATTCTATGTCAACTCATCATCTCAGTCCATTACTCTTACTCGTAAGTTAAACAATTAAACTATAATGGCTATGACCTTCAAATTTTCTTGCCTAGTGAAGAAGAAGAGAGAAAGAGATAAAGAGAGAGAAAGAAAAGAAATGAGCTAATAATGAATTAAAAAACACTACTACTTATTGCTGTTCCTTTCATGAATAAATTATATACTATGCCAACCAGATTATGTAGAATTATGGAAAGCATAATTGTTATGCTATTTAAGAAGAAATGATAAAAAATTTTATGAAATCCATTAGCCATTTATTTCACCTATGACTTTTAGGTAAATTCAATTAAGTAAATTAATTATTATTTGCATCACTTTTGCTCATTAGCGCGTCGAAATGTTATATATATATATATATATATATATATATATAACATCAGCATTGCAATATATCTTAACTGCAAGCAAAAAAAGTGCCCCAATTCAATTTTGTTTCGCAAACTGTGCTAATCTCTTTGAAGTTTGTTAATTAAGTACATATTCTGTTAAATCATAAATGAAATAAAAAAAACTTACAACGTGTAGAATAGCAACCACTTGGCCCATACTTGTTATTTTCTCCACTATTCCATCAAGTGTCATTATATCTTTATTTCTCATTTGGGATTTATCAATTTTACGATAAAGGTTTAGCTGCCAAGCATTCTTATCTGTTGGATCCGTCTGAAAAAAATTTAACTATCGTTTAATTCGAATTTTACACAAGACAATATCCCATTACAGGCTAAAAAACATGTTAATTATTTTTATTACTCATCATTTATTACAATCAACCACTTGAAAACAAACCTTAGCCGGTATATCAAGAAGAGAACGAACAAGTTCACGTATTTTATCTTCTGGTTCTTTAGCTAAGAATTTTTCTTTCGCGTGCTGCACAATGTCCAATTCACGACCACCGAATACATTTAAACCAACTGGCAATAATCGTTTCAGACAAGCTACCACAATTGAGCTTGCATGTTTATCTTTGCGTATCTAAATAATTGCGTTCATGTGCAACATAGAAACAAATTAAAATTAAGCGCAAATTTACAATCTCATAATCTATTTGAATACCTGTCCTTCACGTCGTTTCTTTTTACGTTCCGCAATTGCAGCTTTACCAGTTTTCATTTCACCAGTACCGCCAATTACTGATTCATCCTCATATTGAGCCATGAAATTTAATTCTTCACGTTTGAAATGCTGTGAGAGGGACCAGATCTGAAAATATTAAAATGAAATATTAAAATCTGTCTACTTAATGCTTTGAACGTATTTCGCTTCCTTAAGAGATAATAATATTATCATAAATGCTTTAAAGATTTTGAAATTACATAAAACTTTTAACATACCTTAAAAATGATAGCAACGTTCTCATAAACACCATCTGTTTCCCAAGATGGTGATTTTAACCACTGCGCTCGATGTAAATCTGTATATTTCATCAAAATTGGGAAGTAAGCGTACACGTCACGCACAAGATGAGCATTATCCTGAAAGTCATTGAAGGATAATTAAGAATTTAGCATTGAAATAAAAGTGACTTAAATATTGTCATACATTGCCATACATATCATATTGCGTGCAGCATGAATTATATCGCATAACACACAATGCGACAATGTTGCCTTTTTAGCCTTTAGAACACTCATACTGATAATTTATAATACCATATCTTTTCAATGAGATAAAAATGTAAGGCAGCTTTTTTTGTAAGTTAAAAAAAAAATCATTTTACAACGGTTACCTCAGCAACGGTTCCTTCATTAGCATCATCAGGATGAGTACGTGTGTGTTCCTCTTCTCTATAAGCTTTTTCCGCCAAACGGCGTAAACGTTCAGTAACTGGAAGTATATAGTCTTTTACCACATCACAATTCACGTATGGTATAATTTGAACGGAGAAAAAATTAATTCGACAAAGCCAGGAAGCATTTTCGACACCAATATGATTATGAATCATTTGAAGAAGTGCACGAAAGATTCGATTGATATATTCACTGTTAACATTCGTAATCGGAACACTAAAATTATGAATTTTGTTGAAAAAAATGAAATGAGGTATGAGTTCACCGAATGATAAAATATAAACGGAAATGTAGTAAATAGAGTAATTTGCTTAATTTGAAGCATCCCTGAATACACTACAGAAGTAATCATAACGGCACAATTAACATATTGTTGTAAAAAAATTTTGGGATATGATAGGAAACTGTCATTCAATCTTACATAATTTATTACTCTTTCCTGCATTTCATCGTATAAATGATATTCACTAAAAAAAAATGATATTTCAATTTTCGAACTTTGAATATAAATCTTACACAGATCGATTACTGCTATCGGGGCCAAGTTGCCACCAATACGTTAAATAGGAACAAATAAGGGGTAAATCAACATCAAAAATAGCTGGTTGATCACGATACATAGTACCTGATTGTCCCACTTGTTCCACATCCGTTAATAACTTATCCAACTGTGGAATGTGTGCCAAAAGGTTATGTAACATTTCTAAAAGAATTAGCCAATCTAACTTATCAATTATTTGAGTGATAAAGATGAATCAATTTCTCAGTCATATCAAAACTCATATGCAAAATCATTACTAAATTAAACAAATAATTAACATTTTAAAAGACTGAGAGCGTATAATGAAAAGTTTGATGTGTAAAATACAGTTATTGCAAAATCTCTTTCCCTTCATCAGATTTCAGTTTAGTTCAACAAACCTTGTACTTGTACTGATTGGTCTTGAGATTTGGCTAATAATGAATATTTATTATTTTTATTAAATTGATCTTCCAAAAAAGCTATAGGAAAGCAACCAGCGAATGCTGCAAGACATTGACCAAGAGCTGGACGATGTCTGCAAAATAAAGTTTACAGTGTTATAAAGTTACAAGTGAATTCCGGATATATTTCCCGATATTTTCAAGTAGTAAATTTTTGGAGATCGTTTGTTCATTTCTTTTACGCTCTCATTTCTTGTTTAAAGGAACATTTTAGAGCAGCACATACTTATCCATTTCATAAGCTATTGATTTCCTTTGTGAAGTTGTTGCTGCTAAACTATTCATGAGATATGCGCTATCCAAAATTTTATAACATGCTGCTTGAATTTCATCCACTGAAAATAAAGTTAAAACTGCATGTAACAAAATTAATAGATTTTCATAAAATTAATAAACGATTTTACAGAATTAATGATGACAAATAACAAAATTGATGGATTTACAAAATTACAAAATTAATAAACGTTAAAAATTTTTACTATAAATTCCTGAAATCATCGATTTCATTTGTCATTGAGAAAAGTATAATACAAACTAACATAACAAATCGCTGCCAAAATGATTTACAGTCAAATGTACAAACATTGTTGTTAATACAGGAATAATCATTTGATTAGCAAATTCCAATGACACCCATGATTTCAAGTTCCGGCCACGCAGTAACGAATATTGTCCACCGTTTTTAACCTCTTCCACGGCAGAATATAGATCATCAGCACAATTATTAAAAAATGTCAGTAAAACGGTACGCAAAATGTCCGAATTTATTCTCACTAATGTTCTGAAAGTAAAATTTAATAATAAAATTGATCTAATTTGGTACTTTCTTTGAAACACGGAATGCTATTGATGGTATACCTCAAATCGAGCGCTTGAATAAGGCCTTGTAAACATCGTACAGTTATCTTTGCAACACTTCCGAAAGCATGATTTTTTAAACGAAGTAACAATGCCAGCCGACAGAATAAGCTGTTAACAATGAAAATTATTCAATATTGCATAATTTAAAACTTTTCAAAAATTTGTATTTAAATTGAAAATATTGCTATAATAAATATTGAAATGTAAGAGAACTTTAAGAAATTGAAGACCACATTTCTTTAAATTCCTGATATTTAGTATCTTATGTATTTAATTGTTTGTTAAAAAATATTTTTAAGAGCAAAGAAAATTCTACGAAACATTTTTTTTAAAAAAAATTTCATATAGTAATTTTATTTGATTGAATCGGTTTTAATCCATGAACTTACTTCGCAACCATTTCTTTTTCCTTATCGGAAGCCATTCCGGTTTGCACGATACTGCTACTGGCCAAGAAATAATTCTTATGCGCATTAAAATATGCATGCATCAAAGGTAGTAGTACCTTAAATCCATGAAAGATATTTAATTTAAACAATGTTCATTTCATATCAGAAAAGTTAAAAGGGTCGAAAAATTCAAAAATATGAAATGCACTTACCTTTTCGAAAAATTTCACATCTTGACTTTCTCTTTTAAAGCTGTTTTGACGGGTCAATTCCTGACTAGGCTTGATTGTTTTCATTTTCAATGATGACTGCTCGAGATATTGGATAAGTTTCTTCAGCAAATTATATGCAAATCGTTTTTCCACCGAACTACGTTCACTATCAATTTTAACACGCTCCGCAGATGGCTCAACTTTATCGGAACTGTAATAAAAATTCTTATATTCCCAAGCTGTTAAAATCAATAAATCTCAAAAAAGCTTTTGATATATCTATCAAAACGAAAAAGAGAGATTTCAACAGATATCATTACCACCAAACGTGATATCCATGATACTGAAGAAATTTCAGAATTTCTGCAGCTCGAAATCGATCTTTTCGACGTTCAAAATCGGTCAACAAATCCCATGGCACAAGTTGCGGTGGCATTGTACCGCCATTGCTTAAATCTGAGAACACCTAAACAAAACAAAAGACTAAAAAAATTTCGATTCATTTTTGCCAGAGAATATTATGAGACAAATTACTTTTACAATGTTAACAAACCTTTTTAGCCCATATCTTATGGGACTCTTCCGCCATTTTCTCTGCAATACCCATCATATCTTTCTCTAATGTCATATTCGATAAATCCACTGGTTTGGGATTGAAATTTTCAACTGAAAATTTGAAGTGAGTTTGCTTTTCAATAATTTTTGAAATTATCTGTTAGTTGTATCATTGATAATGATAATTATAAAATAAATTATGTACTCATTATTTCCTTTATCGAGTGTAATGAGCAGAGTGGAACAAATTAAATGGAAATTTCGAAATGAATGGATAATATTTAAACTCATTTCTTTCCATAAAAAAGATACATCGATAGAACTTTCATTTTCCTTTTAATTATATTCTTTCTTACAATGGAGCTATTTGTGAATCTAAGATTAGGTATGATTTAGAATCATAGCCATTTTTATAAAAAATTTTTTCTTCTACATAATTGACGAAAAATACCTACTCGAAGTACCTAATGAAGCATTATTTTGGATAGCTTTATCGGCTGCGTCATGATCTGCTAGCTCGATCGAATAATTCCATACTAATAGAGCACGCAAACATTCTGCACAGCGTTCTTCATAGAAATTCTTCTCCTATAAATCCATTTTTTAATTCAAAGAAAAAAGAAAAAAGAGAGGTAGTGCAACAGGAAAAGTTATGCTTGTCAATTTTTAACATTTGAGCTATTCCATCCCTTATAAATTTTCTATTTTTCATTTCATTCATATTGCGTAAATTATCAATAGTAAACTTTAATTTTTTCCACAAGGAAGAACGGAATATATAATAAATACTTACAAAATCAGGCAAGAGTGCGAAAGGTTTTAATCTTGGATGTGTGAGATGTTGACGTGAATATAGCTCGCCATAATTCCACCCTTTTTCAATCTGTAAAGAGACAATTAAGCACATTATTAGAAATGTTATTCAAATCTATCCAGCAGTTACAACCAGCCAATTCATAATAAGAATATAATGAATTACAAAAAACTTTTCTATTTTCGGAGTTTGACAAAGCCTTCAATTCCCCATGATTACTTCATTTTTTTAATTTTTGAAAAAAATTTCAGTTTTCATGATTTACTAAGTGCATTATTTTATATAATTTGTTATAATGCTTTTACCTTTCTGCTTGCCCATGAATCATGAAAATGTTCCGCAAATTTAGCAATGACTGATTTCAGATCATCATCAAAAATAACTTCGCTGACATTAACCGGATTTGGATCCCAGACTCCGTGATCTTTCGCTTTCTGAATTTTGTCCGTATCGTCGCCAGTTGTCGTCAGAGTATAATCCGGTGATATTGCTGAGCCTGCAGAAAATAATTAATTTTAATACTTTTATTAAAAATAATTTCCAACTTGACATGAAAAGTAAAAACAATAATGAAGAAGAAATATAGAATAAAAATTAATAGAACAAAACAAAACAAAAACAACAAAATCGAAAATAGATGAAATAAAAGAAAAAAAAAGGAAATTCAAATTATTCTAACTCATTATGAAGTAAAAAATATACCAATAGCTGTCAGGCATGGAAGAGCTTTCCCGAATAATTCTGGATCATACTGTTTACTGCCAAGCGAATCAAAAATAGCATAGAAAAGCAACATGGACAATCTCTTCTCTGTCTCAGAAGCCATTCCATAGATGTTACCCAATCCATAATATTTCGTACAACGTTCATAATGCAATGTTAGAATCTATGAATTAATTAATTATTATTAATTATTTGATTCAAAAATAATTTCATATAAAATATATGAATATGAAAGATGAAAAATTGCTATCAAATAAAAGTTTAAAATATTACTATTATAGATATCACTTGCAACATTACTGATAATAATTTAATAATACAATAAAATCGCTACGATAATAGAACTTCTAGCAGAACAAAGATTGTTTAATTTTCCAGCCCATTATTGACTTAAAAAAATACCCTTAATGGAACCAAAATATTCTCATCCATTTCCTGAATATCATTGATAACTTTACGCATCAGTTTCACCATCATTGCTGGTGGAAGTTCGCGAGTGATAGCAACCAAAAAATCTGATACCGCATCACGTTGATTTTTTGTCAATGATCGTAAACGATTCATACTATAGACCTAAAATATGAAAGGATAAAGTCTTGTAATCACAAACTAGCAGTAATTTACTAATATTCTTTAAGATAATTATTAAAATTATAATGCTATTGATAAAATTGATAAGTTTATGAGATTTTTTCAATCGATAAATCAAAAAATTTCACTACTTTTTCGGAGAATTGAGTTAAATAGAAAAAATCAACGACCGTATGGAGCGTAGTATCAAGAAGTGCAGCATGATGTTCGGCATCAGCAAAGTAATGCGAATGACTGGTAAGTAAAGGTAGCACGGCATTACATAAATAACGATTTAGCGCCAATGCTGTATCACTTTCCACAGAGCATGGCTTAAATATTAATATATTTGATCAACTAATTTTAATCAAATAGCAAAATTAAAAGTTAATTTTGAAAATTACATATTCCCATTTTTTTAAATATTTATTTTTGTCTGTAGAGATATTGAATGGTGGAGATTGTTGGCAATGTCTTCGTTGAAACCAAAACAAAATCTTTAAGGAATGATAAATATCATGAGATTTAAATCTTTTCGCATAGGCACATTGAAAATCCCAACAATTTAATAAATTATAAGCACTACTAGAAAAATTAATAAAAAAGAGATAAAAACTTGGCAAAAGTAGCTCATAAAGTTTGAACATCTTTTCGTATGAATTTTCTTTCATTGAAAACATTTCTCCATGCAAAACTCACCGAATCCATCATTGTCGCAGCCCGAAGATCGGGTAAGAAACTTTTTTCAAGAAAATGGAAAAGCATTTCTTGTGAATCGATACCATAAACACGATCGAGGAATAGAAGAACTGATTGTTTATGGTTTGGAAGAAGACCAGGTAATGGACCAGCATCTGTAACATCAAATTTTCTCTACGTGAAAATTACTCTTCAAAATTATTTCAATCAATAGCCCAAAGAGAAGCATCAATTAAAAGCATCTTTTAAAAATAACTAATAAATAAAAATTATCTTATCAATCATCCTTTTAAGTTTAAAATTAAGAACAATTTTAATACGACGAGATTTGAAAGACTTAAATCGTAGAAAATTTATAGTTAACCATTCTAAAACCTTCAAAATTTGTAGTTTGAGAAGCAGAGTAAGTTATTTTTTTAAAAAAAAATTTCATTTTGAAAAACAAGTTGAAAAATATGATTAATTTAATTACTTCAAGTGATGTATAATTAAATTACTTCAAATAATACATTAATTGAATTACTTTAAATGAAATCTATAACTCGTGACAAGAGCTATCTTAATGTTGAATTGATCGATTCTTTTAAAACAAATAGCATAAATCATTAATTATCAGAAATTGGATAAAAAAAATACAAACATAAGCGAACATAAATACATATACATCTTAAAATTATTGACTTTTTAAGTCAAATAATCTATAAGTAATATAAAAAGAATAAAAGAATTCATGCTTCCACTTCTCTTCTTTTTTCCCTTTATCAAATCATGCTTTATCAGAAGTTGTATACTCTAATAGTGTATGCTAAAACTTTTAGTGATAAATGCGACAGTGATAGTTAGGTGCAGGTTTCAACTTTAGTAATTATCATTTGAACAACTGCTCCATATGATATCTTTAGTTATTGTTCTCTTTTGCAACGGCTTTTTAAAAAAAGTCCATTAGATGAAAATATTGCATTCTTCCCTAACTGTGTATTTCGATTTATGAAGTGTAAATCATTCAAATCCTCTCACATTTCATGTAAAAGGATCATGATTAATGCTCAAAGATAGGTCTTTAAGCTCTCCGGAATAGAATGAATCTAGAATTTAGAACTTTAAAAATGTTCACTGACGTTGACATCTATGATCCTAATGTTATTTGCATAGGTCATTTATTCTTCATCGATTCATTTATTCAAATACTTTTTAACTCATCTTTTTTTTCTCTTACTGGCTGACTTTCCTCAAAATATTTTAATCGTTAGCCTAAAATTTAAATTTAGTCATTGAATAGAACATACAAACTTCAAATTATGTGGGGATCTTAATTAATCAGTAAATTAATTGAAATGACCGGTAATGAAGAATACTATGTAACATTTTCATTTTTATCAAATTTATACCTAAGACTGAAATTTTTCTTGTGCTCCAAATCTTATAAATACATTCACACTTAGTAATAAACAAGAATTGTAAGAAATTCAGTTTGTTAGACAAAAGAAATAAGAAAAGCACAATTTACAGATTGGAGGAAAGATGTAAAATTAGAAAGGAAGACTTAAAGAGCATAAGAAACTCTTCTATTCGTTATCCAACATTTTCATTTTCAGCAAATTTATACCTAACACTTTTTCTAATTCTTATCTCATCAATTCACACTGTAATAACAATATCTTCCTCATTTTTTCATTTTCTGTATATTGAGTACGAAGTTTTCAGAAAAAAATCATTTAAAGAACGCATAAAATACCAATTAACTGAAAACGAAATTAAAAAACTAACCGTCTGTCTCCACTGAAGCTATCAAATTTGGTATAGTAAAACGCAGAGCTAGAATTTGATCCAAATCATCTAACGAAATTAGTGAGCGTAATATAGCACGAGCGCGCATACAATCGCCTTTTCCAGCCTGGAAGATTGTTTGGAATGGTTTGATTTATTGAATGGATCTCTTGAACTGTTAAAATAGAGAAATTTCAAAATTACTTGTATGTTAATTTTATCCGGAGCACATTTAGCCAGTAGGTCAACAAGTGACGAATAGAAATCGAGTGTTGCAGCTCCGAGATCAACATAATTATCACCTTCAGTTTCTTTGTTTGGATAATGTCTGTAAATAAATTAAAGCTAAAAATAATAATAAATGGTACGAGTGAAAATAATAAAATTATATTCATACTTATTTGAGATCCAAAAATTTAATTCTTCGCAATATTTCAAAATAAAAATTTAAAAAAAATAGAAAATTACAAAATCAAATTGAAAAAAATTAGAAAGCAAATACGATTGTTCTCTTAGTAATGCACTATGGATGACAGCGTGATTTTTATCCTCTTCCAATGCTCGAATATCCTCTGAAAGTGCGATTGCTTCCTACAAAAAGACTGTTTCAAAATTCAAACTGATTTTGACTTTTAAAGCGAACACTAATCCAGTGCTTTAAGCTCTCAACATTTCATAGAAATAAATTACGTTCACTACACTTAGTCCTGAAATCCATTTAAAATTATCAAATACATATTTTTGGGAAAAATTTTTTCCAATATTCACTAATTAGTTTCATACATCAAATCTAAAATTTAGATTGGTTGAGAAATTCGCAAGTTACCTTAAATGCTGAGAATAATCCTTGTCCTTCACCTTTCAGTGCAACACCAAGACATTCCGGCCGACGAATTAACAACCGTATTACTAAATTCGCATTCTCTTCCACACTTTCGCCGTTGATCCAAACGCAAAATCGCAAGAAATCAATGTATCTCTCACCTTCTAGTGGATCCCAACCAATATCTGGATAACCTTTTGCGATCAATTCTGAATTTGGCTGAAAAATAAAAAAGAATACTTTGAAGAAATGCTCTTTAAAATTATCAAAAAATTAGGTGCAATGTTTTTCAGATCCAATAGCATCGTGGAGTATCATTGCTTTAAGCAAAGAAAAGCAAACACTTTGGAAATCATGGATTGAAATAAATTTATTTGAAGTATGAATCAATTCTCACCTGCAATCCACATCTACTAAGATATACTGTAACTTTATCAAGTTCCTCCTCTTTCAAAGCCAAAGCTAACTCACTGTTCTCCATAAAACTCGAATATGCAATATCAAGTGGCACCGAACCTATAATTTTGCAAATATAAAAATTATATTTTATGGTACCAATAAAATTCGTGATACTGTGTGGGATCGATAAATGTTAGAAATGAATATACTTAATTACCTCGTAAGCTGGGCCTTGCAAGAAGCATAGTTGCATTATCTAATAAAAATGGTAAGTGCTCAAACATTGCTTTTTGATTGTGACGTGAAGTTCGACAGAAATAACACAGAAAACGTGAGCATGCAACAACCATTTCAGATGAGTCCTGCAAGCTATAAGATTCTAAAATTGATAGCTATTGTAATTAAGATAGTAATTAAGATAATAAGATATGAGTAAATCCATCTGTGATATCGATGCACTGGAATAAATATTTGTACCATTTAAAGTGAACATTAAAGAATCAGATTGCAGCAAATGCAAAATTTTGATATATAATTTCAGATTGTTCAAATTCAGAAGACTTAATTAATCTAGATTTTATTTATTTTCCAAATTTCATAAATCCATCGTTGTCAACACTTTTCAGATTTTCGCCACTTAACGGCATTAGATTAGAACTGCTTCTAATTCCACTTGTAGTCTTCTTCCTTTCCTTCTTTTTTAATCCATATTCTTTTGTCTGAATCTATTTTTGATTAATATTATTCTCATTTTGACAAATTCTTTTCTTCACAACTTCTACCTTAGATTCTTGCGCATTTGCAATTTCTTCGTCACTTTCCACTGGTTCTGCGTGTTCGCTGTGATTAGCAGCACCTTGTTGCGCTGTGAGAACATTCATCATAATGGACATCACGTTCTCATGTACCGTTAAAAGGCGCATCAGATCGGGATGTTGGAAAAAAATTCGATTGTTCATGAGTTTCCTGGAAAAAATATTATAGAACACCGATAGATTTGTGATGCCGCACCAGAAGAATGACCACATCTTAATGAAATTTTACAATGTAGTGATAAGTTCTTTTTATTGTTTGGCTTAACTATTTTTTCAATGAGCATTTTCAAGAAACATCGATCGAATTATTTAATCAATAAATTAAGTTTCATAAAAATCTACAAGAAGTCATAAAATCATTCGGTCCTACCATAATCCTCTTTTTAGGACCGCTTCTTCAGTACTTTCAAATTGTACATTGAGTAGTTCCCGAACTTGTACTAAATTTTCAATGAAATCTTGCACATCCTCGATGTTACGCTCACGTAATACATATGTTTGCGATAAAGCTTTGATCATCTGCAATGATCATTTTTTTTTGGAAATTTAACTTAATGGTCAAGTTTTTTGGAAAACTTATACGTATGATTTTAGCAAAATTTAAATTAATGTCTCGGTATAATTGTATATTCTCGAGAGAGCTAAAGGAAAAATTTTAAGCCTATTTCATATATGTTTATTTATTTTCAGCACTAGCATGTATAAGCTATTACAAATGATTTTAATCATATGAAAAAATATGAAAAAAAGAAAAATTAAATAAAATTGCTTAATCACTAATAAAAAAGGTTTTGTCAAAATGGTTTGGGCTCTTTGATAATGTCAGTAATTTATTATCTTCATTTTGCTTACTCTTTAAGTTTTACTTAGCTTTAATTAACTTAATTTTCGAGACGATAAATAGAAATAAACTATAATAAATTTGAATAAGCTATAAGATATGAGTAGGTAAAATTTTTGAAAAAGAATTACTACTTACTTCAGCAACACCGTTATACTGACGCAAAAGAAGGCTGAACATCTTTCGGATCAAATCGTTACTTTCAATCACTGATGATGCTGCCCAAGATTTCAACATTGTGCAAATCATATGTCTAAATTTATCAATTAAATGATTAAAGCAATGATACATTCATTATTGTATTTATGCATAAACTTAGGCGTGAATGTCTGTCGTAACTGAAAACTTCAAATTTCCAAACCTGAAATTTTCAGTTCCATTATGACTTATATCATTATTTTTGCCTGTCAATGGTGGTGGTACCCGAATAACAAGTTGCGCCAATTGATCCACCCATGAATTTGCTTCTTCCAGAACTATCAATTCTGAGAGTTTATTCTCATCATTCTTTGTACATCCCACTTTACTCACTAATAGTGAACAAAATTCCCTAAAATAGAAAAATATTAGAAAGTACTAATTTGGAAATCGATTAGTTCAAAGATGAAACAAGCAATAATTCATTCTAGACCTTGGATAGTTGTTAAAAATACTGGTAATGATGATTTTTTTTTTAAGAGTAAGATTTTAATTTTAAAATGGATCAAATATCAATCAAAGTAATTTTGTCAAAAAGATATCGATAATCTCTGAGTCCATAAATAACTTCAAATCTTTATTTTCTTTTCGTAAGTGTACAAACTTTAATTGTTGTTGCAATGTTTCATCCATTGGACAATGGTCATATTCCGTGTCATCATCCAACATTATACCTACACTATCATCCGGTACCGCTTTGCATTTCACCAACCGGAACATCTATTCAAAGAAACAGACAGCAATATTAGAAAAATACCAGAAAATTTAAAGAATTTTTGGAAAAAATAAATGAAATTTAGGAATAATATATATGCAATTTAACAAAAACAACTTCAGTATATTTCAAAAAAAGTTTTTTTTTTAAAACATATTATAATACCTGTTCGCGTGGTGGACATCGAAATTCTTTGGTACGTCTAGCTGCTTCAGCTGGGGTCATATCTGCTTGCTTAATCGACACATACCTTCAAAAAATCGATAGATCAGGAAAATTCATTTAGCTCGTTGGGTCGATCAAAATTTTTTAAAAGAAGTAATTTCTAAAAAATATGAAATTCAAGAACCTGGTAAATTGGTCTTGCTGTAAATCACTCACAAATCCAGCAGCAAATGAGACCAACGATTCAACACGATGTCTCAGTTGGATGTCACAAATATTTTCAAGAATGATTGTAAGTTGAATTTTCACTCCCTCTGACAATTCAATTTCTGGCAAACCTTTCTGTTTCAAGCCTGAACAAAAATAAAATAGAGCTATCATTCAGAGTGATTAAGAGAAACAAAATTTCAAAAAATTCATCAATTCACTATCTACATCTTAATTTCCTTCCTGATTCTGTTCTTGACTTGCCTCATTAAGCATAAAAAGTTCTTTAAAGGTAAATAATTGAAATCTAATTTGAAAAAAAATATAAATTTCAAGATGTCTGTAAGGGTTTTTTAATTCATAAATATTTGATTGAGTGTTTATGTCTCTCCATTCGTAATTTTTTGAATTGTTTACACACTTAAAATTCCAACCTGGCACATAATTTTCATCAAAAGCAACAGGATGAATCAACTTCAGGACATCTTTTAGATCATCGTCATCAAATATTCCAATTACCAACAACGAATTGAACAATTTGAAAAGTGGTCTGAAACGTTAAAATCTCCATTTTCTATTTAAATTTCATCATGAAATTGTATTTCCATCCTTACCTCTTTTATCTTTTTCTAATAAGTGGTAAAGAAGTCGAACGAAGAAGCTTTTCCTTTCTTTGAACTCAAAGATGAAAATTTTCATGCAAAAAAAATTTAAGATTTCTGAAGCTTACTCAAAATGATTTGAACAATTCCCACCAATCAAATCACGACAATTGATAACAGCATGTTCGATTGCGCTACTTAGTGCTGACATAACATGAGTCTTCAAGGCAGCGAAATTAATCGCAGGCGGTTGAAGTTTTGATTCTGCATCCATTCCAAAACTAGAAACCAAAAAGAATTAATGGGAATTAAATTCATCAAATTAAATGATGACGCTTGGAAATGTTCCATCACTATTGAAATCCCTCATCATGTGAAGCATAAATGAACATTCACAAGACGGTTATATTTGACAATACTGCTGATGCAAAATCTAACTGAGATAGACTTTTACATTAATTTAAATTTCGGAAGCACTATGGTTAAGAAAAATTATTCATTTCCTGTACTTCCCGTATATTCCAGATCTATATCGAAGATACATTAATTTCAAGCTCTACTAACTAAACTGTTTCCTTATTCAGTACGATTAGTTCTTGTACTAACCATTAGAAGGTTATATTTTCAATCATTCTTTTCAATCTGCCTACTCATTAGCGCAATAGTGATTAGAAGTGTCGCATTCGTTTCTTTCGAAATTTTGAGAAATATATCGGTGTATCACAATCCTAATCAAATTTTATTGCTATCCCTATACCTAAATCTAATTTTATAACAGATTTCATAATATTGATTAGGTGTAACTTACTCGCTGCGCACTTCACTGCACACTATTACCGGTCTAATGGACATTGTTGGTCCGAGAATTTGCGGGAAACGATCCTCATTCTCCGGATGAAAGACATTTTTGATTTCATGATTTTGTTTCAATGGAATAACATATTCATGAGTGGTAGATTGTCGTGCATCAACATATGTTCGTAAATGAACGGCTATTAGAAAATCATGGAATCCTTGTCGAAGCGGTCCCGAAAGATCTTCAAAAATACAACTACTAAGATTTTTTGCGGTCTTAAAATTTAAGAAAATTGATGAGAACTAAAATAAAGCGAGAAATTTAAAAATTTTGTTTTGTTTCTTTTCTTTTTGAAAAATGCCAAATGCTGGGATTTGCTGGGATTAAAAAAGCAAACTGAAAGGACAGTGAAACTATCGATGCAAATCGTTAAATACCAGTCCTTTTTTAAATTCTTCTTATATTTGAAAATACTTCAAAATTTACAGTGACTCTTCACAGCATACATAATCTGATCCTCGTCAACATGTGAACATAAAATATGCGCTACTTTCTGATTTCCGTGTGCTGCTAGTTTACAGTACAGATTGAGAGTTTGTCGATGGAATGTCAAGAAATCATTATGCTCAGTCATTTCCAGAATATCATAACTTGTGTCCTTTTCTGGTACATAAATAGACATTATACGTACCGGATCATCACAGAGGACAGACCAGCCTAAAATGTATGGGACGTTTAGCTATTTAAAAAAATATATATTTAAATTGACAAGTTTTATATCTTTGAAATAATTCGATTAGAAATTACTTTCATTATTTTTTTGATAAATTACACTTGGTTGCTTAAAGGTTTTTTAATTTTCTTGAGTATTGTACAGTTTAGTCAGTTACAAAACAAAATAGCAATTATCGCGCTTCCGATTTAGATGTAATTATCACATTTTTATCAATTGTTATCAATAGCTGTAGGATGGAAAAAAACTATTTTTCTTCGTTGCAACTAGCAATCACAAGATTTCACATTCATAATTACATTCTTTTATTTTATTTGAAATTATTTTCTCAATTACATTTAAAAAGACCACGCTGAAAACAAAAAATCTGCTCTTTATCTAAAAATTATCAAAATATTACCTCTAAAATCAGAAAGTTTGAGAGCCGTTGTACGTAAGCATTCATTAGGTACTCGAGCCCAGTGAACAGGATTTAATTTCTCAACTGTTAATCGTGGTGGACAAAATGGTAACAAACTTTTGTGTGACGATTTAAACATTGCCGAAGATAACGGGAAAGTGTACTGGATTGAAAATATTTAAACATGCAGCTGTCAGTTTTTAAAATATTAAATTCTCAAGAGGGAAGAAAGAATGTTATTCTTGTAAACTAATAATTATCGCAGCTCAATCTCAAAAAATTTTTTTTAATATCAGAATTATTTTAGTTGATAGTTTCGTAACTACTTTTCCTACATTTTCGATCTTTTTTCCAAAATTATAATTTTTCTTGCAAATTAAATTTTCTGCAATTTATTAAATTTCAAAAAAACACTTCAGAATATGTCTGCATCAGAGTCACATTTAAAAAAGATTATTAAATTCATAAAGGAAAAAAAAACATACCTTTATTCGTCCAAGTTCGAATTGCAAAATTTCGGCACTTGTTGGTGCGACAAATGCAGCAGGGTAGAGAATGGCACCAGGTTCGAGCTGTAATGAAAGAAATAAATTAATTAAATATAAAAGTTTAGTTGCAATTTTATTTTTAGTATTACAATTATCTCACGTCCAGTCTCAAATACGCTTTTGAGTTGCAATATTTAAAAAGAATTTGATAAGATCTTACACTAAAAAATTATCACAAACAATATAAAAGCTATAAAAATAATAAATAAGGAAGACAAAAAAAACCTTAAATCGGAAACCGGTATCTTGTTCTGAAGCTAAAAATGATAGCTCTCCAATAGATGTATCGATGAGACAACCGACTAACAGGCCCGATACTTTCGTATTTCCTGGATCTGGTACTGATTGCATCAACTCGGCGGCATTCATTACATAGCAATTTCGATATTCTAGGCTACAACAATTATTTTGCTGATTTGAATTACGTTGGAATGACTACTTCTGAGTACGGTAATGCGTCATAGATATTAAAGAAGTACTTATGATAAATCATAAATTGATCTGAATTACCTTTAATTCTACATATATTGAGTGATAACCATCGCTTCAAATAAATTATCAATGATTAAATTTCACCATAAATTTTTGTGCTCAAAATGTAAACTTATACTGTTGGGAAAAAACTTCATCACAAAACAAAAATTAGGACTAAAACATTAACCAATCAGTAAGCTTATTTCCTTTTGCAATGTCCATTTCGAAGGCTTTCAAAATTTCAAAAGAAATTACTTACCTTTCTCCTTCATTAACATTCTTATTCATTTCCTGAAATTTACAACGTCGGACAGCTTCTCCAGTAAGAAAACGCTCTGCGTAAAAGTGATATTTTGGTGTTACCCAACCAACCCAAACATTTGCAGGATCTTGTCCCGGAAAAATTCGAATTGCATAGTAGAATTCATCGATCTGAATTAAGGTAATAGTAAGAAGCACAAAGATATCTTCCGTTTGTCGTGCAAATATCTTAACACAGCACAGCATTTATACAAGGATATCGCTAACATTACTATTTCTAATATATCTCCTCTTATTGTATAAATTAATTAACCTTATCACTGAGTTCAATCATTGGGCGCACATCGTTTAGTACATTTCCTTCTTCGATAACGTTTTGTTCCCGAGCTGCAATTGATAGCTTCCGATTTTCCAATAACCTTTCATTCTTATTTCTTTTCGATTTGCCTGATGTCATAAATCGTCGGGATCGTCCAGGGCCTGATCGAGGCATATCTTAAGTAAACTTCAAAAATAAGTGCCAATAATATCACTTCAAAAATTCAAATGCCGTTTTATAACTTTGAATAAGCTTAAACTTTTTTCCTTTTTTTAGAATTGCATCAACATGAACAAATAACTAAGCCATTATTAAATTCATTTAATCTTTTCAAAGAAAATATTTCCTTGTAATTCTACTCATTCTAGTTCTCTAAGAAAAATAGTTAGGGAAAGTACAAATATCTACGAATGTGGAAAACAATATCATTTATCATCAACACCTTGATAAGTAATGAAGTTTTAAATTTAATATAAAAATTTTAAACTATCAATTTGCAATTAATACTGATACCTTGGTTATCTTTTGATGTGGGAGATGGCATTCCTTCTGGAGAAATAGCACCAGCATTTGCCAATATGCCTGTTGTGCGCCTATTTTCGCTAAACATTATTTCTCTAGAAAAACTTTGATTTTGTCCAATAAATCTATCATTCAGAATTAGTAGTAACGTGTCGCTACATGATCTGCATGTTGGCTTGCATGATTCTAATCACAAGGATTTCTTTATAATATTATGATGCTGATAAGGTATCCTTTCACATAGTAGAAGCAAGGTATACTTTCGCGTATGGTATTGGTAAAGTATCCTTTTGCGTGCCGTACTAATAAAATATAATTAAACATCGGCAAGGAATTAATGTGTTCTACAACGAAATTTGCAATATGCAGCACGTGACACGTATGCAATACGTTACCTCTCTTATGCTCCATTCGCGATGCAAATACCTCAAACTTAGTAAATGAATTATCGACTGATCTAACTTTCCACTATACCTTTTGCATGTATTCACATATGTGATATTTGAGCGTATAATTGTGACAAACTTATATGTAATAATTATCTAAAATGAAATGATATCTGCTTCCATGAGATACGAGAATTAATCAGCAAAGGAAAAACATAAGATATCGATTGATTTCAATTCACTTCAAGAAGTTAACAGTTGAAATTAATAAATCATCTCACTTTTTCTTATGATGAAATCTGGCCATTAAACCGCCTCGCTTATGTTTTCCCTGTCGATGATCATCATTATTTGATAATTCAACCATACTTTCAGATATTCTATAAATAATTAAAAAACAATTAATTGAAAGTGTTTAAAGATCAAGAAAAATAGTAATAATGAAAGAGCGAACATTTAAGGAAAAAATGTATGATAATTTCTTTCGTTAAGTTTGTTTTATCTTTTTTTTTGCTACAGATTTTATGAGAGATGAAAATTAATAGTGATACAATCCAGTCTCCATCTATTAACTTATTCTGAATTATAAATGCAAAATTTTAATGAGTCTATTTCATTTACTTCATTAAAATTACATCAAGCACAGTCAGTATCATAAAAATCTCTAAATTTTTCGCATATAGAAAAGTGTCAAACTTATGTATTTAAAAAAGGTAACAAATACCACATTGAATAAGTTAAGATCTTTCCATCTAAGTTTTGATGTTATTTCATCACGGAATCGAGATTTGCTACACCTCCCCTGTATGCTGCACCTGATTCTCTGATTAATTATTAACACTTAACCACACCGACGACAAAAGTTAATGCGGAAATTGCGATAATAATCCAAATTAGCAGTTATTTTTAAATTTCTGATTAATTTTGTTTTTCCTTTCATTTGTGATAACAATTGAATTTTTGGAGACTGAAAAATGATACTATTGTTCAAATTTTAAAGTAAACCTTATGTCAGATGTTTCTGCAAGATGATGGTCACCATCAACTGACAACGGTTTTGAGCGTGCTGAACCTTCATCATCTTCGATACTGTGTTTAAAAGCCGACAGTAACGATCGGCCAAGTGATTTCTGAAAATGGATATAGTGCTGAAAATTCAGATGAATAGATTTCGAAATTATTATTAGCCAATTTTGCTGTAAAGAAATGATAAGCAACATAAATTATTTTGATGATTTTATGGTAACAAATATTCCAGTTAGTTCAATAAAACATGAAAATTTTGCTGAAAGTTTTGACACGTTTTACTTAAAGTGAAAACTTTAAACAAACTTCCTTTATTTGCATTTACCTGGTAAATAACATTTAAGATATTACTTACAGCATTATATCATTGTCCTGGATCATTATACCTGTTATACCTGTACTATATGCATCCAATAAATGTTCCTTTATTCTTTCCGATGATTATTGCTACATTATCTCAGTTTAAATTATAATATTTGCAAAATGACTAACAAAGCATTTTTGAGAAAAATCAAATTCTATAGAGTATTTTGTCTTAATTGATTTTTGAAATATAACCATTGTAGCATATCATACTACTTTCAATATAGACAATATTAAGATTCGAATGCACAACTGTAGCCAAGAAATTCTATTTTTTAACTTTTCCTCTGAGAAAGGTGATTTTGATATTAAAAACTTCTGTTAATTTAGAACTGAATCAATAATCCATATAATACAGCATCCACTAGATAGAGTTATCAATAAATCACATTATCAAATGATAAGATGTGTGATAACTACAAGACATATCTAGTATTCAAGTGTTACAATTAAAATACCTTATTTACTTTAGTATCGCCACTAAATTCTCTTGGGATAGCTGGATGCATAATCGTAGGTACAGGATGCGCTTCTTCTGCCAAACGTTTTTCAATTTCATGTATGGAACGCATTATTGATTCCTTATCTCTAAAATTGAATTGAATATTTTATTTAAATTAAATTTTACTTACCTACATGTATATTTCCTGAAATCATTAATCTTTTATATTAATTTAAATTCGATATTCCTTTCCCTTCTCTTACAACTATATTTTTACTTAATATGCTCACACATTTCAAATCAAATACTTAATTATACAGACTTACTTATTTAGTTGAAATTTGTCATCACATTTAACCGGTAGAGATAATCGAATATATTCCATTTTAGCCTTTTCCTGCGCTGCCACATCGCCTGTATCGGTCTGAATATTCTATGCTATTATTATTATAGAATTTTAAATGTCAATTACTACATATCATTTTTTCGTGATGAATTAATTACGAATTAGTAACGAGTTAATGCAAGAGGTAATTCTTAGACCAATAAGTTAATAATTCAATCAGTAAATATCATCAATCACTTTTATTCAGTAAAATCAAATATACAATTCTTCAGAAAATGCAAGTAAGAGCGGAAGTTTGTGTATTTTGCTCAATTCTCGACAAAAGAGAATTTCTTTTAAAAAAAGATGTGAAAAAAACATTTGATATTATTTTTCTAAGCCATATGATCATTAGGGTTAATCTCAGCTAATCAATAGAACATTACTTCCTTAGATAACAAATAAGCCTGATATCTGATTAGCGTGTTAGCATTATGCCTAATTTTTATCTTTCTTTCTTTAGTGTGTTAGCATTATGCCTAATTTTATCTTTCTTTCCTTTTTCTTCCCTTTATCAAATTGTAATCAATTTACAATGGTAAAATAATATAAGGAATAATAGATTTCAAAAACCAACCTCTTTCTGAGTAATTTTTAAACATGGAGGATTATTTGCAGTTGCCGGTATTCGTGAAACTTCCATTGTTGAATTCAATCCGATATCTTCAAACTGAGGTAACTTTTTAGCGTACCACATTGGCATTTGGCGATACATATTACTAAATTTAAAAATATGAAGTGATAAAGATTTTGAAGATAAAAACTGAATTATAAAGATTTTTAAAAGGATAAAAAGACGTTGAAAACAAAATGTTTTTACTTTCCTGTGGTTTTGACAAAAGAAACTGATTTCAACTACAATTAATTTCTGAGTCTATTATAAACTGATTTTATGAAAAAACATCAGTATTTCATAGCAACAAAATATCTGCAACTTACACACAAAAAGGCTCGTATCCCTCCTGAAGACCACATGTAGTGAAATATTTCAAACTATTTGAATCTTGGCCAAAATTCAATTTTGCTTTCTGCCCTGCACTAAATGTCATTGCTGGTACAAAGCCATCTGTGACGAGAACATTATCGAAGGCCATTTCGGATCCGGAAGGGTCCTATAATGTAGTCTTTCAATAATTTTAGTGATAAAAATGAGTCTAAAAATTGAAATAGGTTAGAGTTGCAGAGGTATTAACCTCATCTTTCAGGACTTGTGGAGAAGAATTATTTGATTTTGGCTAGTTAACATCAGGCGATTATAAATAAAATATTGTTGTAAGTATTTTTCGGAATGAAGTTAATTTCTGAAATCGTTTTGCATTTTACCAGTAATAGTTCGCCATTCAATGAAAATGATATGGTACGATCGCTAAGATCAAGAAATGCTCCAACTACGTCACCAATTTTCCATTCCCTTCCATAAGTAACAGATCCTTGATGCCATTTACGTGCCAAATATCTGAAAAAAATTTGACTAAAATTAAAATTGGAAGTCAAATTAAATAGAATTAAAAAGCTCCAACTTGGAGTTTAGCAAGTTTCTATCATTTAGAATTGTACGAAAATTTCTTAAAATCAAAAAATAAAACATTAAAAAAGGATCAATTTCAACAAATTACCCATCAAATCCATATGACCGATCATCCATTCCAATATCATCCGTTGACTGTGCGCTTACATCCATCCAGCCAACTTTCATAAATCCCGATGTGAGCACCTCAAATTCAAAGTACCATTTGCCACTAGAAACTGCATAGAGAGCTTCGGCACGATAAGTTCGCGAGAATGCCTTTGTTGCTTTCAATTCTTTTTCCGCACCTAAGCCACAATTACCATTTGAATTAAAAAATTGTGATCTAACTTTTGATTTGCTCAGTTTTTCTTTTTGAACTTGCAGATATTATTGTCTTGCCTAAATACATGTTATACCTTGTGTTGCTTAATAGGCGCTTAATTTAACTACTTCTAACTAAATCAGTAGCAGATACCTTCATCGTATTCTAAAACAGGTGGTTCTAAGAAGATTCCGAACAGTTGCAAAGTCTTGATAAATTCCGTAGCTGATTCTCTGTTAGCTTCTTTAATTCGTTGATCAACCACCTCGTATGGTACCAAATGTGGGCTTCGCTTCTGATTTGTATTTACAAACTGCAACAATAAGATTTTTTTTGGAAAAATAAAGTAAATATATTTTAGAATTTCAGAATTCAGATTAGATTCTTTCTGATGGAGAATGTAAGAATGGATATATTACGATTGAATGGGAAAAAATTGAAATAACTCTGCAAATAACATACAGTATTATTGATTCAAGGATTACTTACTGTATGAGGAAAAAGATGCAAATGCGCGTACCTCACTAAGGCCAAAAGTCCAACCACGCCGAATCTTTTCTCTCGCCCAAACATTATGGGTATTTTTAGCTAAAGCATCAATTAACGGGAATATATTTTCACCAAGAACAATTCCATGAGAATCCAAAGGTTGTGGTTTAAATCCATTGCTTTGTTGATAGCTAAATGATAAAATTCTCGATAAGATTATTTTATCATATAAAGAAATTCGAACTTTAAAATATAATCGTTATGCCATCTGGTATGATATCCTATTTCTTTGAAATTAGCAAGATGTAGTTTTCATTACTTGAATCCTTAGAAAACATTTGCCATATTTATTTGTCATTTTTTCTTTCAAAAAAAATTCATACTTTTGAGGAAGACGTAAAGGTCGCATGCGAACAGGACATTCTTCTAGGATCATATGATATCTTAATGCTTCAATTGTTCTGAAAATAAACCCATTTCAATTGAACCATTAATTCGATGCCAGAATATTGGTAATATGCAACTGTCATTTTAATAATAACATCCCATTCAATAATAACTTCTGTCCTAATTTTTCCCTAACTTTTAGCAGCATTTGAATAATCGATTTATTTATTTTCAAAAAATTAGTAATAATGAGATGAATGATGTTACTTCATTGTATCAATGGCAAGATTGATATTATAAGTTTTTTCATTTTGTGGTAATTGTTGAAATGATGTAAGGCATGGATGACGGCGAGTCTTCTCATCTCTTACCTGCAATGAAGGAATTTTTGGAAAATGATAGCATTACAAAAAAAATGAGAAGATTACAAAATCAATACTTAAATTTACTTCACTCGTAATAAATTCGAATGCCATTCAAATAAATATTTATACAATCTTCTAAATTTTCAACATTTCCTCAAAAAATTAAAATATAATTACAATTTCAAAAATTCATAGTTCTTTCATTAATTTCATCTACTTAGTAGAAATAGAATAAATGTACGGTAGATTTATAATATATATTTATGAATACGTAAAAAGCTTATGCCTCTCCATAACTCCAGCCAAGTTCAATTTTTCGCATTGCCCATAATTCATGCAAATTTTCCGCCAATTTTTCATGAATTTCCATTGCGAAGTGAGGTAGTACTATAGTAGAGATATCGACCAGTTTCGGTACGAATGGTTCCGCATTCTGACGTAAGATGCTAGAGCCAGTATATACATTCTTCGCAATATCACCGAACGAAACACATTCTCCTATTTCCAATTGATTTGCTGCTGTTTCAATTAGAGCACTGAATCCAGGAGGTGGTCCATAGCGCAAACGTCCTTCTGTACCACCGAACATGAAGCGACAACTGAAACATGAATTCTTCACTTCATTCCAAAGTGACAAACAAAATAATAGCTCTCTATAATTATATAAGTAAATCGCTGCATGTAAGCTCACATGATTTTCTTAAACAGACAATGATTTCAAATAAATTTAAAAATAATCAATTGTTTTGTCTGCTTTTTTTAATACACAAATTTTCCCACAAAATTCCATACCTAACTTTGGCAGAAAGTGACATAACGGGAAAGAAAAATCCATCGATATTGAAATTTCTGAATATCCCTGTGGTTTGCTGTCCATTAACAGTAAAACTTATTTCCGGAATATTCAAATCCAGCAAACAACCAACAATATCTCCTTTCTGTAGTTTTCGAGTCCAAATAACATGTTTTTTAGTTGCTAGAAAAAATTTATATATAACATAAGTTCAGCAAGTATTGCATGCATTTGAAAATTTCAAGTTTGAAATTTTGAAATTGAAGAATTAATTCCGGTAAGTAAGAAATCTACCGCAGTAAATACATCGACCATCAAATCCATATGAATAATAATCATCACCGACACCAGTACAACCCCATCTAAATGAAAATTTTGCAAAAATTGTGTATCTTTATGTGTAAATTAAGTAAAGATTATTAAGTTTATATAATTAAGCAAATAATTGAACTTTTGAAATAATAGAAATATTATATTTTTTTGAAATCGAATGAAAGAAGTTTCGAAGGAATGTGATGTTAGTAATAACTGAAAAGTACTTTACTTATTTAGTAATAATAAAAACTTACCCATCACCGGAGCCAGGAAACGGTTTATATCCCATGCTATTTGCCCATCCGACCCGAAGATATGGTTCTGTTTTGGTCATCTGCTCGATATACTCAACTTCTGCTTCATAATACCATCGTCGAAATTGTGAGCTCCCCTCAACAACACCAACTACAATATTCGGCGTCATACTGCAAATAAATTAATTAGTCCGTTTAATTAAAACATATTTCTTTTTCTCCAATCAATGCATCAATTAATTAAAAAAATGTAATTTTAGTATTTAATTATATGTCAAAACAAAAATGCTTTTTAAATGGGAATGCAATTATTTGCTTTATCTTAGTATACGTCAATTCTTCTATTCAATAAAAATTACTTTTAAATGAATCAAATTTGCTGAAGATACTGCCAATATCCTATTTTGTGATTTATAATAATTCATCAAAACCTCAATAGTTTCAGGACCTCAGATCAATTTTATCAGAACGTAATTTCGATATTTAAGATGCGAGACTTTATATCATTGATATGAGTTCCATTTGTCTCTTTTAAATCTAATGCTATAACTTTTACGTGCGAAAAAAATTTTTCGGTATCTTGTGGTACCCAACAACAAAAATTTACTAAATTTTGGAAATGAGCTCCTCAAAATGCATCACTTTTAATTTTAACGACAAATTTTATAATTTAAAATATCCAAAGTTTTTGAAAAACAATGGAAATTTTGGATTGAAATTGAAATGATTCATCGTACCTGCTCACATGATCTCTCATTTTCGTTTGCAATAACAAATCCTTTCCAGGTAATAAATGTTGAGCAATTATATTCTGACTACTTCGTACAGCCATTCCATTACCTTCGCAAAGTGATGATAGAACATCGAGTACCCAAAATTATATTCGATTATTAAATCAATTTATTATGAATATAAAGAAATGAAAGCAATAGACAAACATATTCAAATGATCACTAATTTGGTTAGATCAAGAAATAAAAGGATCCCTTAAAAAGTTATTACTATGATGTCTTTATATTTAAATAAAGAAATTTCGAAAAAAAATATTACCTTAGGATCTCTTCCGACCTTTTCCAAAAGTGATATTACCGATTTGATATGACTTTCATTGATCATATTCAGTGCTTCTGGTGATTCAGTTAACACACAGTATAATACATCCAATATACCTGGAAAACTCTTATTTAACAAATAAATAAAAAAACAAAAGTAAAAAATTTGAACTTCTGCTTGAAGTTATGCCTTTTTAAACTGTTTTGAACCTTCTGCAGATTGAGGATTTGATAATCGCCCAAATAACCATTGCAATCGTTGAGCTGATGCAAATTGTGCGCAATTGTAGTGATTCCCTTTGATCATTGCAGCAACAAGAAGATACAAGTAAGTCGAGATTTCTTCCCACATCAACTAAAATTAAATAAAATTATTAATTCAATTTCAAACTTAATGTTGTAAATTAATTTTTCCATTATTTGACAATCAACTGTGATAAATAACTCGAATATTGAAAAATACACTCATTCATTTTCTCAATAACTTCATATTTCTAAGAATATTCGCAGAAATCAGAAGCATAAATAAGTGCAAAAACTTTTATCATTACATTTTCTATCAATTTTTATCACTTTTTTTGAAACATTAATTATAAGTTAACATTTTTATCAAAATTATTATTACATATTGGAATTAAAAGTAAAATGGTTGTCTCTATGACCTGTGTATCATCGTTAAGAAGTACAATAAAATCAGGCATTGCTTCCATTTGTGAAAATTTATCGATAGTATCCAGAATCATATTCAATACACCTTCTTCTTGAAATAAATCTTGGCGACTTCTCAGTGCACGTAAACGATTTTGACTTGCTTCAAAATCTGAAACGAATTTTATACCGAAAGTTGTTGACGTAACGACCGGTTAAAACGATTGAAATTGTAATTTATATCGGAAATTCATTAAAGACTAACCATCTTCATTAGGTTGCGAGAAATACTCAATCAAATCTTCCATAAGTTTTAACACTTCGCTTAGATCAACACGATTCCAATCTTGTGCTTGTTTGCCTTCTCGTTGTAGTGCTTCAATACCCCTAAGATGAAAACATTGTTGAAATAGCCATTTAAAATTGAAATTATTTTTATAGCCAAAAATTTTTATATTAATATTAGCAATGGCTAATAAATTTAATGAAAAAATATATATGTCATAGCTAAAATACTTCAAGAATCGATTGAGTACGGATGAACATTTCCGGATGACGCGAGCCGATTTGGATTCTTCTTCAAGCGCCATGAAAAATGTAAAACAATCATCCATGTGACCATCTTTTAGTGCCACCGCTTTCTTTTCTTCCACTTTACCAAGACCTTTTTTCGTTATTTCTGATGTCTAAATTAGTGAAATTTAATTAATGACGAAGAAAAAAAGTAATACATATGATATATTCCAAAGAATTTATTTAAAAAATATCAAATGAAAATTTAGAAGAAAGCATAGGCTTTTACTAATGTCAGTGTATTTCATTTATTTTCAGTCATTTCTTATTCTAATTTTAAAGATAAATTCAAAGTTAAATAATTAAGCAAAATCTTTTATAAATGTTCTAATCATAAAATATAATTTTGCTGTTAATTAATTAGGTACAATTTGAAGATATACCTGATATGAAAGCCATAACTCTGTTTTGATATGCTGAATAAAAGCATTTGTTTCACCGTAACGAATTGTTGCAACACCCATTCCTTCTTCTTTTTCTTCCTTCAGTTGTTTCTTTAAGTCCTAAAATTTTTTCACTTCAGTAACCCTAACCAAAGTGATACAAAATTTCCTTGCGGCAAATACTTATCGAATAGTATCAACGCTTTACTTTAGTTTGATACATGACGAAAGCAGTTGCATCGAATTCAGCTTTATCCCTGTCGTACAATTGAATGACATTTTCCATGACACCCAAATATCTGAAATGGATATCAACTCTGATACGCTTTACTCTCTCTCTTTTTGCTGTAACATATTTCATGACTTGAAATTAAAAATGGAATATAACTGAAGTTGTCGAAAGCACATGTCAAGCTTTAAAACACGTTATCAAATTCAGTGTTATTTTCTTTAAAACTTAAAAATTATACCTTCCAGAAGTGATATGTCTTATCCGAAATGGTTGTTCCCAACCAACTAACGCTCCATGCCATTTTACTCGAATTAATTCGATACGCCACAATGATCTGGCTTGTGATACAGCAGCGCCACCTTCATAGATTGTCATACTGAAGCAAAAAATTCTAACTAATCGCAATCCAATTTTAACTAATTTTGCTGCACGTTAACAAAAAGCAACATATTAGTAAGTAAAGTTTGATAAAGAAGCACTTAATTTAAATATTTACTTATGTTGCGGATGTTCGCTCCAATTTTCAGGAATCGTTAAAACTTCATCGTTACCATGAAAAAGTCGCAAGACATCATTACCGAAAAGTGCGCCTGAAATAATCATTTTTGATTCAGAAAAAATTCTGATCGCTTTTTCGATAAAAAAAAGATATTAAAATACGATTTGATTAAAATGCTTATTGCGAAGTGTGATTTCGTTGCAAAATTTGAATCGAAACAAACCCATATTTCGTATTCGTACACTTCCCGAACTCACAGAAGTGATATTCCAAAGTGTTTGATGAAATGATGCAATTACCATGAATCCTTTGCTATGCGTCATATGCTGAAAATTAATTGTGTAATCATTTTGCATGCAGACATTTAAAAGTAAGATTGAAGACTTTATTAAGTTACTTCAGATTCAAGCATGAATTTGAACAAGCCATATTTAACTTCCGTATTTTCATCGATAACATTGCATCTTAGTTCAATAATTATTACTGATCTTCGATTTAATAAAATTTGGGAATATTGAAATATTCGCAAATCTTTCTTATATAATTTGACACAATCAGATATTCAGAGCAAATTCAACAAACAAACCAAATATCGTTCGGTTGCAACAGAAACTAAAATAACATCATCACCCACACGAACTTTTTCGCCTTCTGATCGCTGCTTGGAAGCGGGATGAATCGTCCACCAGCATGCTTCACCTAATGCAAAATCGGTATTTTATTATTATTTGAAAAGCACATTGAATTTCTAATAGTCCACTGTTTAAATTTTTATGGGATATTTTTTTAAAATTTTTTAAAGTTTTATCTTAATTAACAATTCTATCTTAAGTTACTCAAAAATATCGTCTATTTCTTACCTTCATTATTTTCTTGCACGCCGACATCAAATGCTAATTTATCGTTGGATGAGCATGATGACAAGCAAGCGAGATACTGGAATTTTAAATATTATTCGTCATTTAATTATTATCAATATTTCTTCTTTCGTCAAAAAATGAAATCCATTGAAAATACTCCGACATTAAGGAATGATTTCCTAATAACCGTCTAATACTATCTTGTTGAGTATTTTTCTTTTCAGTGAATTTCATCTAATACTATTTTGTTGAGGCTTATATAATCAATTTCATTTATTATAACCTGTAAATTATATATTAATATTAGACAAAATATTTTGTGATAGACTGGTAATTATCAATGAAATTTCACTCAGTTAACCAACCATTTCACTTTGGACGTGTTTGAGTTGTATTGCATGACCATACAACAGGGTTTTATGACCTCCGCCACTACCTGTTCCTCTCTGAAATGAAATTTGAATTTCATTTATTAAAAAAGGAATGAGAAAAACAAAAAAAGAAATATGGAACAAAATTTCCCAGATATAAAGTTTCAGTATCATTAAAAATTCACTTACAGCAAAAGTAATGAAATTTCTAATCGTGAAATAAGCTGTGATTGTTTCACAAAACTAGAAATCAAAACTAAAAAATCTAATATGACTGAAAATTTACCAATTCATTATCATTACTCATCATTTCCTGAAGTGCTCGCACCGATAACGCATTATCAATATACAACATGCACATGGATATATCTGGTGGAATGTCCTGAAGTATTGATTTGAAAGATAATGAAATGAGAAAATTCTCATCATACTAACATAACATTTCAAAAGTTATATATTTTCAGTTCAAGAAATTAATCTTAAGCAAATAACCCGATCTGAAACATTTTCCAATGAACACATGCGATTACCAAACCCTTCAGTACAGAGACAAACTCGTTCAGAACCGAGAACACCTTCACGATTTGCTGATGCCATACATGTCATTGCAACGATATCACCCTATAAACTTACTTAATTAAATAACTGATAGATTTTCTAATTGTGTAAATAATTAATTAAAGCAGAATATAAGCTACTGAAATTTCTTTCACTTTGTTAAAAGGAGTTTAAAAAAAAGTACCGTCCGTAAAAATGAGATATCATCCTGTTCTCCATCACCTGTCCCTTCTTTATCCGTCATTTTTATCTCTCTTCCTTAAATTCGATAATCTGAAAAGAATTAAATTTGAAGAAAAGACAAAACAAATGTAAATTTAAATTCCAAATAAAGAAACTTACCGCAACAAATATTTTTCAATAATATTTGAAATTCATTCAATATTGAAAATAGAAAGAAATAGTTGAAGGAAGCAATCTATCGCTAACATTTAGTTGAAAGAGCAAAATGAACTTTTCACTTTTTCTGAGATAATCGAAATCCTTCGTTGTAATAAAAAAGGACGCCTGCCAAGCAGCTCTGAAAAACTTCTCTTATTTAAATCAATTCATAGTTGAAATGGTTGAAGAAAAGTTTTGAGTCAAAAAGGATTTCAAAAGAAATATACATCTTATCCTATCATTTCATTCAACTTTATGCCTTAAATTTTAGAGGCACCTAAAAATTCGTATAAATTTCATTGCATAAGTCGCTATTAATAAGAATAAAAAAATCTTAATTGACAGTTCGAGTAAATTTTAAAAGGTTTTTTTTTACTTTATTGCTTTACTAAATATATCGACTCACTAAAAAATTGCGAGATGTCAAAGGTTGAAGTATGTCAAAAACTGTCAATATGTCAAAAGATGTCTAAAGTTAAAGTATTAAATTAGTCAGTGCAACTTGCATGGTTGTAGGTCTAAGATTTCTTTAATCTCACACTTATAAAAGTGTAGGTTATCATCTAGCTGTTGTTAAATATGATAATCGAGTTATTAATCAGCCAAATGAAGCAAGTTTTAGCTATAAAATTCATTTTATAAGTTAATTGACAGGTAACTTTAACACTAATATTTTTTCAAAATTATAGATAAATCTTATTAGATAAACCCAATTATAGATAATATTTCTTATGCCAATTAAAATATTGACGGTAAAAATCCTTAACCTTTATCATTTATCATTTTATTTTATTATTAAATAGTTTCATCTTAGTAATACATCTGTAACTGTCACCAAGAAGTAGGTTATCTATAGTTTTGTACATAAGTTGCGATAAAATAAGCCTTAATTCAAAAGTTGGGCAATATATCAACAAGGATAAATAATAAACATTGATTCTGATAAGATTAATTCTGTTGAATCTATGAGGAAATAAAAAATCAAAACTTTTATTGCTGAATGTGAATGATAAAAAGAATGGATAATTTAATTTAAATTTTAAGTTCAAGTAAGATAATTAAAACTTGCAGTAATATTCTGTGAGAAAGAAATTAATCGATTGAAAAGATATTATATACTAAAAATGTTCACATTTCTTATCACCATATTTACAATGATCACTCAATCCTTTCCTCCGAACATTTGTTGGATAAAATTTATTCTCCTTTAATGTCTCAATTAAAATATAAAAGTTTTGGGAGAAGAAGTTATGATGATGATGTAAGTAAGATTAAAGTGCCTTCTTATTAGATGCATTTCAATCCAGTCAGCTGTTAAGTTGAAAGTGGTGGGGAAATGAAATGAGATAAAGAAAAGTTTTAATTGTTATTCGGCAATTCAAAGCTACAAATTATTATCAGTTAAAAAAATCAAAGACTTAAAAATGAGTGACATAATTTGATAGGGAAATTAATTCGTCGGATATTATGCAAATAGGAAATGCTATCCGATTTAAATTATGAAAAAAAGAAAACGTGAAAAAAATTTTTTCAAAAAATTTATGCATAAAAACTTGAACTTCCTCTCTCTTCTTGACAGTATCATCAAATATAATTGAAGAAATATTTGATAATATTTTAGAAAATCTGAACTTATAAAACGTTTGAATTATTTCGTAATAAATAATAGAGATTGTTGAATTTTTCTAATTTTGATTTCATTGTTAATTAGTGAAATTGCCAACTGTACACACAAATACTTGCTCATCCAGTTATTTTAGCTGCAACAATCTACTTTAATTTATATTTCAGCAAACAAACTAATATCATTTGTACCTCGATAACTCGGGATATAGTAAGATGAATTGGTTTAACGATCTTGAACCATTATAAAACCCACAATAATTATCAGTGCTATTAGTTGGATAAAAATTATTTGTATAAGGATTTTGTGAAAATTTTTTATTTTACATTTTAATTATAAATTAATAATATATCGATAGATAATTTCATCCCTAAAGATATTTAAAATAAAAGTAAGAGGGTCGAGGATGAAGTTATAAAAAATTCAAAGTATATATAAAACAATTGAAATTAATAATTGTTGTGACTGAGAGAAGATGTAAAAATTAAAATTAAAAACAAGTCGCTCTCAGCAATGATAATGCTATAAAATTATGATTGAGATATTTGATGGAAATTTGACGGAAAAAATGATTCCAACGGAGCTGATCAGAACAGGTTAGCAATGGAAGGTAAGGAAAAGTTTAAGAGTAAAAAAGATTTATGAGTGTAAATCTAGCTAGTCAGCCGGCTAGCTTACTAACTGACTAACTGCTCAATTTCGATTAATCTGTTAGTATTGATACGAGATATGTATGAGGCTCTCTCAAAAAAGAATAAATATGAAGGAGTGATAGAATAAGTTGAAGAAGCTCAATTGCTTAAAGCTCAATCTTCCGAATTTCGAACAAATAGATAGTTTGATGTTGTTAGTATATGCAAACACACTCAACATATGACACACTAACCGCTGTATATATATACACACACACATACACACACATAACACGACATGATGAACAATTCTTAATGGGCTAAAATAAAGTGTAAACTTTGCTTGAAAGTACCGCTTCTCCCATTCCTCAATTTTATTTCTAAAGATTAACTTTGCTATGAAATAATACAATAATTATGACATAATCGAAGGCAGAATATGGTTTGTAGTAAGTAGAATTGATCTCTGTATATTGGAAGAGGAAATTTAAGGACTACTAATATAATTGAATCAGGTGAATGATTGGAAAGTTTTGAGATTATAATTTTCAACATATTCCTTTTCCAGTAATTTTAATTTATAAGATTGAGCAAAGACTATTAATTCCTTCATCATCTCTCTTTTAAAAATCAGTAAATTCATATCGTACAATATACCTTTTTATATGAAAAAGTTTTAAGCAACTCCATTAATCAAACCTTACTTGTACATATTAAAAAAAATTGATCTAACACGACAATTACATAGTCAGCAAATTTCTAGTAGTACAGAAATGGTGGTCGGGAAATGATTCAGCCATTTTGAACTAACTTGTTATCCTATGCTTTTAACTATATGATATATATGCTTTACATCTCTGCGCAATTCAAAACATATAAATCACAAATCGTTTTTCCATTTTTCTTTTATCTCGAATGACGGCCACAAAATAATAATATTTACGCTTAGCGCCATATAAGATCTTCTTCCACCAAATCTATCAACAGCGTTTTCGGTTCCACAAGCTTAAATTTTCTAAAATATTTTTTAAAGGTCGCCACAACCTCCATGGCGAGCCATAAAAATGATCCGCAGAGACAACAATTAGAAAGGGAGGATAAGTTTCCTTTAGGAGTCATCTGTTGGTTCATTTTGAAACATGACTTATAAACTCAAATAGCATGGCAAATAAACAATCATTTTATTCTGAAACTCGAACAGCCCCACTGGCCTATAGTTTTGAATTATTTAGCGATTATACAGAAATTTCGAAAGCTCGACTGCATCAGTGTAAAATGAACATGTGATAAAATAGGGACAATAATCACAGGTCAAACGCTAATCAATAAACACCAGAAAATCATGGGAAATCTTCTCTTCAAACTAAGATAAATAAACTTTGCACAAGAAAAAGAAGATACCATGATAGACGTTAAATATGCCAGCAAAGTCTGGAATCTGAAAACTTTGAAAACTAATAAGAGGAAGAGTTCACAATCTGATAATGACTCAATTTCTGCTGTGAATCTTGAAACACGCATAAGAGAATTCATGAAGTAAAATTTGAAAAACCAAATAACCTTTGTTTTCAACAATGATGAACAACAAAATCTCTTTTTTTTCAGCCGTTTTCGACTATACTTTACCCTATTATAAGATCTCACCATTTTCTCCTACTAAACCACAAAAATTATTTTTTTGCCCGTCTTCTTTTTCGATCCCACCCATCCATTGGCATTCGAAAAGTAACGTGCAAGCGATCTAATATTTCCATAAGTGTCTTCTTCGGAATCTGTGATACAGCAGAATCGGCATGCGATAAACGGTTCGCAAACTCTTCCTGCAAAAAAATGCATGATTTACATCAATCACAGCAAAATATGAATCCATTCGCTTTCATCTTTATCCCTCACTGTAAATCAAGTGATAAACTTTTTGGCCCTTTATGAAATTTTTTTAAGCTTAAGAATAATCACTATATTAAAAGATTTAATTGGGTGAACTTACAAAACAAATCACGTTTAGGCCAAGCAGATGATTGTACAAACTAGAATTTTCTTCCCTGCGTAGCCAATTAAGCAAAACGCTTTGCATACCTTCCAAATCCTGCAAGCAAATTAATCTGCATAATTTGGATAACTCTGTAAATAAATCAGTATTTAACTGTATCTTTGATCTAAAATCTTTACCGAAAAAAGTAATAATCATTCCTTTTAATTCTTAACGCCTCATTAGCATTTCATAGACAAACCGCATCAATATGAAAATATCCAGAAATATCAATGAACTGCTTACTTTTGGAAGAACTGCAGACTGTTCTTCATTCACACAAGACTCCTCCATGATGTCATATTCATTTAAACTTCGATTTAATGTTTTGTCCGTATCGAATTCTTCATCACTACAATACTCTTCGCTCTTCTCTGCCATTATTCGCCTATTACTTCTGTTTCTCCTTGATAATGGTGTACTCTCTAGCACTGAAAATAATAAAATTTATCAAATGAGTGCTCGATAAGACCACTGCCCACTCTTTAATGACATCTTCAATTCTTTTTAATTAATACCATTTTTAAATCTTGGTATGATGATCAGAAAAATCTAAACACTAGAAATCTTTTTTAATTTATAATACGGTGAAATATTTTTTCAATTACATAAAAAATGGAATCATCAATTACATGATTAAATAAATGCGAAGAAACCTGGATGTGTTTCCTCATAAATCCTTTTAAGGAGTGTAACCCCTCGTTTTTTACCCATCGGTCTTATACCAAATTTTGCCAATTCCGCCTGCAAAAATACAAGGATAAAAAATCTTAAAATTTTGATAAATTTAACCTGCAAAATTTTTAGAAGTTTCAAGTTAATTTCTTGACTCTGCAGACAAAAAAAATTTAACGCCCATATTTTTTAGAGAATACAGAACCATTTTTTGAAAGAAAACATAACAACTTGAATTTGAGGAAAAATTTTACAACGAAAAAAGTAGTCGATGAAATCTAGCTTTTATACTTTTTCCATTATCATGTGTTACTGGTACAAGAATTAGAAGGACGAAACAAAACAAGTACCTACCTTTAATTCTTTATCATTCATCAAATCATAAGCCGGCATTGGTGTAATATTTTTCGTTTTCAGAATCTTTACGTCCGAATTCAGTTCCTCGAATCGCCGTACAAGACGACTTGTTGGAACCTCCGGTGTGGAGGCTTGACGCGTAAGGACTGTTGTTCGCATTCTTTTTTTTTCTGGTGACAAGGAAATGTTGTTGGGAGAAACAGAAGCCCGATCGAGTAATGATAATGCTGACAACAAAGGTGATGGTGACTTTCTTGGAAAGAATGAAAATTCTGGACTACTTTTCGTTTTTATCAATGACTTCCTAGACAAATGAGTTTCTTTAGATTTAGAAGTGGAGTTTGATGAGCTGAGGAGTTTTTCCGGTGATAAATTGTCGAATAAATTATCAGTTATTGCCTGACCGGAATGAAGTGGAGATAAAAGTTCTTCATCGCGTGACGGCAATGGTTTGATTGGTGAAAGTTTTTTTAGCAAACTTTCAACGGAGTCATTAAAATGGTCTACGGCATCTACATTTGCAACACAAAGAGGCAGTGGAGAAGAAGAAATAGGAGCATCAAGTTTATCAATTCCTTTCTCTAAAAATCCACACTTTTCATCCATCAATGACTTCTTATACTCTGGTAACGAATAATAAAGTAATTCAGGATCCCCACTAATGAATTCATCATCTTCGTTGTTAAGGAATTCTGATTCTGGTGGTCTAGACAAATTTTCTGATGCTTCTTTCAATAAACTGCGCATACTTTTTGCCGCTTCAACAATCTCAGTATTTCCCCTAACTTCCTCAACAAAAATAATTGATGGATCATCCGAATTTGTATTCGTTGTTTCTTCTTTTCCATCATCACAAACTCTTGGCTTTGCATCAGAGCAATGTCGTCCTCCTTCCATTTCTTCAATTTTTTCCTTACTTGGAACTTTTTTCATACCATCATTAACGTCTATTTCTTGACGGCATTCTGCAGTTTCTTTGTAGGAATTCACTTTCGACTTCGCAGATTTACATAATGCTGCTAAACCCTTCGGTCCATATTTTACAGCCATGGAATGCACTTCTTCACGCTCATTTTCGGTCCAAATTATTGAAGCCGAAATTAAAAAGGCCAAGTAAGACCTGAAAGATAAATTATTAAAGTAAAAATATGTGAAATGACTTCTTTTAATAAACTTTCAAAACATTAACAGTGCAGTAAAAATAAAACAAAGCTGAAAAATTTATATGCTATAAGGTGTGAGAATGTGAGAAGTGAGAAAAATAATTTTGAGGAATTATATTTCGAGGAACTAAATTTAATAAGACATTTTGATCAGAAATTAAATACTGATAATAATATATAAAAACATTGTTACCTGACTGCTGCTCCTGAATATTCCCTTAACATCAAAGAACCATCCGGATTCAAGTGCTGGAAAGTACTGGTGCACTTATGCAAAAGGTATGCGACCCTCACTTTAATATCTACCATGGTTACTTCCTGACTGGCAAAATCAAACAACTTGGAAGTAGTACTATAGAATTTTGATAGTGCTCATTATTTTTAACATTTCTAGAATTGCAAAACATCTCGAATATACTAACGTTAACAATTGGTCTTTGATACAACAAAAAGTTAGTTCAAAAAAATTTAAAAGAATTCCTCCATATAAGACTTTCTGAAAATTAAAGAAACCTGTAAAAGTGTTGGTGCTCGAGCAGCTATAATAAATCGACAAGCTAAAAAAGTTTCATTTTCGCGTGAAAAAATAATAATATCACTGTTGCTTTCAGTAAAACAAGCTAAATCATTTGCCAGTTGCTCCAAGCTATTCATCTGCAAGAAAAGATTTTATCGTTAAAATATAACTTGCATCAAAAAGGATTTTATTCCGTGTTTGCTCAAAAATATTCTAAAAGGAACTTCAGATAAGCACATTAGCATTTTAGATTAGAAAAGAATAATAAAAGTTGACTAAACAAAATGATGTAAGTCATCTGATTACCTGCTACCGTGCATTTATCATATAAATGCTAACCTTACGCACGCACACTCCTGCACTTTTCAAGATCTCTTCGGTATTTTGAATTTTTTCTTTCAGCATTATGTGCACATCTTGTTTTTCATCTCGAGTTTTGAAAATGTTGAGAAAATTCTCCTGAAAATTTAATTCGTACATAAGACAGTGAGATTAAATTAAGTAAATCCTACATACAATCAATCGATTAGTAATATGTATTTTATAAAAGAAAAAGGCAGAGGAGACTGCAGTAAAGCCTGAAAATCGAAATAGATGCTAGAGTAAAGAAAAACCAGAAGATAATACTCTAAAAGCTTGCAAAAAATTAGACAAGATTTGTTTTCAAATAAAATATGCAAAATGAAGGGAACCTGTATTTTTTCAATCACTTCACACTTGCATGCACGTGGTTCAAGCTCTACAAACGAAAATGATCGAGGTCGTAGCTTTCTGCATCTGATTTTAGGTTTCTGTGGTATCTCCTGTGTTTCCGAGTATAGTTCACTACAATGCAAACAGAGGATAGCTATTCCATAATAAAAGAGCTATTTCCAACTGAAATTTTTGACAGGAATTTTTTTTAGAGAAAGGAAACAAAATCTGATTGTAACAACGTACGAAATTAATGCAAAGAGCTGAAAACTGCTGGAAATGTTCAATCAAATGTTAAAAAGTGTAATAAAAAAAATGGGAGATCTGAAAGGTGAGAATGCGAGGAAAGCAGTAACACTAAATTTTTTAGATATATTGCGTTAAAATCAAAAGGTTTGATAGCAGTAACACTATAGAGAAATACCCTAAAACAAAAAACAACTGTTAGTAAAGAAAACCTTCCACTGAAGGACATGCTTGCAGATAACGCTGTCGTCAGCTTTATTTGCTCATCAAATAGTGAACGTGGTTCCTCATTGAACCGATTCGGACGCTTTTTTTTTTCTAATTTTGGCTCCTTTAATCTAAAAACAATGAATATACAAAGCAAGATAAGAATTTCGAATAAAGTCATCGTTTTGTTTGTAATTTTTAACTGTTAATGATGAGTTTCAAAAATGTGGATCGAAAAAGCTCATACTTTGTATGTATAGTACCATTTCGTTTTTTTGCTTCCGCTACTTTCGTCTGCGTATCCAACAGCAATAAAAGACTGGTAGGATTAACGTGATGCTTTTTACCACAGCGTTTGGCATGTGCTGCACGGAACTGAAAAATTTATTTCTGAAAAATTTGTTTCGGAACTAAAAAAGATAGTATAATTCCTACCTAATTTATAAGTAACGAAATTGACCTAAATAATTCCTCTTGTCTATATACACTCTCTTCTTTCTTTGATTCTGCTGACAAAGAAATTCCATCTAATAATAGTTCACCTAACGATAATGGAAGTACAAATGAAAGCAAAGAATTCAGCTACGAGGACAAGATTTGGAATTAATCATAATGAAACTCACAGTGTTATCAGCACAAATTTACGAATATTTTGCCTCTGGAAAACTTACTGGTCCTGGCTCTAAAGGTTCACCGCATATAGGACAATCAACTACTTTTTTCCATTCTTCCTTTTTTGCTTCATATTTACTGCATGCCTCTTGCTGGTCCAAACAATGATTGATATGTAATGATTTGCGCAATTCATCCATATGTTTCAAATCCTTTAAATATCTTAAAGTCAAACACTATTTGTTTTATTGATAATTTCTCAAAATAAATGGCTGCGTGCAAATAATGTCCATTTTCGACTATTTAATTAATCAGCAAAAGTATCCTTTAGAGTAAAATTAATAAATGCTGTAAACAAATGCACGACATATAATGCATAAGACGAGAGATAAACACTAATTAAGGTGAGAAAATATTTTTGTTACCATTGCAAAAGAGACACGATACTTACCTTATTGCATACGAAGCACTTGTCCTTATCACTACCCGGTAGCAAATAATCACTGGTAATCACTGGCTTTGAAATAATTTCGTCCTCCGATTTGCATTTTAGCTCCCTGGAAATCACTTTAATCGCATTATTCAATTATATATCGTTATCTCATCAATTAATTAAATATCTTTCATTCATTCCACATACAAAGAAAATTACTTCTTTTTGATCAGAGAGATACTTTGAGCTCTTTGTGGTGATAAATTTACAAAAAACTAAAATATATGCACTTGCAGTAGTACCGTTTGTTTAAGAAGGAAAGTTTGAATGATAAAAAATCTGTGTTACTAACAGCGAATAATATCCGTTTGTTCTACTTACCTGGTCGATTTAAGCGATTTCTCTATAAAATCTGAGTCGTCCATTGAATAGTTTTTTTTGACAATCAATAATCAAAATGCATATCAGCCTGAAGTAAGTCATCAGGTACTCATAGCGAGAGTAGTATCCGCTACGTATGAAAATAGAACCATGAAATAGAAGATTGCCATGAATTTGTCGAAGTAAGATAGATGCAAACGAAAAGCAGAAGACGAGAGAATTAAAAAACCGCCTTTTACACAGTTCAAAATGGCCCAGGTGATCTTTTTAGGACCTGAAGATAAATCCGTTAATCTGTAGGAATATATGAAACAGACTTCACAATATTGTTGCTTGATTGATTGATTTTTGCTCGGTAAAAGATGTTCCAAAACGGACAAAACCGCTAACAGAGGAAATGATCGAAGAGAAGATGAGAATGATATAAGTGATCAGCAGAGTGAATGATTTTTAAATTAACAATAACGCTTAAATATTTAAATTTTAATAAAATCATAGCATTGTGAATGTCTGCATGCCAACGCTTTTAATTATTTATTTATCAATTGAATACGTCATATCCATATTTTGCATAAATTTATTACTTCATTGATATGACATGTTTGGTTAAATATTTTGATTGGAGTTTGGAGCAGGAATGGAAAGCTTTATCAAAATAGATTTTAGTGGTTATCAGTTGATATCTCAGATCACTGAATGTAAAATCATTAGAGCAGATTTATTATTAAGAAATATTTTAACGATTGATTATCAGTGATATCAGTGATGGGGATGGTTTCAAGAAGGAAATCTCCGGTTCATTTGTTCAGGAAATTAATGATGCTTATAACAATAGTGAGAATGACAAGACGAATGGTGGCGGATATCGTTACTCCTGCCTGAAAAATTTATTATTTACCTTAGACGATACGATAAGCTTCTTCCTGATCAGAATACCAAAGACGAAAACATCAGAAAATGCTTTATAAATTTTGTTCACCTCCAATGTAAATTCAAAAAATTGAAACGTAAAATATTATGTTTAATTTTGACTTTGACATTAACTTGCTTAAATTACATTTTCATGATGATAATATCAATAACTCTGAATGCTTTTTTACTGTTATAAATAAGTATACCGAATGGTATAGGAAGAGGGATGAAATTTACAATAATACTTTAGTAATATTTATTTCATCAAACCATATTTGGAACATTTAGTAAAAGTAATCAGAAGTTAATGAACATCCGAACATAATTAATTTAATTAGCAAAGAAAGATACCATTGCGATGTTCCGAAAAAGTATGTCGTCCACAATCGTAGCATTTTAAAACATCTTTTGGCGTATTTTGATTGTTCGGTCCAGCAATTATATGAACAATAGATCTGCATCCTTTTGTTTTATGATGATGATTAGGCGCTGATTGCATTTGATTTGGAGCGTGAAGTCTTTTCGCTATAATTTAGTATTTAAAAAAGCGTAAAGTCTTCTCGTTAAAATATTTAAAAAATAAATTTGAATTTAACTCGAAATTGAAAATTATCCTTTTATATAAATTATTGATATAAAATATATATTATAATAATATATTTGACGAATTTCACTCTATAGGATGTGAAAATTTTTTGAAATATAAAGAAATAAAGATGCTTATGAAATGTAAATGAAATGATACTATTAATTGCAGACGATGAGATTAGATGAGATCGACACTTCCGATTCGATTGCCCACAAATTCTTTTACAAGTACATTTTTGACATGAATATGTCTTAAATTTGTAAAGTTAAGCAAATCAATGAAATGAAATGAATGAGGGAAGGTCAGAGTTCCATCAATCGTAATATATTGCTTAACTTTTCAGATTTAATCTTTACTAATCATTGTTAATCAATTTATCAATTTATTTTGTCGTTTCCATATAAATCCAAACCTTCTTGTTTGGGAAATTAAAAATAACGGAATAAATGAAGCCTCAAAACACGAACATAACTAACATTTGGTTTAATAAAATTATTTTTCGATCGTGTTTGCTGATACATCGGTTTTGAGCAATGGATGATGAAATTATTAAACTAAATTATCAGTGATTAAATTATAAACTAGATTATCAATTAAACTACCAAATCAAATTATGAATAATTAAATTATCAAAACAATATTATCAGTGATCATCCAAAATATCTCTGATCAAGTATAAAGAGGATTGAAATCAAAATTAAATTCAATTCATCATTCTTTCAACCATTGAGAATATATGTTGTTGGCTTCATTTCAATCACCATATTTGGCAAGTTTGTGATATTTCCTTTTAGCCAAATAACAATAATAACAAATTTGAAAAAGAATTTTTTCGAAATGAAACAAAAATGTTTGACTAACTTTGTTTTCTTTACTTCTCTCTCTTTCATTTATATGAGTTACATCAATCTTTCTTGATTTATAATTATTTCTCCCACAATCATTACTGCAACATGCGCCAACTTTCTGAAATACATAATTCATTGATATCTTTTACTATGTTAAATTTATTTTGAGAATTTTCACAAAATTGATAGTATTCTCGAAATTAGCATAATATTGAATTATAGTGATTTGATTCAAATCGATACATAAGAAATGATTAACAGGGAGGGATATACCAATGAATGGTTGGTCCTCTTATACATTATTACTAGTTTAGGCTTGTTTTATTTTATCTCAATAAAATGTCCCTATCATACTAAGGATGTTAATTGGAGAAAATATTTATTTCATACCATATCATCACAAACATTAAAGTGTTGTTGACAATTGTGTTGATTTTCGCTTACGTTGAAAGGTATAGGAGAGCGAGAAATTTGATGAGAACATATCGGATGACAATAATATTCGGCTTCCTTAGTGCAATAACAATTACAGTGATTCATGTCATTTGTTGACAAAGGAATTTGACCATTTTTTACGAAACTACGAGGATCATGCGAAATCATTCCGGAATTTTCCGATATCTGTGACTTTTGTAATTTCATTTGTGAAATATTAGTAGATGGTTGCTTTCGTACGTCAGAAATATTGCGGAAATTATTCTTTCCATTCATACATTGTGAATTATTATGATCAGTAATTAATTCTTCTGCTATATTTTCCTCTTCAATTTCATTACATCCCATAATTGATTCCGGTAAATTTGATTGTGTTGCTTTCGATGTTTTTAATTGTTGATAAGTTTGAGGAATTGGTTGAGTCTTTGATAAGCTTAACTTTTCATCAACATATTCATTATTATTTTGTATATCTATCTGTAAGAAATTGATAATATGCCTCAGATTTCATCTTATTTAACTTTCAAACAATATTTCATTTTTCTATAAAATTTTCTGAAACAAATATTCCAACGCAAAACATATAATTTATCATAGCGACAGCTTATAAATAATATAAAGCATTGAGTTAACAATTTACACTAAAATACACTTAGGTATATCTTATCAGTTAATAAACTTGAAAATAGTCCTAGTTGAGAAACAGGTTGATATTAGAAACAATTATAGTTACATTGAAATTACCAGTTGTATCAATACTAGTATAGTGTCGTAAGAACGAACCTGTGAACCCATCCCCCGTCGCTAATCAGTTAATGAGCAATAAAATGAATCACAATAATCATAACCAAACTAATCGTTAATAACATTATTGAATCTTTTTCCAAACATTTATTTCCTTGATTGAAATTGAATATGCAAAAATTTGTTTTGTACTTCTTTATAGAAAAAAGAGGAAATATCTCTGAGAAGTCTTGGAATACATAGTTAACGTAATTTATAAAAATTGCTTTAATCAATAATTTTTTTTAAATCAAATCGATAGATAGGATTCTAAGTTTATAGGTTACGAGAAATATTTGCATGATAACTTATTACTAATTTAAAATCTTAAAATCATATTTAGTTCAAAATAAATCATATCGTTGAACGACGGCGAATAAACAAGCTGGACGATGCATTAATTGGGATTTATAACAGAGGCGGACGATGCATGAAAAGAATTCGATGATTAAATTTGTGATGATTTTGATATATGGTCATATGATTCGAAAGCAAAGAGTTTTGTCCATTTCAATCTAACTAAATGTTAATGATCAAGGTTAAATCTTTTAACGGGATTGAATACCTCATTAATCGGGATTAAACGATTGGAACTGTCAGAATTTGTCCGTCGAGGAAAAGTAAGGACAAAGAAAAAAACAAAAAAATTCTCCTCTTAATTTAATTATGATATCAAATTGAATTTCCTTGGTATAGCCACTTACTGTAACGTTTCCGACTTTACCAATTAATTTTTACGTATTCAGTGGAATTCTGCTTTTATAAAACTACAGAATTACTCTTTTCATGGGCTATGCTTACGCTTGTTTGGTCGTGAAAAATTTATATTGCATAAGAAAATTTTAACGGTGAATTTTCAAACAAATAATTTATTGAGATAATTGAACTGTTGTTGGATCAAAAAAAAATGTATATAATGCGTCAGAATAAGGTGTGAATTAGATATGTTGACGTTATTATACATGACATCTTTTTTTAATTTACACCTGTTAACATGTCATAAAATACGTGTAGAAACGATCAGATTACAACGCAGGACATTAAAGACTTGTAAACATTTCTGATGCACGGAACCACATTTAATTGAAAGTGCGAAAGATGAAAAAAAGCCTAAATCAGGTGACTAATAATTTTGTATTTTCCATGAATTTGTGATAAAAGCAAAGAAGTATCGTGCTAAAGTAATTAATACTAAATGATATCATATGCAGTAATTTATGACAACCGAAATTATTTCTGGAAATGAAGGGTTACGGGGAAAAATTTTTCAATAGCAGCGATGATATAGTTGTGTAATGTTCAAACAATTTTTTATTAAAAAAAAGACAATTTCTACGACTTTTTATTGAAGGAAAAAACAATTCCTATGTAATTTGATAATCTGAATGTCTAGAAGCACCTAAGCAGACCAAAATAACAAATAATTCAAGGAATCATCAATTTCACGTTTGTCACCGTCAACTTGTTTAGTACCACCATCGAATCCTTCACCACCACTTACTACGAACATCTGAAATGAATTGTAGTGAAAGTGAAGCAATCAATAACATTCCCATCTTATTCATCGATATACCATTAGTCGTATTTTGAAGAGAAAAAAACTTAACTTCAAACGAATACTCAAATATAAGAAACTTTGATATGACAAGATTGTAAAATAAAGTTCATGAAGTTTATAAAGATGTTTTTATTTATTTTTGAAGTGATTAAATCAATCGCCGCAATATAGTGATATAAAATGTCACCTGTTCAATCTGTTGTAATGTAGGAGCATTGAGTGACATTCGTCGACGTCGTAAATCGAATGATGGTGTTGCTGTAGCCGAAACAGCGGTAAGAAATCTACAAGGTCCGATATGCCTTGCTTGGCACACTGAAATGAAATAAAATATTGTTTAACATTGCTTGTCATAAACGTTTACCAATTTACCATGGCGTAAAATTTCGAGAGCTTTTGGCTTGTAGTAACATTAAACGAAATAAAAATAGTAGTTAAATTTCTGTAATCTTAAATTACTTTAAAGATATCTTTCCCAAAGTCAACTGATCCTTAAAATAAAAGCGCCAACTAAATTTATTTAAAAAAATCATCATCGTAAATTTGATAATATCATTAAATATCAGATTGACTCTGCTTCGAATTCATATTTAACAATAAATTCAGAAAATTTGCACGCTTTCAATAAGCATTAAAAAAACAAGGTATTTAATGATATTATCAAATCTGCGATGATGAATCAGTATCATCTAAATGATTATGATTAGCATCTTATATGGCACCATAAAATTGAAAAAGCAAATATTCCTGCTAAGATTCTTTTCTCATTCCTATTTAAGTTTTTCCCTCCTTTAAATTTGTAATCCCTATATAACTCCTCTTCTATCAATTTGTCGGCATTATCAAAAAAGCATTAATTAATCATCATTTTTAATTACTTTCGAAAGATACCGTTCAAAGAAGGTGTCCAATTTAATAGTTTGCTATTCGGAATGACCGTATTGATAACAATACCAGCAGAAGTACCAATCCAAAGACGATTGTTACAACATAAAAGTGATGTTATCCTCAAACATCCCATCTTATGTTTCCGAATGATATCTTCGCTACCTGTAGACAAAATTAATTGAAAAAGTTGAAAGAAATATTTTACCATATGATATATGTCACAAAACAATAACACATTCATTTCCCAGTAAATGAATAATACAATGGCAAGTATTTGAATAGTTTTTGGATTTCAAAACTAAAAATATTAAAAAACAAACTTAGCTATGCTTAAAACACATTGAAGTTAATTCTCTTAAGAAGGAACACAACTGCAAACTTACTCGACAATGCCTTATTGACAACATGTGAAATACTAAACTCCTGCTGACAGCCCAGAGTAAAGGCATTGATTACTTTAACAGTCGACGATTTATTCATGGCTACAAAAATTGTTGAACCAAGTACAGCCAAGCAAGTTACCGTTTCCATTGCACTTGTGCTTACTGCTGCTTGTTTCTTCAATAAATAATCAAATTTCTTCAAAATTCAAACTACCAAATATAAATCTATCTTCCTTATTTTCAAGATGAGCGCATACTTATGACCTTAAAATCTTGCGCACTGTCAAACAGTAATTTTCATTAACCTGTGCTCTTAACTAAATTTTGTACTCTAAATTTATCTTCCTAAGCAGACATTGAATTTCACAAATATCTAAGGATAAGTGAAAAGCAAACTCTTTGAGGGTTTTGTAATCTGTGAAGAAAAAAGTACGGCATGTACATGAACAATAAAAACTTTTGTGAAACTCAATGGAATTTGCTTCTCTTATCATATTATTTTTGTATCTTCAAAAAGAAATATTTTCAGTTAATTGAAAATCTTACCTCAATTTGCAAAGTGGTAGCATTCAACAGATAAACTGAATTGCCAGATGCAAAACAAAGCCGTGAAGCAGCAACGCTCATTGGTCTCAAACGTTTGCGAAAATTTATTTGAACTGATTTTGGATTGTCCAAATCCCATTTACCTTCTGAAAAAGAAGACAACAATCAAACAGATACTTTTCTGCCTCTATCAATAAATTATCTTATTTGTACAACGTAAGAGAATAATCTTCTGTCAATATACTATTTATTATGGCTATATTCCTTCCTGATGCTGCTCAGTGAGCCTTTCGTTAACCGCTATACATAACATCAGTCTGACAAAAAAGCTAACGTCATTAGTTATTGAACTACTTTCCTTTAATCTATCCTCCACTCTAGTAGTCAACAGATCATTGAACTTTTTAGGTTATTTGATTATATATTTCAATTTGCCGGAATCTTATGTAATGAAAAAACTATATTTTGCAGAAGTTAACTACTATTACTAACGCTAATATTGCTTTCTCTATATATAATATCTATCGCAGACAATGCTGGAATAATGGATAGTTTTATTGAAAAAATAAATTATTGAAACCTTTATTTCTCTGGAAATGTAATAGTTGAATGTGCGAATTTGATGAGATCGAAACAAAAACTTTTTCTTCTAAATAAACGATGTCATCCACAGGCATCGGAAGTCTGGCCATCCTTTCACAAGCTTTCAATCGAACGTTATCCAAAAAATTGAAAACAAATATTCTGAAATAAGTGAACAGATGAAGAAAGATAAGCGTTGTATTTTTGATACACATTGTTGATATTACTTTTTTGATGACAGTTCCCTCAAAAAGTCTTTTTCCAATCTCAGTGGATGTGAAATATGCCTTTGAAAGCCTCATTGAAAATTGAATCACATCTTGGAATGGTGAAAAATGGATTTTCAAGTCAACGTCATCGAGGAGGAATTAACGTAACTCGTAATAACTCCCACTATAACTCGTAAAAATCAATTAGTAAACTAATTAAACTTTAATTGATTTTCCTGCATTTAGTGGAACCACTATTTGTAATATATTGCTAATGAATCGTTCAAGCTTCGAATGTTATTTCTTATACTAAAACAAGGATGTTTTTAAGATTTTATGAATGATTAAAATGAAAACATACCTCGAAATGAAACTGTCATTATTAAGCTGCCATTATAAGAAATTTTATTGACAACTGGTAATTTTTGGATTAAAAAAACTGTTTACTAAAAAATGAACTAACTTACTCGCCGTCTTCATTGCCAATCCAGATAGTGGACTGAACATTTTGTCGAACTGTTTCAAAATCCGATTCACCCGATTCTGATGAAGTGCTAAATGTAAGTTATATTTTATTACTCCTCTCCGGCCAATATTTTTTTAAATGTTTCTGTGAAACCTTCTGAAATTTCAATATCTTACATTAGACTCGCAAAACAAACCTGTCCAGCTCCAAACAAGGTATATCTCTCACCGATGAGTTCACCAATTTTGCTAATCTTCTTTTTTTCCTGGAATTCAGTGAATCATTTAAACAGCAATTCTGGAAACACAACAGCATATAATGAATGTGTGAAACACAGCAAGAGAAAGAGGTAAATATGAGAAACATGCAAAATGTTTAATTCCATCGAGTTCAGGTCACTATTAGGCCAACCAATCATAAATGGCCAAACTAAGAAACGATCGGGCAGATGTTTTAAAAGAAAAAAGTGATACCTTGGAGTGGGTACGGAACAGATTGCAACGATTGCTGCATTACCGATGCTTGTAGTGTTTTCTATAATTGGTTCACCGTTTACATTTATAACTGCAACCTGACCGGAAAATTTATCTGATGCACAAACCCAAACATTTGGTGCTCCTTCTGCACTCTTCCCGAGAGTTGCAGTTGCTACAGAGAACTGAAAATTTAAAGAAGATATTTCGGCTTCAAAAGTTTCTAACAGTGCAGTACATCATTATAGTGGAACAAATATTGCACTAATCATATGATACCAAGAGAGATTTAAATTTCAGAACTAACCGTAAGACCAGGACGAGTTCGATGCGTTACAATCGATTTCAGATGATTTGGCCTTTCTTCATTTCGCATTTCATTCTCTACAAATGATGCGAAATATCAATTATTTTCAAATAACTATATCGATCCTCTAAAAGGTTATAATCTGTCATTTTTGATAAATCAGATAAAATATATGAATGAATGAATAAATAAGTTACTTAGCGAAGTTTTCGCTTTTATGAATTCATTCTCCCAAATGGCGCGTCGATCAGCACTAGGAAACTGTATTACAAGTAGACCAACACCATTCCTGTAATTAAGTAAAATTCACTTTGTACCATACAATATCACATGATCCACCAGCTGTTAGACTATGGATATATATCTGATCCATCAAATCCAATATAACTGCATCTTTCACGTAATCGAGCATTAAGTGAATATTGAAATTTTCGACTTTAATGATTATTAGTGATTTCAACGTTTAATTGTGTTAAGTGAAAATAACAATATCTTTTCGAACTTTTTCATCTTACATTGGATTCCTCCTCTATTATCATTCACATACGCGATAATAGAAAAAGACTGGATTGCTAGCATTAAAGCACTTTTTATGATAATTAAATTATGTGCTAATTAAATCTTTCACTTTTATTATCTAAATGTATAAATTAGGCAAATCTGATGGTAATCTGAATAAATTACATTTCATTCAAAAATTTTGCCAAATTTTTCAAGACAATTTGTAAAATTTAGTATTAAATTTTAGTTTTATACTTTAAAATTTTAGTAAAGAATTTGAAAAAGAAATGTAAGAAAAGTTTTATAAAATTATTGTTTACATAGTTGTAACTTGCAATTGTACAATAGTCAGTAATGGATCTGATGTTAGCTGTTCCTGAAGAATTCGTTTTCGATGCATTGTTTCAGTTTCAAGATTATCTAACATGTTTGCTAATTCCTGAAAAAATAATATCATCAATAAAGCTAATTTATAGTAAGCTAATTTATATGTTCATTAATATTTTGAATTAATTTCGTATCCTCACCTATGTTACTGAATATTTCTACGTTATCTTCATCATTTAACATTTTACTCTTTTTTGATGAATAAGAAATTCAATGAAAATCATTCAGTTACACTAAAAAAATTGTATATGACAGATAAGAACAAACAATATTTGGTTTCTTCAGTAATTTTGATAATTCATTCATTTTATTCACAATATCTATATCTTCTTGAGCATTTTGCAATTCCATTTCAGCCGTATGCAGCAATGATAAAGTATCTGAAATACCTATGATTATGATTATGTGATTACAGCAAACATAATATAAATTAAACATAAATTATATGATTATAGTAAACAAAGATGAGAATTACAATATATATTCCGACTTGAAGTTCTAATAGATCTTAGAATAGTTTCATAATAATATATTGAATAAGATTGTTTACTTATGGGTCAAATAATATCTTTTTATTTACTTGTTTTAATTTAATGCTTATCATAGAATGCTAGAGTATTTTCATTCCTTTTTCCACTTGTGTTTTGCAAGTTTATTATTAAAATTGATATAAATAAATACTCTCTCAGTTTTAAGTTTTTAATTTAGATAATGTCATCTTTAATATTTGACTATCTTTTTTACACAAATAGAAAACAAAATTGTCACCTTTTGCAATCACAACATCATCCAGTGAAATCTTGAAAAGTAATTTGAAACGGTTGTTATCTAAGAAATCTGGCGCATGAAATCTGTAAAGTTTAACTAATACTTTTTTTTTGATATATCAAATTGCATTTTGAAAATGTGCTATTTATTATTTGAAATTACCGCCAATAACGTAGTAGAATTTAGCCAGTTTGAGAATTTAATTGTTTTATTCAATACTAATTACTTTCTAATTACTTCTCTAAACTACTAATTCATTAAAAAATCGTAAACAGAAAAAAAATTTTCCAAAATCTTTGCTTTAATTTTATCGTAATATTAGTATTATTGGCACTCCGTCGACTTCAAAAATAAGACTTTTTGCGCCAATTATAATTTGAAACAAACACTTACGAAAGTGATGATTTTCTTTTTACATTTGTTACGATAATCTGATCGGACATTAAAAATAGACAACGCTGTTTGCTTTGCTTTATACCAAGAATCGTTACAACATCATAACGATTAAACGATCGTCCAGTTGTCACCAACTGAAAATTCATTTATCAAATTATCAAATTTTAAAGATGAATTATGAACGAAGAATAATTTAACAATATAATAGAATAATTAAATCAATGAAATGTCTGAAATTTCCCTGATACTGACATCATCGAGACCGTCAACAATTGCTTCAATTTCACGTAGCCTTTGTTCCATTTCTTCACTTTCTTCTTTTTGGCGATTAATTTTGGTTGCCAATTCATGAATGTATTTTTGAGCCAACAATAAGCTATCATAATCAGCATGTTCCACCGACGTATGCTTGATTATTTGCTGCAATCAATCTCTCATAGAAAAAATTCCTTTCAAATATTAAAGTGAAGATCATCGATCATCTTACACAAAGACTCACAGTCATAGATATGACTGCTCTATTGAATATTCAAGAGAAACTGATAGCACACATATCCTTTGAATGCTTCAATTTACAGCTAATTAAGTTTATAAAATGTTCGAAGAATAAGGATTCCAACCTTTGCAATTAATTCGTAACGTGGAACACGTTGTATTGGTGAAATAAGCAAAGAATCTAAATCCAGTTTATTTCGATGATCTCGTCGACAACGCTGAAAACATGTACTATCACACCGTTTTTTCGATTAACAACAAGTTAAGACCTGTGTTTTAATTCAGTCTACAATATAGCTTTAATTTAAAGGAGAAAAAGACATCATTAAAAATAAAAATATGAAATGAAATTTGATTGAATGCTACATGCCAGCTAAACTGTCACTCTTCACGTTATGACAAAACGTGTAAATTAAATTTTAAAAATGAAAAAGTGGAAGAAATAAAAATAAGATAACTAAAATACGTTAAGCATTGAATTACTTAAGTCAACGATTTTTTGCTAAGTGTAAGAATTGAACTTGCCATATAATATTTTTCAAATGCGGGACGTTCACGTGCTTGTTTTATACTTTGTTTAGAAAATTTAAAATTATCAACAAATGCGATGTACGTATCAACCATTGATTGCTTTCGAAACTAAAAATCAATTGGATTTATTATTTACAAACTTGGCCTTTTTAAAAAATTTCAAGAAGTAAAACTGTTGCCGAGACGACAGAATTGACTTTTGAACTTAATCAAATTTTTTCCACTAAAGCTAATTGAAAAATGTGTAACACCGCTAAGTTATACGAGCATTTAGCAGGCTGGCACAATTAATATCATATAGCAGCTGTTGATGTCAAAAAGATTGCAAAACTTGTTGATTGAAGAACTTTTAAAGTTCATCTTAAAATAATTAATAATAATTTCTACTAATATATCAGTTTAATTCTTTGCATTTTCAGTATTTATTTCTATGAATATCCTAACGTTTTAGTAAATAACATATCCTTGCAAAGGCCTGATATTTCAAAAAAAGACCGAATTTTGTTGTTATTTCTTAATTAAATTAAACATACATGAGAAAGAAGCACATCACCGATTCTTGCATCTATTTGAAATGTATCCAATCTGTCGCACAATGCTGCCAAAAAGTGCTGAAAATTGAAAAAGAATGTTGAAATTACAAAAAAATATTAAATGAGTTTCGATTTAATATTTCAGTAATAGATTTATTGAAAAACGAAAAACAAAAAAGAAATTAATTATTCTTATACATTAATATAGAAAGAAGTAAAAAATTCGGCATATTAATTCTGATGGTAGTTGAAATCTACGTAATGATTAAATTTTGAAAATATCTTCAAAAAGTTTATAAAGATAGTTTTTTCTTATAAAAAGATAGTTTTTTCAAATTTCAAACCATGAAGAAATGATATGCATGAAGTTCAACAATATAGTTTATCAATTCTGATATTGATAATGAAAGGTGTAGGAAAAGATTTCAATGAACAAAAACGAAACGATGAGACTTAAACAATGAGAATAATTTAATAGAAGAAACACAACCTGATGATGAATTAGGATTTCTGGAACTTTGTAGAAAATTTTATCAGCTAATACTGGATCTATCAACGTACATTCCAATGGCTGTCGTAAAGGTCGCATATACTTCTGTAAGTGAGCAGAATTAATAAAAAACATATGAATGATTAGCGAAAATAAGCATGACAAAAAGCACATCACATGCTGTAATTCAATCAGAGCTGTAATCGTTTAAAATTAGGAAAAGAGGCATAATTCACAGAACTTCTCATCTTTTCAGAGATTTCTGCCAGTGTAAACTCAAGAACTTTAGATTTAAACTTTAAACAATCAATGAAATGGTAATTAAGTGTATGTCAAACTTGAGTGAGATATTCCAAGTTTTCAACGAATGTTTTTTCAGTATCGCAAAGTTCCCTAATAGCCATATTGCGGACATCATTATGCCTTCGGATCGATGCTCGAGAACGTTTACTCCAAAGTAGCAGATCGGCTTGCATCATTGGATTGGTTAAACCACTGGAAGGTTTTGTATAAATCAAAGGATTCCTGAAATTTAATTACTTGAAGCTTCGATTTCTTAAAATATCAACTTGAGATGGAATTACAGATATTTAATTATTTATAATTAAAAGAAAATTAGGCTATCAAATAATTGATAACATCTTATCATTTATGTAATATTTCTATATTTAAGTTAAACTAAACCAAAAATGGATCTTTTCTCAACTACTTCAGGTGCTTTCATTCGAAATTCAATTCTTCTTAAGTTTGAAACTAAGTATGATAAATAGTAAAGTTCCATAAAATTTTACCACGAATTGGAAGTTTGAGGTTCTGGTGAATTTTGTCTGGAGGAACGCAATGATCTCAATAGTTTTGAGAAGCGACTAACACCAGTTAATGAATCTATGGGCGCTTTTTGCTCCATAAGTTCGGCATTTTGCGATGAATATGGAAGATTTGAAGTGTCACCACGAAATGACCATCGACCACTCTTGTAAGAATTACTTAAAATACATATCAATGTTGCACAGGTTATCATGAATTGTTAATTTTACTTTAATTAATGGTAAAAAAAGAGGGAAATCTTTCTTCCATATAAATCAAACATCAATTATTTTATCAATTAGCAGGAAAATTTTGATGCTTTAATTAGATTCCGGAAATATATGGTCAGGTTAAACTAAGTCTTTACTTTAATTTGTTTTGATAGATTTTTGCAAAATTTTTCATCATGAAATATTATATTTTATTAGCAATAAATATTCAAAAATGAGAGAACAAAGAAAACATACTTCACTGCTTTCGGTCGAATAATATCACTAGAATTACATACCTGAAATAAACAAAAGCATATTCATTTGTTGATTGTTTTACTTATGCTCCCATCCTTTAAGAACTTTTTGACAAGATTGTCATTTATTGATTGAATTTAATTAACTGACAACATCTGCTAAACTTTTCAAAATATTAAAATAAATTAAAGTAAAAGTTCAGCCTAACCTGATCATATATTTCTGGAAGAGAAGTTTTCCGTCGTAACAAACTTTTTTTATCCATTGTCTTATTTTTGTTATACGTGTTATAGGTGTCCAGTGTTGGGAAGAATTCAGTTTGTTTAGCAGATGGAAGAAATTGGATAACACCACGTGGATGTCCACCTAATCGTGATGCAATGCCAGATTGACGAAGACTTTCCGAACTTGAATCTCCCTCCACTGGACAATTGGTTCGTCTATCAACCATTTCCACTGAAAACAGAAAGAAATCATAAAGAGAAGGATGAGAAAAAAAAATTTAATTAATTAATTAGAGCCGTAATAATGGGTATAATAAATATAATATACATATTATCTCTAATTAAAGTGAAAACATTGATTATAGGAAGAGAGAAATGGAATTGGAGAAGTATGAATTGGATTGCCGTAAGATCTAATTAATGATTTCATTCAGTTAGATTAAATAAACTACGTCTTAATAAGATTTGGAAGCTTCTTGTGAAAAGCTAAAAATTACTTGACTTCAATAAATTGAACATTTTTAAAGCAGTAATATTTTACAATTTAAGTATTTCAAATTTAACAATAATGAATTTTCCCAGAAAGAAATAACTTTCAAACACATATTACCACCATATTAACAAATTTTTGTTTATATTTTTTAACTATTTTAAATCATTGATTAATAACCGTTTATATTTGTAGATTCTGGCGGAACCTTTAGAACACGTTGTAACGATTGAATACTTTGAGCCGCATCACGTAGTTCTTCGATATCTGTATTGATAATATCATCTTCGGATTCTGTTCCGACCATTTTTGGCACTAAATTCTGTCGACATGACTGCCAAACCTTTAATTAATTTTTTTATATACTTCAATAGCATAATTTGAATGTATAAAAGAAAGTAAGTTAATATTTACAAAAAATTATAAATAAAATTTTCGTCAAAATTTTACTGTATTATAGCTTTTCTTATTTATTACAAATAATTTTGTTATTTCGATATTTTGCTTTCATTTTCTTTGTTGTTTTATTTGATAGGGACAACTTTCATAAATCACCTCATTGACCTCATGAGCACTTGAACTTTGATTGCAAGGAGAAATTGGGAATAAATCCAACAATTGCCGTATAGCTTCGACATGTGCCTAAAAATATCCAAATAATTTCAATGTCAGCTTAGTTCATCCAATATTTTCAGAATTTCAAATATTGCTTCATCGATTTGATTTAAAAACAAAATGGAATATAAAAGATCGCATGGTCAATTGAAACTTTTTAATTATAGAAAATGCTTAATAATTTGGAAGCGTTATAGGCAAATAAAAGATATTTTAAATGATATACCTGCTGGGTTTGTTCAAAGCTTGGCATACTGTTTGTTTTCCGTAAATTGTCTTTGTGTTCATATCTTGGCGATACGTCTGAAGAACTAAAAAATTATGTAAAAATTCAAATAAAATGATTCATTTTATTTTTTATAATCTTGTCAGCCTAAAATAGTATTGACTTAATGTAAAATTATGTATGTTAAATTTTGATAATTAGAGCACGAATATATGCTAACTACAAGAAATATCAATTGTTTAAGTATCACAATGTTTTTTTTAATTCTTAACTTTTCATCTTACCAAAATTCAGACATTAGAATTTCATCTTATAATTCTGCCCGAAAATTTGACAAACATACGTGATCCATCAGGTCGTCTGAGTGAAGGAGCCTGTTTATGCGCTATCAAATTCATTTCGGAACGTCGCCTGAACAATTTTATTCATTCAATTAATAATCATCGAAACTAATCGCATATTTATAGAATATTGATTACTTCGGGGCAAAAAATTTTCTCTTTTTTTCCCTAAATTATCAAAAGCATTATAGAAAAATGGATAGAAAATATATTAAAATAGCATTAAGAAATAATAAAATTATTTTTCAATTCCTTTCAAAACTAAATGATATAATCTTTTAAAAAAACATTTTACTATAATTATAATTAGTTTTGGTGGCAGAATAATAGTGATATTTCTGTTATCTTTTATTTTAACATATGAAATATACTAATATCATAAAGTTTTCGTAAAAAATTATTTATGCAATAAATTATCACAAATACCCGAAATCACTGTGATTTCTACTACATAATCACAAGTGTAACATTACTTTAATTTAAAATTCGATTTCATCAACTGATCATTTTAGGAATAATTCATGCAATTAGAATGGCTACGATTTTTCTGTTCTGAATTTTGATGGTTCATATCCTTCTTGATACTCAGATGGTGTTACTATTTTGTGTAAGACTTGTACTTATGCATTTATTTCTAATAAACTTATAAGACATTAGATCGTGCTATCTAGAAATTGTTCAATCTCTGCTAATGATGAAATGACTAAACGAAAATTTCAAAGTTACATTTAAACAAAATACTCAATTTGTACGTGTGGTGGAAATAATAAAACGAAGTGCCGAAGCTGAAAAATGCCGAAAATCATTTTGCAAATAATTCCAAATACTGTTGCTACTTTTCAATATTGTAATGTTTCCTGTACGGTTTTCTGAAAGTAGCACTTATCTATAATAAAAATTAAACCTGCTCTTAGAGTGATGTCTGAAACGAGTTCCCGCAGCAGGTGATACAGTTGCACTTCTCCTTCTGCGTAACGGTTTATGATAGTTTGAATCATCAGATAAAGAATCTGATTCATCCGCTTCATTCTCTGTAATTCCCGACTTCTGCATTATATTTCCTGAATCCAGGAGAAACTTGATATCACTCAACGAAATACTGTATCCTTCTCGATACTGAAATAATGAAGAATTCATCTTTTTATTCAAAAGTTGCTAATATGCAGAATTGTTAATACTTTCAGAATATCGAAATACTTTCAGACAAATAATTGAATTCAAATTCAACTCGAACTTAACAAATTTCATTATAAAATTTATAAGGATAAAAAATAAAGAGTTGGAAATAATTCAATATCCAATAACTCAAACGATAAACAACAACAACAATAACTGTTTTGTAATGAATAATTATTGCATTGTTTTCGAGAAATGTATTATCAAACTTTCATTTATCAAAATGAATTTTAATTTCTTTTGGACTGTCATTTTGAAAATATAATCCATTTTTTATGACACTCAAATTGAATTTATTTGTTTTATTAATAATTAGCAAAATGAATTTAAAGGAAAAATTTAAGCAAATTGATAAATTGTTAAAATTAAATGGTGGATGGAAATAACAGAATAATACTAACATAACATTATCCATCTGCTTAAAAGAAAGCTTCCGGAAGGAGCAATATATAATAAATTATAAAACAATTCAACCGAAAAAAATTTATGGCATTTTGGACCAGATGAAAAGCGTTGAAACGTTTGGATTTAAATTGCAAAAGAGTTAGTTCGAGAAGACATTTATCTAACTAATCATCCAATCAGCAGCTTAACCACCCACTCAACCACCTCATCATAGAATTTAAAGTTCGAGATGAAGCACCTCATCCCGTCACCTGATGTTTAGCCTTTGAACACATCAATACAAATGATTTCCACAGCTCTAATCGTATCTTTGACCTTTTAAAACATTAAAATATAATGTAAATTGGTGTTTATATGATAATTAATCTCTTGCACATTCATGTTAATTTCATTTTTATAAGCTAATTTCGAGGAATAAAAGAAAATCACTATCTTCTGCTTCTTTCTTTTTAAAAGACTGATAATGGATAAGAAGAGTTAAAGATTCTGTTTCTTACAATGAATTCAAGGAATGAGAGATTCTAGAGAAGTATCATTGCTTCTTGTTAAGATATGCTAGTAGTCAGTTTAACTTTTTCATCTAAAGTTTACCTGTTTTGCTGATTACTTTATTTGTTGATTATTATTTTATTTTAGAACTTCGAACATTGAAAACTTTTTATAAATGTGAAAGAAAGAATTGATCCAATTTATGCAAATTATAATATTTTTGTTAAATTTAAAAAGTAAATAGAAAATACATTTCATTCATTTTATACATCCTTGTAAATATAAATTTCGAATATTCTAATGATATGATAAGGAAAAAAATTTGGAAGAATAGGGAAGAAAATGAATTTCCAAATGAATAAGACTAGTTTGTTGATCATTGAATAATAGAAGAGAGTTAAATTTATTTAAACTACAATCCTACCAACTCTGACATATGAAGCAGATACATGAATGACAACTGAGATCGGGCGGAGATTATTGGCAATGGAGGCGATGTCGATCGACAGACCGAATATTTAGAATCTTATTTCAACAGCACGTAATGAATGAGGTATTACAGATGTTGAATAACATCATCAGAAGAAGCAACTCTTCGGTCTAACATATGGCAAAGATCAATCGGAAAAGATGAGCCAATGGTTTACAGATGTTCATGTCGTTCTTTAGGAAAATTAATAATGCAACGTGTAAGGTGAATTGATCTTACAATTGCATTGCAATTGTAAGATCAATTAATTATAAACAACATAACCTTACAAACATATTTAAGAAATTGATAACATATAAAAGATAAAATTAAAAACGGAAAAGAGAAAAAGTCACTTTAGAGGGTAAAAAACACTACAAAATTTGATTGATTCTTGGGAACTGATAAGCATTCTCCATGAATAATACCATAGATTAAATCAGGTTTTATTACGGTTCTTAAACATATCCTTTTCTTCCTTACTATATTGAATGATTCCATTTCATTTAAAAAAAAGAAGATACGATAAGAAAAAGTGTGAATGTGAAACCATCAGAAAATGATTAAATGCGAAGTAGTTACATTCACAAATGTATCCATCAGAAATTGTATCGTATCTTTATTTCGCGCCCCATATCTTCTCCAAAAAGATTCAATATTTAACCTTATTTTTCTTACGAAAATCCTTGTTCAGATTCATTTGCGATCCTCATGTTCATAATTGTTTCTCAGTGAAACCTTCTAATGTGAAATTAACAATTTCACTCATGCAAAATGTTTCTGTCATGGAACCATTTATGCAGATTCACTCAAATTAACCTAATCTATCTTCATAGTCATTTTCTGCTCCCATAGTTGATGAAGTGCATATAACAGTATTTATGGATCGATATGATCACATTTGGAATGCGTTCATATATTCAACATCTTTTCTCTTTTTTTAAAATATACGATACTTTTACTATCTCGAATAATAAACAAAGCAGTAGTTTAAAGAAATTTGCGCTTTTCACTATGTCTTGTAGAATTACTTCGGCAGTATCTCATTTCAATTGACATACAAATCCGGAGTTGAATTTCAAATATTTAACATAACTTTTCAGTGAAACAAACTGACCAAACCACGAAGAATAATGCTTCTGTAGATGAAACCCTCGAAGAAATGCATATATGTGTTTTGAACTCCATTTTAATTTTTTAGACCGACTTGATGAACACCCCAAGGATAAGCATTGATTCACAGTCATCACCCAAAGACATACAAAAATAATGATCATGTTAGCGTTTAAATAGATCAAAGAAAGTTTGAAGGTATATGGTCAAACAACTCGAGAATAGAGGTTTTTCATATATTTTCTGACCAAAATCAATAGATGTTAAGTCTACAAAACTAATTCATGTCCCAGAAATCACATCTCCTTTTTTTTATTTAGTAAGATAAAAAGATATAAACCTGAATATCTAAACAAATAGTGTGCACAAAAGTATAACAGAATTAATACATAATAACGGTCTAGCTATAACAGTTTATAAAAAAATTTTCGCAAACCAGGAACCCAACTTTTGGAATGTGACAATTGCGATTTATTTTCAGAATAACAAACAAACAAGTTACCTCTTTTATCAATTCATTTTCATCATTTTAAGGCAAATCAATAATCTCAATCTTCTTAGAAGAACTCGAATAATCCGAAAAGGCAGAGGAAATTTATATTTATATTGAGTAGAAAATTGAAACTGAAATGTTGCTAATCACATTTCAATTATGGAGCTACAGACAACAACGATAAATGAAAACATTTGGAATTATCACTCGCGAGAGTTGCTGTCACCATTACGTAAAGTAAAGGTTCATTTTTCTCACTGAGGTTCCGAGTTCCATTGTGTTTCCTTCTATTATATTATATATCGCTGACGAAATGTAGCTACCTCCAACTTGTTTGATCCCTTCTATTCTGCAATAAAATTCAGCTCTTTATAATTTTAATGCTTGATTCATTGCAAATATGATGTTCAGTAGCTAAAAAATAACGAATTTGGAAAAAGAATAGTTGTCTCGAATGTAAAACGCTTAAATCTATCACTCACAAACACCATTTTCATTTCTTTAAAAGTTTCAACATATTTTCATTAAAAATTAATGCTAAATAAACCTGAAGATACTTTGAACAGCAAGGTGCATCGTGATTAACATCATAAGCATCCAACATGTGTAATTTTTGATCATGAAGTTCCTGAATTATTTCAGATCGTAAAGTTTTTGAAACGTCATCCTCGCGCAACACATATTCCGGAAGAGAATTAAATGACCCCATTCGCCGATGCGTTTGAATGTCCAACTCACGCATTGGATCCGTGAAGATAACTTCTGGACGCTATAAAAATAAATGGAAACAATATCGACTAAATTTTTGCTATCCAAAAATAAAATTTGAATTCTATTAGATCTTCACTGAAGAATTTGTAAAGCAAATGCACAATTCAAAATTTTCAGGTTTCTGACTTTTAGTGCTCTGTAACTCTCACAAGCAAAGAAAATTAAGCAAAATAATCTTTGCTATTCACAAACGGAACTTTCATCTTTACTGACTTAATCAAGCGTATGAAGCAATAAATTGAACCATATTATAATCCAAAGATTTACAGTGGCGAACAAAAAAAACGACAGCTGACTGATTTTATTGGTTCATATTTGCATGGAATGAGGAAATTGTGAAATAGAAAAATAATTAATTAATAGAGAGTCAAATATATCTCAGCACACAACGCTTTATCGCTTAGGTATATAAAACTTACCGGTTTCATGAATTCTTCAGAAGAATTATCAGCAAATTTCGCAACAAGTTTATTCAGATATTGCTGTTTCACTTTGTATTTACGCATTAAACCCAAACGTTGGTGTAAAGAAAACATTTTAAGACGATTTACTTGACGCTCATAACCCTCCCAAAGCTGTTCAGCTCTTTTCAAACCGTAATCTCGCAATTTGCACATCTGTAAATACAGAGTTACAGGACAATATTATAAATTAACTTCCCAGTATATAATATGTGTCTGCAATATATGCCATATTTGCCAGACAACATTACAGGAAGTTTCAATGGAATAGAGAGAGAGAGTAACTTAAAATTTGGTAAGGGAATTTAAGAAATCGTGCTATAGAATAAGTTCTTGAATATATAGATGAAGTCTGAATGCTGAACATGCCTACAAAAACTCTTGCTCAGCAAATACGTGGTCTATCCCGAACTTTCCCCTATAAACAGTTCAATCTTGTTTAATCAAATCGACGGTTTAACAATGAAGAGTAAATATACGGAATTTGTTAAATCCTGATAATCGTTATATGGAAATTATGAACTGGTAAAGACTGCAGAATCTGGCAGAATAGGAAAAGTAAACTTTTTTTCCTTGTAAGAATGATAACTAAGCGGGTTTTCTTAAGACATTCAATATCTCATCTGGTAGTTGATTAAAAAGCAGATCTAAATTAAAATGAATTGTAAAATAAATTCTTTTCTCATATAAGAATGATAACTTAATATGTAATTTATTCTTACCTGTTGGTTGTAATTGTCGCGTATATTTTCTAGATGCTGATTCATGCTTTCCATTTGCGCTGCTCGGTAATCACGAAATCTCTCTGATTGTGATGTATAAGATGCGCATAACTGGTCAACCTTAAGTAAACCAGCTGTTTTCATCTCATATGACGATTAAATGTCTTTTTATGAAACTTCTTTATAAAATACATATATCATATAATCGAGACAAAAAATCAAAATATTAAGAGATTATCTTTAAATCATTAATTTTTAATGTAATATTAAGGTTAAAATTCAAAAATGATTTTTAAATCAACATTAAAATCTCGTATATTTATCATATTTCTTTTTCCTTCAGGTAATTTACCTGTTGATGATAATTGTCTCGTATTTGTTCCAATTTCTTATGGTATGTTTCAGAAAGTGTAGCCATTTGTCGCTGTCGATATCTTTCTACAGCAGCGACCATTTCACGAACACGTGAATTTCGTTCTTCAATTATTTTCGTAATATAATACAAACAGCGAAATGGCATTATTTTTTGGATGAAATTGGTGGTAATTGTTCTATTAAAATTAGAAAAGAAAGAAATATTTCTGCTTACCAATTCTTTCGATCCACCATAAAGCAATCTGTCGACAGGAGATCCAAAATAAATTGAAAATGAAAGTAATACCACAAGTAATCATTGCAGCTAGAATGCTGCCCCAAAATACCGACTTTGCCATCTCCAAATGGAACCAACTTGAATAATCCAAACGGAAGTGTACCACTTGTGAAGCATTTCCCTATAAAACCGATACCTGATGGAAGAATCAATAAAATTCAAGCAATCAATTTATTTATCCATAATATTATTAAAACTTAGAAACGGATATGTGATTCCTTAGAAATAGTTCTAAACATTCTAAAAATGTGAAAAAGCACCTAAAAATTTACCTTTGTGTTCACAGAAAGACAAAGCACTTTATAAAAAAATATTTTAAAAAGTATCTGTTCGAGGTAAGAAATTAAAAGTGAGGATTTTGATTGAAAAGTCTTTTTGCATGAATAAAAAGCTTACTTTTGAATTTGACACCGTACATCTGTATCGTTCAACCAATTCTTTCTTAGCACTGTTGATAAGAAGGAGGCCACCAGGAATAATTTCATAAATACCGCTCCGGGTCCAATTCATTGTAATAATTCGATTTTCAAAATCATAACTTCCAATCAATACCTCGGGTCTAACTAACCACCATTCAGCAAATAATGGTAACTCACCATATGCGTCACATGGCAAAATTGCTGTTTCTGCATAATGAACTCTTAAAATATATTTAGCACCTCTTTCAACTCGCCTCGAAATACCTGAAATATGCATGTCTTTCATAAAAAGTTCAAAAATTGGAAATCGAAAGTAAATTTTGCGAATATAAAAATTGATCTTTCCCATTTCTCATTGACCTCACTGAATTTTCAATCGTAATAACCAACTTCCGAAAATGCATATAGTTCCAATACTCCATCGAATTATTTGTTTTCAACAGCAAATAGTACCAGTCATCGTTAACTGTTAATCAATTTTTCCCTCCATGAATCACTACGAAGTCATATTAAAAAAACGACAAAACTTTATTAATTATATGAACAGTGTCATAAGTAATTTTATTTTTAACTAAAAGTTAGAAATTTCGATTTGCTGCTCAACAACAACAAACCTATAGAACAATTATTAAGTAAATCATCTGCACAATCCATCTGTGATCGTAGATTTAATGGTACCATTTTTCTCCATTGGCTGAGGCAATTATCACAACTCCAATTATTTGGCGCCATTTCAATAAAACGAAGATTTTTTGCTCTATAAAAATAATAAGAACTGGATAAAACATTGCTGTGAAATTCTTTAAATTTTTCTCAAAAGACTTTGCAGGCATTTGATTCATAGAGTACTAAATTTCATTGCAGTAGATATATTTCATACGATGAAAGTTTACCCACTGATAAAACAGTCCACAGGAAGAAACTAATCTAGTGATAGTAATAACTTAGTCAAGAACAGTTATGTCAAACGTGAATTTCTTCATTTAATATTCTGTTAATTAAATCTCATGGATTTCTAAATTCACGAAAAATATGCAAATAACCTTATGAAGAAATTTGGCGGTAGATATCTCATTGGTGTGTTTGTCAAACGGAAATCATTTACTGTAATCGGTAATGTGCCAACAATACTGTATAATCGTAAACTGTTCCTCAAATTCAACTGAAATGAACATTATGGAACACTATATAATCGTAGAACTTCGTTAAATTAGTATAGTTAAACAGTTACGACAATCATGGATGGAGCATAAATACGACTTGGAAAAATTAACGAAATTATTTGCGTTAATTAAATAAAAAGAAGGTTCATATAAGCACAGAGCAAAAAAGAATTAAGGGGAGCAGATATCCCTGGAATTAAAATACGAAAACGACCATCTTAAGCAAAGACCCAAAAACCCAAAGTTTTAATAAGAAAATTAGAAAGCAAAATCATTTAGTTTCAATAAAACTTAATGAGTGAAACAAAATAAAAAGGCATTTTTACCCTTTGTTTTAATAAAATTCTCAAAAACAGAATAAACAAACCTGCTGTAATGAAGGTAAGTTAAGTGAATCGAAATCGATAAAAGTCAATTTATTATACTCCAATGACAGACGTCGTAAATTCGATGAAATGAATAATGGGAAAACTATTAATCCACAATTGTCCATATTTAAATCAGATAACTGAGGAATTAAGGAAAGTGAAGGAAATCGTTCCAGTGAAGGATTATTGGATAAATTTAAATCTTCTAATGAAAATGGCCATTCACCATAAATTCGTGTTAATCCATTTGAAGAGAGATCCAGCGACACTGCATTTGGCACTACAGATAATTCTGAAATCTGAAAAGCTGAATAGTCAATTGATATTCACAACTGTCTTCTAGTATTCCAAATGTAATATGTCGGAAACCATACTTCAGTTGCAAATTGCAAATATATTTGGTGTTTAAAAATGCACTAATAATATATAGTAAAATAAGACTAAATTCGAAAGAGGATAGTGGTTGTAACAGGATAGTAAAAGTGGAGGATAGAAGCAAGTAAAAAGTCACAAATGCTGAGAGGTACGGATGCTGGTCAGATCATGGATCCACAAAACGTATGAAATTAAAATCAAATTACAGAAAGTAAAATGAGATTAGTAATTGTTGACTCCGAAATTAGTATCTATCACTATCCATTACTAAACTTGCTACTGACAATAAATCAAACGTTTGAAAGTTAGAAATTAGAAATATAGCTATAATGAAAATATAGAAATGATTAATTAGGTGCAAATGGCAGTTGCTTACTTGATTAGACGATAAATTGAGATGCTGCATTTTATTGACTGTACACTGATCAGTATGAGATAACTTGGTTAACCAGTTATGGGATAAATCAACTATTTGTACTGACGACAGCTGATTCAAGGTTACACAAGTTTCATTCCAGTCCCACAAATAATTGCGGCTCAGATTTAGAATACGTAAGCTTCGCAGAGAATTCGAAGCAAACGGAAAAATTTGTTTTATATTACAATCATGGATTGCAATGCTGTGCAGAGAAGTAAAATTTTCGAATATATGCAGATTGAGACGCTTCTGAAAAATGCAACTGATTCAGCCATGTGCTTCATTATTTTAAATTAGCTACAATCTTGTTTCCACTGAAACAATTTTAATATCAATACTTACACTACCGACCGGAACTACAAAATTTTATTAAAAGTTCCGAAATCAGGTCGTCACGTGCACCAAAGGTCCAGGACGAATCGTAACCGCGCTGTTTTACAAACCAATAAGTTCAGTAATTTAAATTCAATAAAACAATGAGTACCTGAGAGCACCTGGTGAACGAAATACTGTGAGCATCTGGTACTAGCTTGAGAATATGTTGATCAAGTCTACTGGGTTCAACATTAACGCATGTTATCGTACTATTTTTACAAATACATCCGTATTTTCGGCATGGATTATTAACTACTGATGCTATCTGAACGATCAAGAAGTTAGAAAAATTTCGAAGCTGTGCATATGTAATGTTAAAAATATCGTATTTTGGATTACAAATATTATTTCAAGGAAAAAGAGCAAAAATCGTTTTTCTCGATAAATATTGCAATGAAAAACAAACTTAATCTTCATATCTTTCACTGACATTTTATATTGTCGGAAAAATTAAAAAATAAAACCTGTCGAGAGAAAATTATTTTCACTAAATCGAAAACATTACCTTTTCTTTGTCTATGTAAGATTCCATTTTACTTTGATGATAGGTTTCATTAATGCAGGAAAAGAAAGATATGCAAACCAATGAGATAATCAGCAAACGATATACTATGTATAATGTTACGACACGCATTATGCTTTCCCGTAACTTCTTTCTCAGTTGGTAGTAATAGATTCTTCACGATTGCATGCAAGCACGTAGTAGCTATAGTTAGCTATAGCACGTAGTAGCTATAGTCTGAGATTTTCGATTATAGCTCAGGATTTGGCTATTAATGCGAATGTGACCATGTATAATAAAGAAAGTTAAGAAAGTTTGGATTATGATATACTGAGTGGCCAAGTGGTAGTGAACTGATAAGACATGGTTAGCTTCTGCTCACGTTTAAAAAAAGCGCGAACTGCCACATGATACGGTGTTATCGATATACTTTCATCTCATTAATTACTAATACGGGGTAACGCTTCTAACCAGCACTTCTACCTCATTCTCCACTTACAAATAGAACTTCAATTTCACGTTTCATGAAATGTTGCATGTTAAATTACAGTCCCTATCCCCATCTCGGAAATTTTCAGCTGAAGTTATTTCGTTTTTCTCGTAAATCTTTCATCACCCATCTACCAGGTATCCTTGTCCTTGATAGTTGCTGCAATTTCAATCATCCGTCCTCAAAAAACTATCTGTTTTTCTCTATGTATGTATATTTGTGTGCTTCATTGTGAATCGCAGGAGAGCGGTTGTAATTCAATGCGTAATATTCAATTCTCTGGCTAATGATTCAGTTTAGGGTATCAGGCTGTGTCTTTTTCTCTTTTATACTTATAAAACACTGAGTAGAATGGCAGATGACTCTGAGCGGGATGACAATAGCGACGAGCTTTGTCTATTCGCAAATATTTTATTGATATCAGGAAATACAAACTGATGGAGTGGGAATGAATGGTGAAAGCAAGGAAGAATTATTTGTCTATTTCAGACCATGTTATGTATGTTGAAGCCAACAGGTTGTTCCGGACAAATTTTTTGTTGGCCGAGGCAGTTTGTCACGAGCTTGGCTGTTTTCAAGAAGAAAAGTAAGCAGATATTTTACTTTGGTATTAATCACGAATGATTTTCGTTGTCAATACATTCTTATCGTTATTACGTATGGCATAGTACTATTAGATCTTCTAGCGTTTCACTAAGAGAATGTTAGTGGTCTTTTTTGATAAATAACTTTTGATAACATAAGCTTAAAAGAGTACTGCAACAATTTTCAGTCGATGCCAAAGTTCACGGAGATACGACGATTGTTGAAGTTGTGAATGTTCCCGATGTAGATGATCGTAAAGTATTGGAACACAGTCCGGATACTTGTACTTTGTGCACTTGTAACATTCCCGTCAAGGTGATTTCTCTATCCAAAACTTAGCAGCTATTCAAGGGAATTCTCTACATCAACACTAACTTCTAAGCAATGTGTTTGCAGATCCGTTATTCAGATGTATTAATTTTGGAGCAATTTATGCGGGAAGATGGAACCGTACTTCCGCAGCAGCTTACTGGTTTGTGCAAAAAACAACAGCAGAGAATTGAACGTTGTGTCATGCAGGTATATTATAATCTAGATACAGTTATTTTTAAATCTAGTAAAAATGCCACATTCAGTGCTTTTACCCGTAATTCTCAGAGAAAAAATGACTAGCATTCGATTTTGTAGAAAAAATTCTTTATTTTTATGAAGTAAATTTACAGGCTCATTGGGCTGGCCTCTTTCCAGACAGGACGACTGCTGATTTCGATCGTTCGGGATATAAACAATTTGCGAGGTCTTATATTTTTTTGCTTCATCATAAAAAAATTGTATGTAGGATAGTCAGGTCTAAACACTTTTAAATAAATTTGTTAGTTGTATTTGTGAACTTTTAGCAGACTGTTATATATGACCAAATAGATTACCAAAACGATGAATTTGGTACCCATCAAAGGAGCCACTATTAAAGATGGACCTGTAAATAACGTAAATCATATTATTACATTGTATAGGTACTGGAATGACGACAGGGAGATCTATCGATTAAAAGAAGAAGTGGTCCCTGGCTCATGGTACTATATTAAACGATATAACACACGTGGAGTTAATTTCAAAAAGAAATGAAATATCGGATATATTTAAAAAAATCTAGTTTCTTAGGAAATGTAAATGAAGGCGTGTTGGAGTGTTCAAAGGTTTTTATGGTACTTTGAGCTAAAGTTCAGGCTAATATGAGTAGCTTAAATGAATGGGAGTAGAAGCAGTGCAAAACCGACATAAATTCTTAAATTGTTACCGTTGAATAACATCTTGTTTTATAATATTCTTCGATAATAGTTACATTCTCCTGCTCTGAACATTTGGGATTATATTAAACGACGCAGTACGGTGGAGCTGCTAACAATAATATATATGTGAGAAAATAATGAAGTTATGCATGATATAACACGGCTACTGAACCTTATTAGCAGAATGTGAATGCTTGAGTTTTAAACCGAAAAATTGATTAGGTAATTTTACTCATTTGTTTACTTGTTCAGTGCACTATCAATTTTTTGTGCTGCTCATCATTTTGTTGTTAATAATAAATGTAACAATATATTTATTACCATATAGTTTGATTGACGAATACAACAGCGCCATTAAATATACAAGATTTTGACATTTCTCACCGTAATCAGTACATTTGTTTCTAAACTTCAGCAGTATGCTACTGTCTTATCAGGCTTTGGTTTTAAATTCCCTTTTTTTTAATAGTTTAAGCAGTGTATTGTATTCTCAGGATAAAGCCAACTATTCTATCAGGTTGTAGATAGTAAAGAACCTCAAAAATCTCAAAAAACCTCAAAAATTCTTCTCAACTTGCTTCCTTGATTTTATTATTGGCAGCCTCGCTGGGTGATGGGGTATTGTTGAGGTAGTGCTGCACTTGGATTAATGAGATAATGCTATATATTACATTCCAAAATTCAGTTGCAGGTCTTAGCCCTCATTCACTTCAAGTGAGTTACATCTTCCATATTTTAAACTGCAAACGAGTTTGCATGCAGAGAAGTTTGAAAAGTGCATCACTTTCATTTAAATTTTAGAGCATTTAATATAGACCGAGTAAAATTGCAGAGAAGAACGGATCTGATCTAATTTCGTTCTATTGCCTGTTGAATATTGGCATCGATGTGTGATTATAAAGCCCCTGAGCCATCAAATGCAAAGCCAGTACAGGTCGATGTCCGGATGCTTTCTTCAGTTTTGCTCGTTTGTTCTGAAAATCAACAGAAATCTTTTAAATAGAAAATAAAAATAAAATTGTATGATTCAATCAAAATGCAAAGATCTATTTAGTGTTCAGAAATATTACGAACTCTGCAAAAAACAAAATATATTTAAAAGGTAAAAAGGAAATAACCGAACTTCTAGAAATGTATGAATTCTTCAAGTTCTGAAAAATTTACCACTTTTCTATAAAAATTTTCTATCGGATTTTCTGAAAGAATCTCTATATTTTCTTTGGGATAAGAAATAACAGAGTATATTGCATATTGATTTTAATCAACAGATAGCACCTAAGAAGTGATTTCAGTGAGAAGGTTGTAAATTAATAAATCAGATTGATCCGTTTAACACAGACAAAATACATTTGTATGTAATCGTAAAATTGCATTCTGTAACTTATCGAGGGAATGATAAGAAGATTCCAAAGTGTCAAAAGTACAAAAACGCTCCACCGGATTTTTTCAAGTACTTGATATAATGAAATAGTTTGAAAATGTTTAACGGTAGTATGATATATTAATACTAAGTGAGGATGGTTGAAAGATTTTAAGATTTAAATAGATTTTTGGATTTTCACTGAGCTAGAAGTAATTCGGTTGTAAAATTAGCTCATTTAATATTTGTAATTATTGGGAATTCAAGTGATTCGAAAATCTCATCAAAATTTGATGAAAAGATTGAAATACGAAAACTTTAAATTGAATTGATCACCGAATAAATATTAAAAAAAAAAAAGTAATTTCTGTCCTGTCCTCTCTTCTCACACGAAACGACGAATTTCAACTTTGAGTTAAGTTAAAGTAGCGATAGATAGCCTTCCTTTATATTTCGAACTTCTTGATATAACGCCAGATTTTTACTTATTTATAAATTTTCTGCAGTACGAGCTTAAATCCTATTGGAATTTAGCGGTATCTGCGAACTTTTAAAAATCATACAATTTCTCAATAAAGTAAAATAATTATGTCAAAAATAAGCTGTAGCTTATCCGCTGAAATAATGTTTTATCTTATTGCTAGATTTTCTCCAACAAAGTTTAAATGTTTGGACAATTCAATAAATAATTCTTTAATAAAACTTCTATTAGTTTCGGAGATATCTAATGGTATTGGTAATCGTCAATGATGACATGTAATAGTGAATAATAAACATAATGAACGGGTTATATCATGTCAACAAGGACGGCAAAACTATTTTATCGCTCAATCAAGAGTTCAGTATCATCGTCTTCTTCCAAAAGATTGCAACGATAGATTGTCCCAATCATTTTGCACCTTGTTATTACTTACCAATTAACATTTCTTTCTCATACCTATCATTAGACAGACAATCATTTATAACATGAATGATATGATTTTTTTAATATTACCAGTTGTACCTTAAAAAATAACCTTTTATGGTAAGATCAAATTAGGTAACATTGGAAATAAAGGTGTAATCATAATATGTTAATGAGAAAGCATAAATTAAAAAGTAAATTTTGGAAATTAGCAAAAAAATGATGTGCTTTTTGAAAATTCATGAAGAGGCGAAGAAAGTTGAGATTTGAAGAAATTATAAAGCATTTTTGAAGTGTTTTAATTTTAAAGCTATTGTTTATTGGCTTTGCCGATAATAAATTAATTTTATCAATTTATTATTTTTCTGTAAAATTAAAATTAAAATAATTTGCTGTATAAATAAACCTTGTGAGAATAAAAGTTCATCAATTTGTGACAGCCTTGACAGGTAAAAGATTACTTTAAATTGTAATGTAAAGTAAAAATTATAAGATTTAATTGATTATTGAGATTAATTATGATGAAAAAGTTATCATAGAATGAGATAACTATTTTTTTCATTTTATTACTAATAAATCAATGATATAACATTTGGCGGAATTTTCAATTTACTAATTGAAATTGAAAAATTAAATTGCAATTATAAGAGGGTAAAAAGCTCTAAGGAAAAGATAAAGATATAAATCAACAGAAAACGAAAAAGAAAAGAGAAATTAACGAGCAATCTTTTCGGTTTGTCTTTGAGAAGAAAATTAACAACGAACAACTACATAATCTAAAAAGACAATTTTAGTAGAAAATGATTTTAGAGCGAAGGTACATATCGTTTCTCTATAGCGGCAAATTAGATAGAGGGAGAAACAAAATTGCAAGATTCGATTGCCTGATAATAAATAAATTCATCTAAAACGATATTTGATAATTACAGAGCTTGTATGGAGACAGATCTTTTGTCTCTTTCCGCATTTCAATATACAGAAATATCATCTCTCTCCTAAATTTGATTCATCCACCTTTTTTAGAGACAGAATTGCGGGCTTGAAATGGATAAGAATTAATAATTTCATAACTGATCAATGATTGAATTTATTGTTAAAGAGGATTGCTATATGTGAAGCTGTATTTTTTGAGTTCATTTTATTTTTTTAATATCTAAATTTTGAAATTTGAGAAATTTCAAAACAGAAGGACTAGAACATGACGTAAAACTGGTAATGCAATAATAGAATAACTGCTGATAATATCACCATCATCATTACAATTATTCTCATTGTCTGTAAAAACAAATAATGATGATGATCCACTGCATTTTAATGGATTTTTTGAAATTTGTATTAATTGTGATTAGGTAATTCATTGTTTCATACTATTTACGTCCATCTGTCAGCTATGCACTTCTTATTCATCGTTTTTAAGCGATATTTTACGGTATTTTCAAATTTATAGATAAAATCAAATGGATCAAAAAAAAAATAAGAAAATCAAAGTTGATGGTTTTAAATTTGTTTGGTTATCTTTAGGAAATGTTCAAGAGGATACCAATGGCATTACCAATTGCTTTTTGGTTCGAGACATTATCGAGGCAGACATGAAGCTATGTAGTTCAAATGTTGTACAGTATGTATTTTGAAAAAAGAAACAGCGCAAACTTTGCAAATATCAAACAGTTTACTCCAATGATTTAGTTAGAAAAAATTCAGCAATGAACTTTGCCCTAAAGGATAGTGTTGAAATGAATGAGAATTAATTCAAGAATAAGTCTTTGGTATAACTGCATGCCCATGTATATAGATTCTTAGCTCTATCCATTATATGGCATCAAATTTCCAGAAGGAAAAACGTAGCAGAAACATATCTTACTAGAGTTGTCTTCCGAAAGAATCACTCACATCTCAATATTTGTGCTACCGCCTCAATCATCTCTCTCGTCGCTATTTTCTTGTTTTTATTTTTCATTAATTTCGAAGAATTCAAAATCGCATTTGGCCGAATACAAAGTTTGGAAGATAAATGAGGAACAATATTCTGCCATTCATCACACACACTCTGTTTCCAGTTTGGTAACTCTTCGACAGAGTACACTGTTGAAGAAATATTGGAACATTAGTGAAAAGAAAATTAAAATTTCAGCTCCTACTGCAAGTCAAACACGATTAATGTGTTTAGTTGAATGGTTTGATTATGAAAAAAATTTCTACTAAAAAAAGAATTCGGAATGGAAATTAAAATCATTTATTGTTAAGATAATGAATTAAAATACTCTTTGTAATAATTGAAGCGTTATAGTTTCTATAAAAATAATTGGTTCAGACCAGAAATTCATTTATGCTAATTTCAAATACGAAAAAAGCGTCTTTTAGCAAATGCAAAACTAACTTGGAACCATATTTTAATCTGTGATTCGTTCAAACCAAGCTCATGTGCCAGTTCCTGACGCCGTTTCTCGGTGAGATACCGGTTATCCATGAATTGTTGTTTCAATCGTTCCAGTTGTTCAGCAGTAAATGCTGTGCGTGGTCGCTTTTCATCATCGTTGAGATTTGTTTCCTTCCGTTTTGTTCGACGTGACCTTGGACCTAAAACGAGCTAACCTTGTAAAAATAATTCTTACAAAATAAAAGTGAAAAGTTGCAAAATTTTATAACTTTTTTTCGCAATATCAAAAAATTGTCAACAATCTTTAAATATTAGACAAATGATATTGCATGAATTGATAACTTATGAAAATTCATAATCTTCTAATGGGAACTTATCAAAATCTCAATGATTATGATAATTTGTTCAGCAATCATTCATTATAAATAGGTAAAGATTATAATGTGTGATAATTGTATTTGCTAGTTATGAAATAGTTCTGATTGATGAATGAATGTAATGACGCAAACGGCGCACGCAAATTATCGTACATACCAAAAAGAGATATGAGAATAGCAGGAAAGTTACGCAACCGGACATTCGAACCTCCTCTATCGATTACTATCTAAGTTTTAAACTTCTTAGGATTTCTTGCAGAATATGTAATGAGGCATATGTATCTATTACTTACATATACATGATTGTTTATTGAAATATTTATGCTGTGAATTCCTTATTGAAAAAATTTTCCAAGTATACCTGAACTTGGTCGATCGGAATATCGGGTACAATATATCCAAGCTGGAAATACTGTATTCATACTATCCGGTGTTGTTGATGCACATGGTTTTAGAGCTGTCTCATGTTGCTGAAAAAAAACATTTATAAATTTATATATTCTTACAAACTTCTAATTCATACAACTTTAGGATTAAATGATTATTTTTCAAAGAGAATTTGATTGGTTACACGAACAGTCTACTGTCTTTTGCGTTATGCCGTATATTTAGAGAATATTTACTCTTCTTAACTTGAAAGGTAAAGAATTCTAAGGAACTCAAAGAAAGAGAAAGTGGGATATGTGAGGATAATGAGTGATAGTCAAGATCTGTGAAGGAATGGTCAAGAGCCATGAGAAATAGTATATTGTTGGGTATTGAAATATTTCCCTAAAAACTATCATTGCAACAGTGATTAAGTGCAATTTGAAGATAAGATGTATAAAACATGTCGGGACTGGATTAAGATAGATCATTTAATTAGGAAGAACATTAACAAGACATAGACTGGAAAGACAATATTAAGTGGAGTGTAATAATACTTACCCTAAATTAAATGAAACCTCAAATTGCAAAACGATGAATGGATTTGTAAATCTCATTCAGTACTTTTTTTTAATTTGAATTAGAAATTTGAAAAGGTTATTTAAATTTCCTGGGAAATATATTGCGTTGAACATCACAAATCAAATAATTTTATATGACAAAGAAAATTTAGTGTTTTTTAACAATGAAAACTATCTTACCTTACCGAAATCTGGTCTTAAAATATTCTGTATGGAGAATTTTAGTTTAGAATTTGTTTGATATGATTCACTGCTACGATGTGACAATTCCGGTGAAGAGAGACCTTCGGAAACGGAATCTGATATGCTATCCATCTAAACAATAAGATGATTTGATAATATATAATTGAACAGTATCCAATTGATCCTACCGAAAATTTTTAAAATCAGTAATATTTTGATTAGTTAATTTCAAGCTTTTTTGTAGCTTCCATATTTCTGTACAACAACTAATTTTATTTGATAATTTTTGTACATTTGATCATTGCGACATACAATTTAAATTCCTTCCACACTCTCATCTAATCAAATATGAAATATACAAATTTATGGTAAATAAACCTCAACATTGAAGAGAAGGAAATTTTGTCTACAAATAATTTAGCGGTAAAGTGAGTGAGGGTTTTCGCTGTTGACAAGAATTTTCCTCCTTTTTCGTCTTTTTTCCGTCAGCCTTCAATGATGAACTATTGCGGCCACCATCGTTATTTCGGATCAAAACTTGATGTTTATCTGAATTTGTATACTAATTTCGGCATTTTTTTTTCATCATTCGCTTCGAAAATTTTAAGAAATAATGACGTAAACAATTAATTTATAAGTTAATTAACAATAGAAAACAACAAATATGAAAATTAGTAATAATACTATTTGAAAGAGTTCAAAATCCAATAATATTGTATTTTGTTATGCATTGAAATCTTAATCTGAAAGTTACTTAATTACAGTCTTTATATGCTAACATCAACTTGATTGGTCCAACCATAACTTCAATGCAATTTTAGCTTCTTTAATTTTTCTAATGTAACAATTTTGCAAAGAGTGGATTATCATTTTCATGTGGAAAGAATTTTGCAGTCGAATCAATATGTTTCATTTACAAATTTGGCTCACTAAAGTGATCTAGTAAATAATATAAACACTCTAGTTATAATATCTGAGTAAGGGAGTGCAAAGGTTTGCAGAGTCTATTTGTTTGATAGGCCATTCAAAATGGTTATTCAGCTTTCCTTCTTCATTCTTTTATTAAATGCTCTTTGGAATGCCTCACAGCTTTTTTTCCTCATTCTTTCAACAAGGTAAAAACAATTCTTTCTTCCCGCGTGTTCTTGATACCAAAGAATTCGCTTCCAGAAACAACAACATTTCCAAAATATCTATCTGTGAAATCATATATGAAGCATTTAACTATGGTAGTAGCAATAAAAAAAAAGCAATGATTAAGATGAAGAGGACATCAACTATTTAATGATAATAAAATTAACAACAATCATAACAAAATGATGATGATGATGATGATATTGATGATAACTATAACGATAATGGTAATGATAATTCTATAGATTACAAAATGAAATAGATAGAACAGTAAGAGAATGAAGGCGAAAGGAATCGAGGTTGTTGTTTGAGAATTGTTAATTCAGTAATTTAGAAGGGCAATAGGCGCAGCATCTCATTGTCACTTCGGATCCTTTCGCCCTCCTTCACCCATTATCAATCTGATGAAAATTTGTCGTCACGCCTATTCCGCTTTTTCGCAATCATCCTACCGTAACTCATACATCCATATAGCTTTCTCTTCTCATTCTAAACTCAACATTTATTGGTTTATTTCTGAAAAAGCTCCGCCTCCTATTGAAAGCTTCATTAATTGTCATTTACCGCTTGTGAATGCGACGATAGCAATAATAATAATAATAATTAGCCTCAATATTGTCTCTTTAAATGAATAGCTAATGCATCATTTTAGCTTACAGCCTTTAATGAGATCAATTGAGTTAATTAAGTTACATTTTGATGGATTTACAAACCCTTCTTCCATTTCATTTCATCTATCTTTTACCTGTAAATTCATTTTATCCATCTTTTACCTGTAATTTCATTTCACTCTCTAAGCTATTTTTAAAATACTTTAAAGAAATCAAAAAGGAAGAAGAAGCCTTCCTTGTCTGTCAATATGACAATAAATTCACTCTCATTTCAACAATTATCAAAATAAACTGCTATGAACGAGAAAAGTAATTGGATGAATGTTCCCTCTTCTTCTACATCATTCATTCGCAGAGAATTCATACACCAACTAATTTAGCGCAATTTTAGAAAATAATTTATTCATTTTACTGATCTCTCTCTCTCTCTCTATCTCTCTCTCTCTCTCTGTATCATCTACATCTACATATACCTATATATATATCTATACCTATATGTATCTATATATGTATAGATAGATCAAAACAATGATGCTTCTTCATTTCGGCTTATTCCTTTCTAGTAAATAGACAAATGAAGGTTTATTTATTTTCCATTCTTTCTTCCTCTTATCTATAATTGAGATAATTATTTGCTTCAATACTTTTAACGCCAGCAATTATCCAGTAAAATTGCCTGAATTGCGCATAAATTAATGCGATTAGAGATTATTTGTTACAAACAATTGGGGAAAAAATAATTGCCTAAAATGGCTAAAAAGTAAAATATTTGAAAAAAAATTGAAAATAATTTAATTTTGTTTATTCTGTTCTTCTTTTTCTTTTTGGAATAGATATTTCGAAGGAATAGAAATGAAATATAAATATCATTTAAGCTTATATCATTCTTTATTTCTTTTCTATTCTTTTTTAATTTCCACTATAATCTTTCAATGTTTCATTTTTTTAAAGCATTTAAAATCTATCAGAATCTATCAGAAGGGAATACTAATGAAAAAAAAAATGTCAAGAAAAGCAATCGTAGGAAATAATTGAAAATGAAGAAATAAATTGTTGTTGTTGTTTGTTGTTTGTTGTTCTATTCTTTTGATAAATACATTTTCGGCACTAAATTTCGTAAATTAATTGATGTTTGTGAATTCGTAATCAAAAATATAATAAACTGTTTCTTTCAACATTCATGAATTCTTACAACCATATAAAAATTGAAATATTATTAATTGTCGGAAATATAATTGTCTGTGTAAATAAATTTAATTTTCATCACTCTTATTTCAACTAATTAATTCTTACTATTGTTTTGGTTTTTAATACATATTTAGTAATATATATTAAAAATATATGATAATATCTGTGATGATATATTATTATCATCATTGCTACCCTTATTATTACCCTAATTCTGCTGTTATCAGAGTATATCAATACTATCACCACTGATAACATATCATTATTCTATCATTGTAATCGCTGCTGCACCATTATCATATCGAAAGGTATGATCATCGTCGTCAGTATTTTGATTGTTATCACTACCACCGACATGATTGTCAAATGTTGCTGTTGTTGGATTTTATCGAATAATTTCATCAGTTTTGTTGCCGAAACGTGTAACTTCTTCATTCGACAACATTTTTAACTGCATAACTAACAGACATATGCAATCGAGTTTAGAAGACATAATTTTTCAATTTGGAAAAAATTTTTTAAAAGTTTATTTATGAACTAAAAATTGCAATATTATAAGGAATTTCAAGAAGATAAGAAAAGGAAAATCCTATTGATTCAGAAAGAACATATTATTTGAGAGAGCATTTATTCGAAGCTTTAGAACTGTATGAATACCATTCAGGGAAAAAATTATCCATTCCGGTAAAACGAATATAGTATGAATTTGATAAACCTGCAAATGAAATTGAATTAAATTTAAATATCTCTTTTCATTTTCATAATGAAATTTTAACCGATCTGTATCTAACTGTTACATATTGAAAAATATTGTCTCTGTAAATAATCTCTTTCATCTTAACCTTAGAAAAAATAAAAACAAAAAAACTAAATATTACTTTAGCAAATAATAAAAATTTCAAATTATTGTCAAAATAATTATTTAAAATTTTTCCTTTACGTAAGATCTGATTGTTTCGATGAATTCAACAATTTTAAATTTTTTGAAGAAATTCCGAAATAAATTGTCATTTAACTGAACTAAATTAGAAATTCTAACTTTCAAAACAATAGAGAAAGGAGGAGTTTCTATTCATCAATCGCTAAGACATAATTTTTGTGGCGTTTTGTCAATTAGCATTTCCGATTACATTGCGATTGACTAAATGAGAAATTAAAATTGTGAAATTAATTTGAAGATCAAATTAAATGCCTTATCTAATATTTCAAATAGCTATCTATACTAAGTGAATAAACTTTGCATTTAATGATGATCGTACAATGCTACAAAGATCAATATTATAAATGGAATGAGAGTAGGCTTCAGATGATTGATGATCGATCGTCAGGATAAATAAGAAATATTAGCGATAAAATTGAAATTAATGCCGAGAATTATAAGCGTAAATTATGAAAATTTCTAGGGAAAAGATAACTTCACATTATACATTCTATAATGTTATATAAAGTTATATAAAGTTAACATTACTAACTTTCTTTTCTGGACAAATTATTAAATTAATAGCATTTTGACTTGGCTATACTTCTGCTAATACTGTGTGAAATAATGACTAGTGATTCAGTGCTGCATTAAACATATTTAATAATTACCGATTTCTTTGAAGTACAATAGATCGCATCATTTCAAAGAGTAAGAGTCATTAGTGATCAGTATTTGGTAGGAACAGAAAAACATTGACGGTAGCTGCAAAGCTGGGAAACTGCAAAGTGGAAAACATAAGAACTGATTGGGAGTCAAACAAGTCAAAACTTGATAGATTGCCTGGAGCGGTGGCCTTTACTAAAATTGGCACGGAAACTTACCGGACATAATGAAGAAGGGCGAAGATGGGGTCGAAGTATGAGGGAAAAGAATAAGAAAAAAAACGCCATAATTAGTATATGTTGAGGTTGATGCGAATATTGTGAGACGAGGACGATCTGAAAAAACTGTCGATTTCTTTAATGACAGCTAATTTTTAACCCACCCGATAAACCTATCCAAAACTTCCTATTGCATTATTAATTTGATATAATTTGAGAAACATGGACAGCCGGATTACACCTCTGCTTTTCTTTGACCTTACTAATTATTCTTACTACAGTATTTGCAGGTAATCCAACTCATAAGCATACCAAAGTACTAATCCAGACCGACTTAACACAAGTTAATAGTGAATGTTTTATCATTGTATAATATACTCGTTAACCTATTTTTTACGTTTAGAATATTTTGCTAATGCAAACATTAAATGTTTGTGAAATAAATGAAAACTTTTATTCAATGCAAGAGATAAAGTATAAACAATATAACAGAGTACAATCGCATATAAAGCACTCCAACACAGTTAAAGAACATTTCCAAATTCATTTCCCTTATTTTACTTTTCGTCGCTTTCGTTGACTTTTTGCCATATCAGCTGTAGTCTTTCTTGATACAAGAGCTTTCATCACTTTCTTGGACCTGACTTTCTTCATCATCTGATTGCCCAGCACTTGACTTCCCGTGTCACCTGATTTCACTTCTTTAGCTTTCATTGGACTTGTTTCACTCTTCACTGCTGTAATTTGCTGAAAAGAATGGAAATGAAAAATAAAACTCATCTCATTAAAAGAATCATCTAAATCCACTCTTTTTTTGTTCGAAGTAATATCTATCCACTTCAATTAAAAATCCATTTGGATGGAGTTGTTTAGAGTTCTAGGAGAATCTTATTGCTAGAATATTCGTAATTGCAAAATTATCCATTACCACAGTCCAATGTAAGATTTTATGATTTAAAATTCCAAAAGGATATTACTTGTAAAAGATCCTTAATAGCAAAGCATACAGCAATTTGTTTGCTTGACACTAGCTTCAAGTAACCGACACTTTGGCTCAAACATATCAAATCTCATACCCTTTTAAAAATTTGCTTCATGAAATAAAACTAGTATCTATGATGAATCGAATTCCATCAGTACCTATGAAAGCAAAGAATTAAAACAAAAATACAGTGATAATACCTTCGTTTCCGACAGTCCAACAATGGGTGGCATTTGATAACCGAGTTCAGTAAATTTGTTTCCTCTGATCTTTATCTTCTTCAGCAGTCGTTTCTAAAACATACGAAAAAGGAATTGGGAATTTAATCACTACCTTTGATTCTACGATGAAATTCTAATACGTATATCATGCTTATATTTATGAGGGTACTGTAAATTCTGAAAATGGAGCATACTTCCGCTGCTTCTTCACACCATCCACTTTGTATCCTATTTAATTTATTCGCATGACGCTTTCTACCACCATATTTCAATCGTGGCGGAATTATTCGTGGTCCTTTACATAAACATGGCGGGAAATTTTTGTTTTTTATTATTTTGCCTGAAATCAAAAACTTGAACACTTTCAAATCTGCGATGATTACACGATCAAGAAACTCTTACTCCTATGTACGATTCTGATTTACTTTTTCCTTTTCTTTCTTAGAAGTGAGAAGGACACAAGGCAAATTGGTTCCTTCACCTTTCTAATTCTAAGAATACGAACAAAACATGACCATGAATAGAGATAAACGAATAGAAATAATCAATTCTTCTACTCTGAAAAGTCTGTTACTGTTTTCGTTTTTTCATTATTAGTAGAAACGTTCTGTGTTACATAAGAGTTAGAGAGAAACCAACATTCCAATCGCTTTTCGAACATTAAATAACCATCCATAGCTTCAGCTGCTAACTGTGCTACCTCAGAATCAGTGAAAAGTACAAAAGCCCATCCTTTGTGATTTCCGGTCTGAAAATAAAACATTGTCAAGAGTAGCAAATATTCTATATAAAATCTTAATAAATAAATTTATGTTAAATTACGAATTCCGCATTTTTGATGAGATACAACGGAGCATTAAAGTTGCAGACATCAAAATTCATATCTTAATTCGTATAAAAAAGCAGGATTTGATGAAACTAAAAGATTCGATTAACGGAATCAACATTTAAATTAGAGAGTTGCTTTTCAAATTCGAAAAGTGGTTCTGACACCCTCTGTATTGAAGAATTAGAAAATGTAATTGCTTCAAAGTCACAATCAATGATTACTAAAACATAATTATGAATAAGTCCTTAATCAACTTTTTAGCTTTAACGAGTCAGAGAACTTTGTAATCTATCTAATAAATCCTCAGTTACCATTATGGCATTTTCTATGTTCGTAACCTAATTTTACGCTTTAATTACTCGACGATTTACTTATGCGATAGTTCAGTAGAACATGATCGAAGAAGGGTAGACACAAATAATTTCGCTTATTTAAACTATAACAGTCATTTTACTGAATTGAAGAGCAAAAAAAGTAAGCGATGCAGCTTTTTCCAGTTTTTTTAATTATTTCAAATATTCTTGGCAGTGTTACCCTCATTTCATCTGCTGAATGCCATTTGATATACGTTTTCATACTTGCTACTTGATTTTCAGATGACTTAAAATCGACCAATAAAATTTTTTAAAAAACTATAGGCCCATAGGAATCTCAAAAAACCCTTCCACTCAATTTCAAGCCTATAAATCTCGAATTCCAAAGATGGGAGAAAACATATTCAGTCTCGTTATAAGCGTTTTGGTCTCATTTCAAAAAACAAACAAAACTGAACAAATGTAACTAAGGAATTCTGTAAAACATCTGCAAATAAATCAAAATTTCTAAGTTGCCTTTTTGCTCCTTGGAACTCGAACTCGTCGGACTGCACCAAACTGTAAAAAATATTCCAACAATTCCTTCTCGAAGAATCCAAAGGGAATGTGCTTGATCACTATAGCCTTTGAACTGCCTTCCGGGTCAATGTCCGGTTTACAAGGAAAGACCTTTACTCTTGAATTTTCAATTTCTTTCTTCTCAGTCATATTCTTTAAAACTCTGAAAAAAGAAAACAAGCCAATGGATACATGCCATCGCATACCCATTTTATGCCATTAACATCTAATGAACTTGAATTAGAAAAGTTACTCAACAAGGACTTTGTCCTAGTACATCTACATTATACTCTAAATACAACATACACATCTTTGATATACTTGACTGCAGTAGGCTGATTTCAAAAAAATTTCTCCATATTTTGGCGAAAGAATTTTGCCGTTCTCTAGATAAACCCAAAACTTATAGTGAAATTAACATGCGCGAACAACAACCTTTTTAAAATTAAACGCTAACGTACGTTTGAAGCAACATAAAAAACTAATTCTTCAAAACAAATTTTATCTATAATAGTCAAAACACATGTGAAAAATAAACAGCTATCACCAAAAGGCATTGATATTACCAGCACCTGGTGACGAAAAAAACGAAAAAATAAATAAATAAATGACACAATAACAAAAACACATTCCCAACAATATAACATGAATTGCATGAAATTATGCGAATAATAAAAATAAGGATACCCTTCCAACAAATCCTATATAGTAGGCACTCGATATCGTTCCTTATCCTTTCCAACTTTCACCTATTTTTCAATCCACAAAACAATACGCAAAATGATTTTCCCATAATCTAAATAAACTGGTAATTTACCCGGATACTCTTTATGCATAGCATTTCGTCCTGCAAGACAACTATCTTTTCCAATAATTTAGAGAAAAAACTTACTGCTCCAGCACAAAAATCATAACTCTACCAAATCAAAATATTAACGTTCTCAGTAATAAATGTAGTATAATAACACATACCGATTACATACATACATAAACAAAATAGACAAAACACTTCTGGAAATAACACCTGTTAATAATCTCATAGCATCTGTATGTACGAAAAAATCATGGAACTTTATTAAGATAACCTCAGAAAACCCATATGTTCAGCGAACAATTCTAATAGAAGAGGCTAAGAAACAACCATAAACTTGCTTAAAAGTTTAAACGCTCACATCTTTTTCCTTTTGTAAGGCAACAATATTTCTGATATCGATATGCTCACTAAGCATTAATTATAGTCACAAGAGAAGAGCATTTGTTCATTTTTATAAATGTAAAATACAGTCACCGCACAAAATTATACGATGGAAATATTCATATTGTTCATCTAACATACAAAGTCTTGGCTTTCAATGTTGTGGCAGCGCTAGTAAGTTTTAGAACTAAAGTACCCACAATACAAACAGTAAGACCATAAGTTCAAGAAATAGGCCTAAACATAACTCCAAAAATTTGCATTAGTAACATAAGAGAAAAGGCATTATGAAGCAACAAAGAAATGATGGTAAGTCATCGAAACAAAAAAAAATCAAGGATGCTTGGAAATAAAACTCTTTACTGCTTTAAAAATGAAGAAAAAGTAGGATCCTTGAACAATAAACCAGATATTCCCCATATAATAGAAAATAATAATTCACAACTGCTCAAAGGTTTAAAACTGAAGACTGGAATAGAGTCAGTGATAAAGTATTGCGGTTAAAAAAGCCAAACTGAAGCCAACCGGTTTTTAATTCATAAAATCCTATTAAAAGATTATTTTAGCAATAAAATTAAAGGTTCATGTTAAGATACAGAAACATCGAATAGTAAATATTTCAGATTTCGCATTAACTAGAGGATATTACATGAAAAGCTTGCAAGGACTCTTTGGAAGCTGAACATCTATCGATTCTAGGAAGAATCATGTGGAATTCTTTTGAAATTCTATTTAAGATGTCACAAAAGCACAACCACAATCTACCACGTTGATCGATTATAATGATTAAATAAATTCAGCAGAGATTTAAAAAATATTCCCTTTCTCCAAAGAGATTTTTGAGTGATATCGATTAGCTGGTTCATGTTGATAGATAAAAATAAGACTATAGAAGGCGAGAAGAAAAACAAAACTGCATTTCATTAATATCATCTGTTTACCATTTTTAGTGAATTTTAGTGAATCACCAAAAAATTATATTCGAAACCAGAAATTTTAAACCTTTCCATATTTCCTTCTTTTTGTTTCGAAGGTTAAATAAAATTTTAAAATTGAATGCGAATAGAACTGCACATGAACATTTCACGAACCTTGTGAAAAGTTAACATATAAGGCAGAAATGGGAACAATAATCTTAAAAATATTATGAACTAGATACACATGAAACTTTCAGTTAGTTCTCACTTTATAAAACATAGCAAGGGAGAAATAGGAATGTTTTTCTTTTAATAAAACCGTTTTCTTAAGGATTATATACATAAAGGAAAGCAATATGAAAACCAGAGAAAAAATCGCCTATTGAGAAGACACAGGAAAAAAAACCTTTGGAATCGCATAAATGATCACAGTAGTTACAGCACAAGATCAAATGCTGCACAGTTATTATAAGAGAATTTTGAATCAAACCAGTGGAATTAAATTTTTGACGTTCTGTGAAATAGATTTCCAAATTTTGACTTTCTGTTGTTACTAATTGTTGAAACGTCGGCTGGGTTCTTTTCTTTAATCGCTACAAATCCATTTGCTTTGGTATTCGATGATGATAACCCGAATACTATATTTGACACACTTCGTTTCAATAATTTTAGATCTTGCTTGAACCTGAAATAAACATACCATTGTTTAATAAACTGGAGCACCAAATTGAGTCCAGACCCACTAAATGATAAAATGTATATCGTTAAGCAAATGAACCAAAGTCTAACGATTATTATATGTCTTCTTTTGGCACAAAAGTATGTTTACTTTTTTGTATTTTTTGATACAAAAAAAAATCCGGAAGTTTTTAAGACTAGTTATATCAACAAAACTCCAATTAAAATATGATAATAGACTCAAAAAACATATCCAAAGACATCAAATAGATGAAAAATCATTTAAAACATGGAACAAAGTCCTCATTACTAAATCCGGTATTATTTAGGTGAATGATTATATATTTCCTTAAACCTGCTTTCAAACATTTTGATTATGACTCATCCAATAATAGTTAAAATACAGTTCCAAGCGCAACAATTATGATTAATTTCTACAATCAGAATTTTATGAAAAATAATAGCACAAAAACTAAAAAGGAAAGCATACGGTAAAAAACGACCGACAGTTGTTGCTGGAGACGAAGAAGTGGGGGGAATTACTTTATTAACTGTTGGAGCTGTGGATACAAACTCATCGTCAGTAACGGTTCCCATGAGAGAACTGATGATTTGATTTCGGGATTTCTGCATTTCCGCAACAGATCCGAGATATCGAGGTTTGTTAAACGATCCAGAAGATGCGGAACGCTGAAGTGGTTGATTGCTATCAGCTACAAATTTTAAGGGTCTTGAACTATTGATGTTATCGTGAATGTGTTTTTGCAAATTTGAAGAATCCAAATATCGAGTTCCCGCAGGTATAAAACCTTCGTGCGCACATGAACAAGCAAGTGGTGATACTCGACCGCCAACATCCGAAGAAGCTTCAATTACAAGAGGAGGACTATTTCCAGGTGTAGAAGATGAAGCCATGCTTGCCGTCATTGCACCGCCAACTAGATCTAAACATGATTGGTAACATAAACTAAACGCTGCAAAATGTTAGCTTGGTTTAGAATAAAAATAGGGTAGATGAATAAAACAAAATACTGCTTTGAGAATTCTGTGAAGTTCAAACAAGTTGCTTTCTTGACCAGTAAATAATGGATTAAGTACTTATTCAAGTTTTAAAACGCAATACAGCAAAAGCGAAATAAGTCAAGATAATATAACATAAGGAACCAATTTTTCCAAACCAGCAAAAACATGCTTTGAGCCGGGACAAAAAAATCAAATGGAGTAAAGAAGTTTTAAGTCAAGAACCAAAAAGGATAACTTCAGCAAACAGCAATCAATTAGCAATATTGGTAAGCTCCCTAGAGAAAATATTAAGAGCAAATCCAAGCATTTCATATTTGGCGGTAAGGATAGTGCAACAAAAAATAAAAATTCTGGAAACTAATTTTTATTTGCTGATCAGTACGAATGTCCAGAATATGACTGACCAGATTTACGATAAAAGGAATTGGAGGATCCGGTTCTCGGTAACACATTACTCGTCGTTATAGAAGGAAACATTATTTCTGCAAATGCAAAAATGTCTGAAAGAAAATCACTAAATGTAAACATAGATTTAAAAAACTCCAGAAATAGAAATCTGTAAGCAAGATGAGAACTGATCAAATATTGAATATGATCCGTCTGAAGCTATAGGTGAAAAACCTTTTTTAAGACCATGAAATTCAAACGTCCACCCATATATTAAATAGATCAAAATATTACCAGCAGTAATTGATGTAGGAACTAAAGGGAAACCACACAGTGATTCGATTTCAGTCCATCGTTGATGGCATTCACTCATTGCCAATGAAATTTTCTCCATTCGGGCTCTTAATGAATACTGAATAGATACTGTATTTTTAAGCTTTCTAAGCCTGTGCATTCTGCTTGTCTCATTTTTTAAGAAAATAAAAATTGAAAATTATTTCAAAATTGACAATAGTATTTGCAAGAAGAGAAAAGTATTTCGCCAAAGAGCCAATGCATTTCGTTCCGTTCTCAAATAATTAATAATAAATGGCTGATGATTCATGAACAAGTATAATCTCATTCTTTTTCATATTCATAATTCATTTAAAAGTTTATACTTTAAAGCAAAAATGCGTGAATCGATGTGATCTGTTCCTGATGAAGCACCCGTAGCAAGTTTGATGGAGGAAACAAGGGTTGACTGCTTTTTTCGAAGTTTGTCGATGTGTTCAATGGCTTCTCTCATTTCAGCAATACATTCCATCCGTTGCTGTCCAACATAACTCACTTCTAGTTCACAGGTCCTAAAAATACAAAAGAACGCAATAAATAATAGTAGAAACGTTCTTATCCACATCTCTCATCTTGAAAACTGAAGCTAAAAGCAATCCTATAATGTTCAAGTGTCTTAAGCTTTGGTCCGAGCTCTTAAACTAGGCTGTGTGCTGGCAAATGCAACTTGACAAGTTAATGCTTTACGTTTCGCTGAAATTCTGTAATTTAAATACATTAAATGTTGTAGGACACTGAGAATTAATTAGATCATAAACAAGCTTTAAAAAAATGTTTAGTCTAAGAGCTAAATTTTTGCATCAGACCAAATTTCATTTTAACCAGCTTCTTGAAGACTTTGCATAACATATTCATGCACCATCCAAATCAGATCCTACTATTTCGCAAAGTCTCACATATGGATTCTGACTTTGATCCACCACTGAGCACTATAAAACAAACCTCCTTAACAGTGGTTGTAGAGCAAGAGGAGCCGAACCAGAACTTTCCAACAAGCGCTCAGCTTCCATAAGTTGTGATTTTAGCTGAAAGCATTAGTCAGAAAACTAAAAGCGACTTAGAGTATAAAAACTGAAGATTTAATTTTCCAAAAACAAATGAAAGTCTATTTCTAAAAAGAAGAGTATAATCTGCTACGCAGTTTAAAAAATAACCGTTTCAACTTGTTCGCTTTCTAATGCACCCCGACTCGGTTGTCTTTTTCTTTGTTCTTCCTCAAATCTAAACATATTAATTCAGGATTGCTTTTTTGTATAAACAACATATGGTTTATAACAAAAAATTAAAATATTCTTTCGGCTTAAACCGCCAGCTGCACCCACTAAGAAAAGGATCTCAATATTCATTCCACTCTGCTTTGAACTTTTCTTGCTTGGCATAAATTATTAAGATCGATTGCAGATGAGGTGCTACTTTTTAGGTTAGTTTTAAAAATATTGTAGAAAAAAAGGACTTCTGCTGGACATCTTCAAAATGGCTTTGCATTGATCTCAGCTGTGATAACTTCGCCGTCAACTGTTCCATTTGCATATGCGATCGTGTCCGCTGTACTTTGAGAACAAGAAGTACCGTAACTAGCACAATCACTAAGACTGACAAAGCAATATCTTTAAGCCGAGATGCATTGCCTGAAAAAATTTACGACTACCTTGCTTTTACTTTATCCAACTCACTTTCCAAAAAATTTCATCAAGGATATTAAAAACGTACGAAATAAATAACTAATTTTCTATGTGGTAGTCCAAACTACTCAATAACATCAATTTTAATCTTTGATGAAAAATTCCAAAAAACTAACCACTAAAACCAAAAAGAACGACATCTAATGCCTTTAGACGCAATTTCTGCTTATGTACCGAATTCTTGATGCCCAAATCAGACAACAGATAGCTAGAATTAGCGACAGCCATTCTGAAAAATGTAACATTCATGATGAAGTTTTACTTCAGTTATCCGTAAAAACTTGATCACCGATTACTTTTCTGATTAGAGAGGAACATGTTTCCTTTTGGTTTTTAACTTAAAGCCTAACAGAAGTTTTAATAGTGTCAATACTGATGCGGGCTTTAACATGTAGACTTACCAACGTCGTTAAATATCGTAATGCAACGGGATCAATGGCTTGGTGTCAAAACAATAGTATATGAATTAGCATCTCAGATATAAAATCATATGCCAAATAAAAATTAATGAATACTCACAATAAGCCGACCTGGGTAAAGAGCGACCGTCAATTTCCATTCCAATGAAAATAGATGAGTACTGCGGAAGGCGAACTGTATTTTCCAACCAATTCACCATATCAGCTGTAGTCCAGGAACGCTCCTCAGATGCAAACCACGCTTCCCATAAGTCATCCACTGTTATTAACTCATCGTGGTTATGATGAAAAACACGTTCTCGTTGGGCCCTGTCTAAACCTCCCAACTGCATATCTTCTTTCAAAAACTGAAAATTTACAGTACCACACAAAATAATTTATAAAGTACGAGATAAAAATAAGCATTTATGATGCAACTGTTGATTGTTGAATGATTTTATAAACCGTGTGCTCGCCAAAAAAAAAAATTATCACTGAAGCATGTTTACATCAGTTGATTCGAACCGATCGATGGAACCAGACTGATCGTCATCCATTTGATGATGCAACTGTATTATAGCTTCGTATCCCTCTGGATCGCGCAATTTTTCATCATTTGCTGTTATTAAAACTTCTAAAAATGAGACAAATAGCAAAACAATGGACAGACAGATTACAAAGTAGTAGAACCGCATGAAAAGACAGCATGGAATTATTTTGTAGATCCATGAATCTAAAGATCGTAGGCCTATCTCATTAAAAGCTCTACTCAAAAAAACATGCTACTTCGAATGAACAACTGGCTGTTTGTTAAAAAAAATGACTATCATGCAAATTAACTACAGCCTGACAACTGGTCTGTGTGCTCATCGTCAATCAATGAATTGAATATAATTTTAATTGTGCAAGGAAAACTTAATTTTCGTAACTTTCTGACATCGGCAGAGTACTAAAAAATTGATCAAAATGCCCAGGAAAATTTCCCATCTAGGTAATTGTACACCTGCCACCATGTCCAAATCTTTTGAAATCTTCTTCAAGTCTGAAAATAAGTAATTTGAAGAGAAAGAGCGAAATTTTGGACGTTATGACAACATAGAGACATGTATTTAACTGAAGTCAATCAGCCTTTAGCACTCACCACGATTATTGATCACGATTATTGATCATGATGACTTCGGGCAGATTTGGATAAGGGTAGTTTTGGTGCACCTGAAACGATATTTCGATAAGCTAGTCAAAGTGAATATCAAGCTTCGTAAAACTGTCATCTAATCTTTTTAACTGATAAATATAGGAATGAACACTAAGTTTATCATTATTTAATCATATCTAACTGCTTAATTACATAATGCTTATTCGCTTAATTGGAACTGTAGTCAAGACTCACTTATTCCTTTAATCCTTCAATTAATTACTTGTTGCTCCAGAAATTGTTCTTTGAGAGTCTCGAAAGATTTTTAGACAGATATTTCGAATTAGACCTCTCACCTCTCTACTCAGCAAAGCAACCGATTGCCCAGCAAAGCAACCAAACAACCGAAGCCCAACAAATCGACCGACAAACAGCCTAAGCCCCACTCTCATTTCAAGAAAAAGTGGAAAAAAAGGATGGTTTAACTCAATATGATAAGAGAACGCTACGAAAAAAACAAATCCTAAAGGTTTTACAAGGCTTTTTTCTACATTAAGCAAGATAGACGAAAAATGTTGTTCATGCAGGCTTATCCTGATAGTGTTCTACTGTTTACTTTGTCATTTAACAAATCTAATAAGAATTTTTGAACATTTCATTTTGCTAAGATTATAGATTATTCTTATTAATGTGGCGAATAATAAAACAGGCAATTCAAATTACTTTATAACAACCCTAAAATTAGCCATAAATTTAGTTTTGTTCTGACAGATTCTCATCACTGATTAAATATCTATTTCTTTGTTGGAAATTTCAAATTGTTAAATGTTGTCAACTTGTAGGATTAAGGAATTTCTTTGGAAAACAACACTATCTGCTATAAAAACCTAAAGCATAAACCATCTGTAAACTATCTGCTATAAAAATCTAAATCATAAACTATCTGCTATAAAAACCTAAAGCATGCTAACACTAAAATTGATTATGAATTCTAATTCGAAATATCTGTCTAAAAATTAAATTTCTTAAATAAATTGTTACATAAATATAAATACATCATAAGAAATTAATCTAAAATCTAAGGGAACATTGTTGCCAATTAAAAGACTCTTTTATCATTTCAGAATTGTATTCAGCAATATAACCCAAATATCAGAGGATTTTATCATTTCCAATTTCGTCAATTTTCAATCAATGAGAGTAATCATAGAGAAGATATTTCTTCCTTTAGAAATTTTTTTATCCTTTCCCTTAAAATTATAGTGAATTATCAATACCTGAGCTTTATCGTTAAACAGTAACAATATCACCTGTTAATAACTCAACAGAAGTTTTCCAGGCTAATCAACAATATGACTCAAATGCCAGAGGATTTTACCTTTTTCAATTTCAAACGAATTAACTCTTCTCTTTACTGATAGTAATGGAATAATTTTAGTTTATAATTTATTTAAAATTTGAATTATCTTAATAAAAAGAAGATAGAAAATATTCTCATACAACAAAATGATTGAAAGGAATTGGCAATCCCATGTTGATCATTGATCATAGCTTTCCTGGAAATAATAACAATTAAAATTTCTTTATGTCAAAAAATTTCTCAAAAGAATTTCAGCACTTTTAATATAACCGTATCTATCATTTCATCCTATTTAAATTAGGATTTAAAGTTAAAATAACTTACATATTCACTCCTATTTGCATCTTTGTGCATTAATTAGTGGAAACAAAAAGAATTTAGCATAATTGTGCAATAAGCAAATAAGCAAACACAGCAAACAAGATGCCCTTTGAACCCAAAAAGAATTATATTTAATTCATCCCTTCCTTAGGCTATTCCACATTTACTCCATTTTGGCTTTCTCCTTACTTTAAACTATTCCAAACATGACCAGTTGTTAAATTTGACCTCTTCAAGAGAAATTTGACCTCTCATACTTACTTTTCGAACACTTCCAATCCCTTTAAATACGAACAATTATGTTATGCCATATTGTGCAACGTTCCCTGCTGAACTTTTCGATCGATAAAATGCTGAGAAATTTAAAAAAAAAGAACTGATTGGACGAAAGGAAAAGAGATGAGACATCTCTCTACCTTTCTCTCTCTCCCTCTCTCTCTCTCTCTCTCTCTTTTGATAATGTTTCTCTTGAAGTGTATACGTAAATAATTAGTTCATCGCTTGGATTTTCGAGGAAAGATCGAACTAATTTCGCGATATCAGTGTGAATTTGCTCCAAGTTTAATTAAAATAATATATTCTATTACCGTGAAAACAAACAATTACGGTTCACTATTGATAATAGTTATCAGTGAATAATCAGTAAAGATAGTTCAGAGATAAATCAATAATTGTAGATCACATTGTTATCAGATATTTTGATAACTTTGATATATCAACAAATCATATTCATTCTTCTCTTCAAATTTATCCGATCTACAGGATCACTTTCTACTAACAAATTTCTCTTTAATTGATATAGCAAAAAAAAATTATAAAACAGACTAATATTATTATGAACAAGCTTATTTCACTTTTAATAACTTTATTTTATCCATCAACAAATCATTCCTTTATCAGTTTAAGGAATATTTATTTTTTCCAGTTACAAATATCGGGGAAGTAAGAGAACATTATTCTCTCCCAATCAATCAATAATCTATTTCATGAACCGGAAATTAAACTATATTGTTATGTACTGATTAGAGCAGTAATATTACGAGTAGTTGTCACCAATAGAAAAAACATAGTCGTTCTAAATGTTATTGTATCGTATTCCTCTTTTATTGATTGTATTGCATGAAATTTGTGAAAAGTATGAGTCATTTTTAAACTATAGTACTTAATTAGCATCATTAACAAATTGCTGTAAAATTTATTTATTTATGTTTAACTCAAACATACACAAAGTTTTTTTTTTCATAAAGAAAATGTCATCAATTTCAACTGTAAAGAAATAAATCGATAAATTTAAAAATAAATGAAATTAATTTTTGATCATTTGATTGTTTCAATATGAGTTTTGATTATTAGTAAAATTAACAGTTAAAATATTAATTCAATTACCGTCTATTAGATTTCTTTTCTTCTCTCATCCTATCCAATTTCATTATCAATTTTTCAAATGATTTATGATCCAAATGATATGTACGTTCTTCCAGAAGAGAATGATAGTGACAGAACAGTGACATAAGGATATATCAAAATGAAGTCACATTATGAAAATTAAGTCTAAGAATAAAAATATTATTATTAAAATGCAAGAAGAATTAAATTTTTAGCTGTAAATAATTCAAAGTCCCTTTCTATCAATAAAATTTAAAGTTTTTCATTTATAAGACGATAGAATTGATTGATAGCTCTATCAATTGGTTGCTTAAAAGCAAACTTGAAATTATTTCTATTCAGTTATTTAATTTTATTTACAAAAAAAAGCCGGTTGCTAATATAAACTTATGCATTACATCAAATTACTTTTTCAATGAAAATTTTGGAATAAATTTGTTCAAATAATCATTAGCAATGTTTTCGGTCAACAGCGCATTTCAATGTAACAATACCGCCCATTTCTTTTTTCATCTTCTTCCGACATGTAATCTTCTTTTTCCACTTTGACATTCAAACAAATTTTACGACCAACAAATAATATAGCATAAAGGCTATTGGCTAAAATGCAAATTTACTAAATGATAGTGTATTTATTTAAAATTTATAATTTAAAAATTTTATTTTCAGTATCAAATTTCAAATTATAACGTTTTCCAATCGATTTCGTCCGAACGATAAACAAACGAATTGTAAATAAAAATTATTTGAATGATAAATTTAATTGGAAATTAATTGGAAATAGAATTAATTTAATTTCTGAGCATATTTAAATCATTTTTTATTTCAATAAATGTTTTCTTAGATATTCCAATTTAAGTATTTAATTTCTATGCATGAAAAAAAATGAGAGAAATGAAATTAATACAGAAAATTTGTGCCACCCTTTATACATTACTCTTTCTTCATTGAATAACTTTCAAGAAAGAATTTTCTTTCCTTCTTTTTTTCTTCATATATTAAATTTAATGATCAAAGAATAATTCTACTAAATATATTATTGTAAAAGAATTTTACATGGCTGAAAACTTTTTTAAACTTTATAAAAAATTTTTAATCATTCAGTTCTAATTAATAATTTCCGTTTATTCAATTCTGATTATTTTTCCAATTCATTTCATTTCTTATTATTACAGATTGAATGTTGTAATTCAATCAAAAAGATTTTCAATCCAACGAAAATAAGTAATCAATTTTAGATGAAATAGAATTATTCTCATTTAATATTATTATTTCAAATTCTTTTCTTTCTTTCTTTTAATTAGTCATAAATAAGAATGACTAATTAAAATTATCAATATAAGATTGAAATTTATCGGTTATTTTTTAATTAATTCTTTTCCTATTACTTTTATTAAATCTTACGAACAATTAATGAAAGAAATATTATTAAAAGAGAGAGTTTTTCTGAGAATTAAAAATAATGTCTTAAAAATGAGAAAATGACAAAAGAGGACGAATGATGGCGGAATTTTGCTATCGGCTATTTCTTCCCCACAACAACAATATATTTTTAGCAAGGTATATATATATCTCAGCAATTGATTGTTGGATAGTTTTGAAAATGACTTTGTTTCACCTGACCTCTGGTCATCATAAGTAATCGCAGTATAATATCTGTTCATATATTGATTTTATTTCATCAGGCATATGTTGACCTTTCTTTTTATTAAATTAATGTTCAATTAATGATAATTGTTCTAAAATAATTCTAATCAAATTTATTACTTTTTCCTTTTTCATCTTAAATAAATTAATGACAATAATAAGTACGACAATAATTTGTTGGCTTTTGGAATTTTTGCTTTTTTTATTTTCACAAATTGAAAACGATGATTGATTATGCTAATAATAAACATAGTGAAGCGCAGATTGATGGATACAAACAGCGCCTCATTCCATTTCTTTTTTGTCTTTTTATATTTATCCTTTCATTCCTTCACTTCCCTCTGCAAATCACACCACAAATATTATTTCATTTACTCTATCATAAAAACATTTTCTAAAAATGTATTCGCATATATCTGTGGAAAAAAAAATGATGATAGATTAGATTTTAATCAAAATTTAATTTCATTGTCTAATAATTTTTAATTAATCTGATTTACATATTATCAAAATATGAGATATTATGTTAGTTAATTTAAATCCATAACACATAGTCTTAACATTTAGATTCCATTTTCGATAAAGTAGGTAAATTAGAACTGATAAGATATATCCATTTATGTGTGACATAATTTAGTACTCATTTCCTGCTATTAATGTTATCACTATGTGTGATAAATTTAATTATCATTTAATTTTATTACTTTTTTTCTATCACAAATCCAAACAATTATATTTAAATTAAACAAATTATTCTTTCATTGCAATCATTTGCTAATCAAATATATTTACTTCCGAGAATTATCATTCAAACTTCTTGGAAATCAATTTTCATTTCGAGAAAAAAAGCAATTCAACAGCTCTCTTACTTCATTATTGAATTAGCTCTATTCGTTTTTCTTTTTTTAAAACAAATCCTTCACGAATTTTCTTTTATTAATTATTGTTATCTTTCTCTTAGCATATCTTTTTTTATTAATCCTATCTGTCAACATATTTTTTGGACAATTAAACAATTATATTTTAAATCGATAAAACAAAACAATATTGAAATTAGTTCAATAATTGATTAATCTCAATGAACTAAAGGTAAAAGTTTTCATTTGACTTTAGAGATACGAAAGTTATTAAAAATTAATGAATTACGTAAAGTATTTTAATTTCGCCATGTGACGTCACAAAATACAAATACTGTGATGAGATGGAATGGAGTGATGGACGATAATTGAGGAAGAACATACCGAACCGACCCAAAATCCATTCCTGGAGAAGTGATGATACCACATATTGCCCTCTCTCTATATCCCATGGATTATCTATCTCTGCCCTCTTTCATCTTTAGTTATGCATCAGAGTTAGTTGTAATCCTCCAACAACAGTAATATTAATGACGTAAGGATGAGACGGTCGAAGAGTTTTTCTTTCCTGCTCTTTGTTTCATTTTCATTTAGATACATTCCTAAGAAATCATTTGTTTAATATCTATTTAATAGGATAATTATTGATTTACTCTATCCTAATGTCATCCCGAGTTTTCTTAAATTTTTCTCATTCCCTAAGATATTGTGAGGGCGGTAAATTAATTAATTTATGGATTCAGAGAGAGCGCAGGTGAAATATTCGGCCGATGGTAATAGGAGCGAACAATAATAATAAATAATTTAAAGTACCAGGCATTCGTTACTACTTTACCTGTTAAGTGATGAATAATAGGTAATATAAACGGAACAGTAGATGGGTATTAAGAATATTAGGAAGATTTGAAAGAGCTAATTGATTAACAAAAGAGTAGTAGTTCGATGATGGTTAAAGTTAAAATGATACTTCAAGTCTTTTGTTTTGTATATCCTCATAACCTGATTAAGGTGTTTTTTCTCTTATATAATACATGCTCTTGTGAAACTCGGATTTTAACACGAAATGCCAAAGGTTAAGTTCTTCGCAACGCCTAACTCACTTCCCCATAAACCCACCTCTGACCGACACTTTCCTTTCGGAGCATTTTCTTAAATTCATTGGGGTCAAACCGATGAAACAGCCAGAAGTACCGAAGATGCAGATATAACTGTATCTCTTCAGCTGCATTAGCGTTTACTTTCTGCTTTATGTCTGAGTTTTGTAGTGGCATACTCTAACATTTGACGTCTCTTCCTCTACCCTATTGGAACACGTGACCTTTTCTCAGATTGCCATCACATATTTTTTGAACAAATGGATATCAGAAAGTCAGGGGATGGAGAAAGAGAAACAGAGTACGTAAGTGCATTACCTACGAGATGATATGTCGGCCTTTTAAGTATATGGAGGGATATCTCCCTATTTGTCTGACGATAGTGTAAGAGAGGAAGACAAGAGAGTGCAATACAGGAACACAGAGCAGATGAGTGAGTGAGTATATTCATCAACCTTCTCCTGCATTCCTCTGTCGCCCTCACCTCCTCTCATTGTTTCCGCCCTCAACCCCATACACGCACAAACATACACACACACATACACACACACACACACACACATATATATGCATACACCAACCGACACACTACAACAGGCCCGTATTATGAAGAATCGATAGAGAGAGAGCAACTATCAGGTTTTTTGAGCTTGTTTGTTACTGCTCCGAGAGTTGTCGTTCCCATTGGGAAAGGATTTCGTTTGTCGCGATGGAGCGGAATAGGAGACTTCTGGAAGGTCCGAGAGCTCTACAGAGTGCTTTTATCACTCTATTTCAAAAAATTTAGTGCGGAATTACCTCTGTTTGTTGCAAAAGTATTCTTAACGATCGATTAATTCGTATTAGTCAGTTGTAATAAGATGGATTGTATGGAAATTTTTAGATGAACAGTGGTATTAGTCAGTTGTAATAAGATGGATTATATGGAAATTTATAGATGAACAGTGACGTATGTGAAACTATTGATCCTGACAGTCAAATTGCGAAGGCAATGGATGAGGAAGATTCAGAGCCAAGGATAGCAAGGATTCGTGAAAATCTTGTTGGTAAGTGATTTCGTACTGTCGAAGTTATATAATTTTAGTGCGATTAGGTAAAGTAAGTAGCATCGGGATTAGTTAATTGCGAAGAAAAATAAAAATGTGGATCGAATGTAATATTTAAATAATGTTCCATTGCATTGTGGTTTTGAAAACCTTATAGAAATTTTCACACGAACAGTACACAATGGCTTCGATGGTTTTGATTTTTCTTTGACCCTGATAAAAATTGTTTTTAGATGAGACATTTTTATGAATGCACTGAGGAATAATAAAACCCGTAGGGATATGTAATAGTAAGTTAGTGTCATAGTTTTCTTTTTGCATTCCATTTTTTTGTAAATTATTTTGGGTGTTGCTGATCGCGTAAATAAACTTTGACAGAATTAAAATTTGTAGTAACAACTGGTATTGTAGATCACTAGCTAATTTCCATCTTAAAAAAATATGCAAGGAGAAAATTCTAGTTTCGATCCAATTTAGATGAATAGGTGTTTACTTTTGCTTAAAATGTTGAATTATTTGTTTCATTGCTCCGAAAAAGCTTCGGGTGCTTTGCCAATTTGTCTAAATTTGTTGGTTTCTCGCTACTTATCCTTACAAATCGGACATTTTTGACTTTTAAAGCATGCTTTAGATCAAAAAATCAAGTTTACATAAAAAGCAAGTTTACATAATTCATTTTCCATGGTTCATCCAGATAGCTGTCTTCAGAAATTGGAGTTGATCAACATGCACAAAAAATAGTAAAAGGAATGCAAAAGTTTTCAAACATTAAAAAATTAATTTTACAGATGGTCTTGGTCCATTCGATCTGATGGCTGACATTATTGTCGGTTCACAACATGGTCCAAATAATTCGGGTCTATTTGGTGTTGTTCAATCACCGATTAGACCATTACGTCCATCTTTTGTGCCATCATCATCAATATCATCAACGTCAGAGTCACAAATGACTGCTACTCAAATGGCACAGGTTGTATATTTTTGTAGTGCAGATTTCTTAAATTTGATGAATCGAACCAATTAAACTATAGTTTAGCCATCTATTAATAAATGTAAAAATATTTTCGACAGATTTGCCACGATAACTATTTATATTACATACATATTGCAAGATTGTGGATTGAATTAATTTACATTAATTTTGCAATGTCTGTTAATTGTAAAGTATTGATATTTCTTTCTGTGAAAATTATTTCTCTTACTAGGTTTTTTGGAACAATTCATATGCTGATCAAGGGCATATGGAGAGCGAGCATTTTATGTGACTCGTATCTCTCGTGACTGCTTTAGTCGTTTCAAAATTAAAACAAATTACGGAGGCTGAGCGATTGCCTCTAGACCAAAATGAGAGAAAGATACGGCCTAGGTAGTGATACTTTGGAAATTAATTTAGAAGAAAGATTGATGCTTGGATTATAATTTGTTTTCTCCAGAAGATGCAAAGTGTTATTGATGTACCATTATCAACAATCCACACTAACCTTCCATTTAAAAAGGTTAGTTATCTGTTTTTAATATATTGATCCCATGAAGCTAAGGAACAGGTTGCACTGTATACTCGGTTTTTGACTCACTTTTAATCACAGAAGCAATATCATGTTTCCAAGTGTATATAATTGCTTCTCTTCCAAGTGATGAAGTACTGAAGAAACAAATATAATGAAAGGGAAGAGGAGAGCAAGAATATTTGATTGGTTGTAATAAAGAAAGCGGATAGTTATCTTGATAATATTTGGTCTCTTTGGTTCTCCAAACTGTTAACCCATAACTTTTAATGTTAAATCAATGTTGATGTTCTGATGATGTATTTTTCTGAACCGAAGTATTCAAAAAGAAGTGAAGTGCGTCATCTTCTTTGCATGGTATAATTTAGTTATTTTATCTTGAGAACTAGCTACTTTTAATAATCGATTGTCCTCATCTTTGTTAGGCAAATGTGAATTTCAGAACCAAGAACGGAAAAATAATCCAGTGAGAGATTCGGAAGCAACCGCACTTGCTAACTTCGTGAATACTAACACTAGTAACAATAGACCTTTGACAACCTCGAGTCGTACCGACGATAGTTCATGTAGGAAAAGGAAAAGGAGAAGGTACGTAAATAAATTTATTATCCAGAACTCATTTTTGTCCAGCGTTTATTTTATTCTTTACCTCTAAAGAATTTGAAGCTGGAATTAATAGAAACTGCATCAGATTCATAAAACAATGTTGCAGAAGTGACTGCAACAAAACGGACACGGAAAATTGGCAGAAACCATGCACAAGCAATACAACAGCAAAAGTGAATGTTTTGATTTATGTATGGAACATTCAAAAGAGGGCTTGTTTAGAAAAGCTTGCAAATGATATGTATGGGAAACAGAAAGCGAAGATGTTGTTGCTGCCGGTGTATTAAGTGCAGAATGACGAAGATCTTTAGTGATTTAGCAGTATTTATTATCAATAAAGATATAACTGCACTTTGACTACTTCTATTGGGTCGTTTTAAACTGATAAGAATTTAAATAATTAAATGCACGTGCATATAGTAAACTCGAATTCAATGAAATAAAGCTATTATCTCAGGTACTGTAATGACTTTAATTTTCCAACCTTTAGATGGAATGCGATGATAGCAGAATGACGATTAGTGAGTTATTTGGTGAAGAAAAATTGGAAAATGGAGATGCAAAGAAGCGACCTATCGATATGTTGAAAAACATGGAAAAAAAGATAGTTAAGTGGGAGAAAGAAGAGCAAGAAAGTCCGGATTCTGGATTTGCTGATGAAATAAACGACCAAAATCGCGAACAATTTCATCGACCGTAACTTTCATTTTCATACAGGATACAGTTTGTAGCAGAGGATTAATCAATACCCAATTATAAAAATTCTAAAAAGATAGAACTGTTTTTAAACTTTAGGCACCTTTGCAGTCTAAGTGGCCTAGGGACTAAGTTATGAGATTAAAAATAGTCACGTCCTATATGTTTTTTCTCATGCTGATTTACTTGCCATTGGCACAAGTAATGCTTGTGTGATGGTGTATTCGAATGGTTTGTTAGACCATAATTTGATTAACAACGAGATGTTTGGCTTCTTTATACCGTCAAGTGCTGGGTAAAAGATAGGTTATTGCGTTATCATGAAAAGAAATGGAAAGAAGCTTTTTCACTAATATATTTTTAGCAGAAACAATATTTTTAGATAATAAGAATGTTATGCTTCATCTTAATTTCAGGCGTTTGCAAACTATTATCGGCGAACTGGGTTATATTTCACCACTTTTAACTCCTCCACGACATCCACAAAAAAGTGAAGGTCCGACACTTCCAGTTATCATAAATCTGGACCATCTAGGTTTAGCAGAGCTTCAGCGAATCAAGGATGTGTTTATTAAGAATGCTCCTGCCGTTAGTTTTTTCTCACTTCTGGTTGTCTGATGTTAAACTCTGACAGTATGTAACTTGAAGAAGTTATTTTGGTATGTTGATGTCAGTGGAATAGTCATAAAAAAAGATAGGTTGAAGTAGCTCATATTCTCATAAGAAGAGGAACCATAGCTCATATTCTATCACAGTAGGTGGATTTTTAGGCATAAGAAGCTGATAGCAGTAAAAGGACTTCTCCGCAGAAAAACCGATAGTAAAATAGGCCTTAATAGAAACATGAATCGCGGATTTGATAATGTTTTAAAAATTTTTCAAAAACTATATTAGGTGCCGTCATGCAAATTTACTGTTATTGTTACAGTTTTTGTCAACAGTCTCTGTGCCCAATTGTGTTCTATCGCCTCCAATAGTTCCAACATCAAGAAACGAACAAGATGCAACGTTACAGCTTTGCAATTCGGATTTTAAACCGGTATCAAAAAATACCACAATAGGCAACAATGACAACAGCATTACCAACCGCAAAAGACAAATTATTCATAGTGCAGGTGCAACGCCATCATCATCATCTACGAAAGATTTCAAAAAGGTATGGAAATTCAGGGACAGAAAAAAATCACGCATCCTAATTAATATAATATTCTTTCAATTCTGGAAAAGTAACCTAAATGGAGAATCGAGTTATACTCTTTTTCCATTTGTTATTGTTCGATGTTGCCATCAAGTATCAAAAACTGAGAACAAAAACAAGACAAAAACAGACGATTAGTTTTTTCATAGTTCGATTTTTATGCTTGTAGTGACTAATAATAATAGTACAGCCAGTAGGTAAGTGTTTTAAATAATCAAGCCTGCACATCATTTCAGTCTTAGAGTAGTGATTCAGAGTTTCAATCAATGAAGAAAAAAAATGGGTTTTTAAGCTTGTTTATCTCAACCATTTTTAAATGAGAAAATTAATCAGGAATAATCCTAAGAATGAAGCATGGATAGAAGTTGGGATATTACTCAAAGATTTAAGAACTGGTACTTCGGAGTTTGTGACGTGGTCGATACAGTAGGAACTTAGCTAGTTTATTAGCAATTTCCCTTTCGGATTTTTAGAACAATTTCGAAACTTCCAAAATTTTCGATTTTCGTAATAAACAAAGCAGAATGAGTTAAATTTGTTCATCATAAATCCTTAGCAAAACGTAACTTTTTTGCGGTCTACAGGATAATATTCAGTGTTATGGTTCAACATCTAGTAATGACTGGAAACAGGAATTGGCTACATTAAAAAATAATGACCTCAAAATTACGCTCGTTAAGGTTTGCCTTTTGCTTAGCTCAGCTGTTTAAAATAAATTATAATTAAATAAAATTCAACATTTTATTAATCAGTTAATGAGCTTTTCTGCACTTTATTCTTTTTAACGTACTTTAACAAGTTTAGTTTTGGGGTCGTCATTTTTTCCTCAACAGCTTCGAAATCTGAAATGTTTGAATAATCTAGAAGAACTTTGAGTAATTTAATGTTCAACCAAGCAATCAGAGATAACAAAATAACCGTTTCGGAATGATTGAAATTTCAGAAATTTGTGAAACAATACGATAAAGCATACGTTACTCCATCTGCCGCCTCTAGCATCAAGGAAAATGAAAAAAGGAGGAGGAAAGACAGCTCAGCTCCTCCGAATAGCAGCAGTGAACAATTCCCAAGCACTTCCAAACCGGGAAAAAAATCTGCTCAGTTGAAACCTGTTTCATACGTTCCAAATAGTAAACCAGACAATGTTCTAAGAGGAAAAGACAAGAAAGAGGGTTTGGATGGTGAAAACTCCAGAGAAAAAGAGAAGTTCGTGCCATCTCGCATGAAAGATTGTGATGGATTGAATGATCAACCTGGTGATGGTATCACAATAACACATATGCGTGATTTAAAGAAAAAACAAGTAAATGACGCTGCCGTAAATTTTGCTACTAATGATAGCGGTCAAGTCGACAATATGCGTGTTAAAGTTACGAAAATTGCGAAATGCAAAGACGGCGAGGTGACACCAGCAAAAAAATGTAAAAGGGATATGTGTTCAGGCATTAAATTTGCAGATGGGGTGCAGGTAGCAGATTTTATTCGTGCTACTAATTGTTTAGTTGTTTGCATTAATTGTTTGCAGTGATAACACTTTTTATTTTATGGTATCATTAATAATTCCATTGCTGGATGCGTAAAACTTGAAACATCTAAAATAAGAGCTAATGCATGACCATAGTTACTGTGGGTTATAAGTGAGCGCATTAATTTTGAGCATCAAAAGTTACCAATCTAAGAGTAGTAGATTTTCTATAGTTAGTCTTCTGGATATCTGTGTATCACTGGCCTCTTATCAACTCGCCAACCTTTTTTGCAGTTTTCGCACCTTCAAATTCTTTTTTTTTTAGTTCACCGCTTACTTGTGCTTTCTTAAAAGCAAATTTTCAAATGTTTATTAAATGTATTTTAGGAAGTTGGTGGTGATTTTATTTGCTGCAGAAGCCGTACAACACCACGAAAAAGAACAGTATTGGAAAAAAATGACGATGGTACATATAAATGCGCCAATTACTATCTGGATGAAGTTGCCCGACCGTTAAAACACAAGGCTGACAAAGAGGTAAAATTTATCAAGATTTTGTAGTTTCATTTCTAGTTTGTAAAGTTCTCTTGCATTTATATTATCATTTTGAAATTTGGCCGAAAATTCTTCAGAGTGGTGACCACATACGGAAAACTCTTGCTTATATGGATGCCGCTGTATATTTTATACTTTCGTCAGCTACTGAACGAGAAAACAGACAACGACAGTACACGATAGCGCGAGATAGTGCTGAATTGATGAAGTGAGCTTTGGATTGAAATTTTATGAGGAATTTTCTCATAAATTAAAGTTTGTGCATTGATACCTGAGTCGTGGTTCCCACTGGATCCTTGTCAGCAATATCATTTTCATACTTTTTTGAACAAAACAGAATAGCTGAAGTACTTTATTGAATTACAGATTCTTTAAATGTTTCAAATTTCTATAGCTTGCGAACTCTGGCTATGCATTGGATGGTCATTAATATACAATTTGATTCATTTAAAAAATGTCATCTTTCTGCGATATTACGAGACATTGTCTTCAGAACGATTATCAAATGGTCAAGTGCATCAGCAGCTAGTCTTTCATCACTGGAACGACATTTCATTAGTCGATTCAAGATATTATCATTTCGGGTACAAGCTGTGCTAAATTACTATCTCTATTCGCTCAAAATGGGAGTAAGTTCATTACTAAAACTTTATTGCCATCATGATGGATAAAAAAAGCTGTTACTTCATATTTGCCTTCGTGCTTAAGTAATTTGGCTTAGCTTGCTTCGTTACTTAAACTTTACAATATTTATTACTCCGCTCAGTTTCGTACTCATTAGTAGTATGCATCATGACATTTTGAAATATGAGAAGAGGCTTGGCACGTAAAAACGATGCCATAAATGGTTGTTGATACTGTTGATGAGCATAGATTTATGTGTTTTAACATTGGCGTTAAACTTTTCTAATCAAAGAATATTTGATATGGTTTCTGTATTTGCTAAATCTTTAAATTTCATGGAATTTCTTTTTTAGAAATTTTGAATTTCAAATATTCAGAGTTGTATGTCCAATTTTGGCTTATTGACGAAATGGGAACCGCAATTGACTGAATTGGATGCTGCAGCAATACGCAACGATGGTGCTGCATCAGTTAGTTCACAGAGCGGTTCATCTGCCAATACAGAAACTCCTTCACCGGCCTCATCAACAAACAGTGGCCATGGTGAACGTCAGAAGGAAGTGAGTCGTTGTTAGATCAGCTCACATAGTTGTATAAACAAGTGTAGCATAGTTAAGAATTAAAAAGTAGTGTTTAACGAACTTTCAATGTTCTATGTTCACATGCTTTCTTTTTTGAAAAGATTTGTTTTAGATCAACGTACCAGTTTCTATTTATCAAGCCCAACGTTCGCAGCTGAGCATCCTTCACCATTTGATGTGGTCCGATCGGCTGTGGAAGCAGACATCAACTAAAATGAACAGCCCTGAACAAGGTTAGCGATGTGAACTGATTTTGAACTGTAAGAGAATTTAATAGAGCAAGGTGACACATCATCAGCAGTGATTTGACTATTACTAGAAATCCTGAGATATCTCGTTTCCAGTTGCTGCTTTGTATGTACACGTCAGATTCTACTTTCTTGTAAAAATATTCTATATTTTAAATGAATTGATTAAGTAAATTAGTATTATTTGGAATAAATTTAAAAAAAGTTCATATGATCCACTCAATGTTAAATTGCATTCACAATATGCCTAAAAATCAATTTTTGATGTTATATTTTTTTTCGCAGAGATGGTAAAACATTTGGACCAAATATGTGGACCATTGACTGTTGACTTAAGCTTACATTCATTATCAGAATATCTGGCTACAGCAGTAACATGGCTTCGTGCGGAATACCGTGCAGAAAAGGAACAATTATCACCGTCATCATCATTTTCGCAACAACTATTGTGAACAAAATTTTTTATTAGTACAAAGTTTAATGTGCAAGGTATAGTTTTCATGTAACCCTCGTAATCATTGTCTTTTTTACCATATCATTTCATGGTACCTTGTGTACAAAAATTATTCATCTCAGATAATTGGTGACGAGTTGGCGAGAAATTGTTTAAGTTTTTAGTGAAAAAATTCCACGACTTCCATTTTTACAGGGTTTTTGAATGAGATAATCGGTAAAAAATTTAAATTATTGCTTCTGTTGATTTATTATATGCAAGTACTTCAACTTTGGTTTTTGATTTTAATCCGTCAGTCTAGAAGTGCATCAGTTATCAATCATTTTATTCATAAGTCCTTTCCATGAATTATTCGTGTAAAACAATCTAATAAGTTTATTAAACCTAATAAACTTATTAATTGCTTGTGCAGGATTCTATCTTTGAAGAAAAGGATCTCTGGGGAGTTATTTCGTTCAGTTTATGTACAATTGTTCTTAATTTTCCCAAGTTTGGAAAGGAATAATTGATCTGTGCTGATTTTATGGTATACAAATCATCTTAATATATTTTTAGCTAAAATTATGGTTTTGATTTTTTCCATGTTTGTACATGTTTTGATTTCATATTATTTGGTGGAAAGTTAGATTACCTGTATTTTCGTTTGCTCTTTGCATAATTTAGAATTCTTAGTTTTACATTTGTGGCGATAGTTCATATTACATATGTCTCAAAGGTCAAATCTTTTGGATTTAAATCTTGTTTTATTTTAAAGGCATTTCGTTGAGCAGCTGATATTTATTCTTAATGCTAATTTTTGAAGTCTTTGAATTTTTCATTTCAAATTGAACATATTGTACATATTTTTCATTCATTCAGTGATCTTGAGGCAGTTCATGAGACATTGGTTTTTTAAACTAATTCTTTGAAAAAATCATGCTAGAATTAATCATATACCTCAAAAGTTTTTCGCAATGAGACTGTTGGGTTCCTGGAGAGTCGGAAGTTTGCTTTTACTGTCCGTTGTTTTAAATGTGCTTTTGCCGATCTTAGAATATTTGGGAATTATCAAGTGAATTTCTGCATTATTTTTCAGAAAAATATAACCCGGAGGCGGCACATTAATATTTGGTCCAACACCTGGGGACTCGTATTTATAGAGGCATATGAAGTTCTCAATTTACCAAAGGCATCGATCATTTCATAAAGCTGAATTGTATTGATTGGTTTAGAATTTATAACTTCTCTTCCTCATTTCCATCTCATTCTTTGTGATATTTTGTAAATTGTATCAAAGTTTCATTCTGGGTATTGGTATTCTATCTTTGATAATTTTTTTTATTTAGATTGTTTAAGAGTCGTTTGCGTTTTTCATTCCAAAATTTCACCATTTTATAGCTTTTCCAATGACAAACACAAATTCAAATTTTATTTACTATTGCAGAAACTTTCTGTAAACGTAAGTCGAAGAATAAGTTCTCTTAATTGTAGAGCGAATGATTTGTTCTTGACTAGAGTAATTTTTAATAGATGAGTAATCGCATTCACTCTTTTAAACAGTTATGAATTCTTTTTTCTTGCGTACCTTAAACAGGATTGTGGTTGTGAAGATTTTTTGACGGGTGATCAGTATTTCTATGGTTTACTGACATGTATGAAGTGATTGGATTATGCGAGATAATTCTGTGTATATTCAGAAGTATGATGATGAACTAATTGTTTTGTCCTGGAGTTTTTTAATTTATACTATTTACTCTTTCTTTTTACAATAGTACGACGAATAGTGATAATCTTGCGATTTCGATAGTTTGACCCAAAATGTTATGAACATACATTACCAAGGCGCTTCTTTTTCCACTTATATTTTTCCAGAAATTATTTTGGTCTTTGTATGCTCATTTGATAATAATGTATAGAATGTTCACGTGCTTTCAATCATTGTTTCTTCATTTTTTTTCGGATATTTTTTAAATTGAAAACTTGAAGTTTACATGACACAGGAATCTTTCCTTCATCTTACTTTCTACAATTGTTAAATTTTGGAAATTCGGTTTGAAAGATACAACTTATTTTTGGGAAGAATTTTGATGGGATGAATTTTTATGCCATCCCTTCCTACGATATTATATCACTTTCTTAGTTTCTGGTTCACATTATGATATTTCAGTGCGGTTCGAAATCATTCTTTTGAAGGTTCTTCTTTTTCCTTTGCGATGATATTATGCTAAAATCCTGTCCTGCTTTACTCTCAAACTTACCTTCTTAAGTACTTTTTTAAATTCCCTCTAATTTGTTTCCTATCACTTTTTAAGTACTAAGCTGGAAAATGATATATAAATTGTTTGAAGTGTTTATGTTTCACATTGTTAAAATTTTTATGCGTCTTTCTGTCTCCTTATGTGGCCTGAGTCTAATATTTCGCTGGAAAATTTTCTCTACAGAACTCGACTGAACATATTAAAGCAGCACTTTTGAAATATGAACTTGAGTCTATTTGTGGTATCAGTAAGGCGCAAAACACTGCTTACGTTCGTTAAATTTTATATTTTTACACGTGTATTTTAAGTTTGTTTCGTTGTGTTTAAAGATAAATTTATAAAATCAGTTTCGTTTGGTATGAGTTGAGCGGCTGGAGCGTAAAGCGCACTTTGCGTTTTCACCTTCAATAGAGGCGTTGTCGTCATAGCGATCTGCAGGATTCACCTTCTTTTTGAAGAATTGTGTGGATTGGAAATATGGGATTTGAAGATTTGTTTTATGAGAGATGTAGGTTAGGAAGATTCCAGGATCAAGTAATTCATAATGGAGCGGCCACTTTTTCTATGGGAGTTAGTAGTATGCGGGAAAACTTCTAAATCATATCACGAAACTTGGAAGTTCTGAGGTATGAGAATTTATGAGCTAATGTTTCGCTGGAAAATTTCATGAGAAACGGAATCGTGCACAATAATGTGAAATAATTTTCAGTAATTGATATTCAGTCAATTTATATGAAGTTTGCATACAAACAAGTAGATACTCTGTTGGAAAAAGAAGCTTGCTTCAGTTCAGCTTGTCTCAGTTTTGGAAAAAGGAAATCAGAAGTGAGTTTACATCTAAGAATTTCCCGCTCCATGAAAATTATTGTTTTAGAATGAATAAATTAGGATAAATTATCAAATTTTTTAGTCCTAATTGGTAATAGGGTTGCTCAATGAAACGGTTAATAAACAATAGTGATTCATTGAAAATTCTGATAACAATAGAATGAACGGAATATCAGCCCAATGGATGGAATGAGGACCTCGACATCTGAAAGGTTTATGCAATGTAAGAATGAAATAGTTGAGAAAGTACGGCTTTATATTTTGCCACATCTTCAATCTTATATATCAGGACAAAAATTTTATTCATTGATAAACAATAGACCCTACCAAAAATGAAAATTTAAGGTTGAAAGTAATGAAACTACATAAGTAATGGACAAAATGGAAATAGAAAGAAGCCTACGCGAGCATTCAGGCAGTTATAAGTTATGCTCGCTTTTTGAAACTATTACATAAATTTGTGGAACCACGCACATGCCTTTTTCTTGAGTACCACTTTATGCTCATTTTTCTCCTCTTTTTCGTTTTTGTTAAAACAGATGAAACAAAACAGATGTGGGGAAAAACTTAAAACAAACAGCAATCTAGGAAACAATATATTTGTGATGCTTTAAATTTCTATTTTATTTACAATCCACATTTTATAACTGCCAATTATCACTTTGCTTTTTCATTATAACAAAGAAACAACAAAAATTAATGGATATACACACCAGAGTGTATTGGTACAAAAAATGAGAGGGAGGATTATTATTTCGTTTTAAATGTCTTCCATTCCAACTTACTTTTTGAGGATTCTTGGCACAATCCGGCAATTTCGCAAAATCGCTTTTTGTCAAAATTATCTAATTCTATATCATAGTGTTGCAGTGGGAAAAGAATGACTAAATTCATGTCAGAGACGGATAAAATTTTACGATCCTTTCAACTTCCCGCCTTTCCCATTCTTAATCTCATGAAGTAATTCACTTGTGATGAAAACTCAACTGCAAGTGTACCAAACACGCTACATATGACAGGAACTTTTCTATTTATTTGTATGAAAGTTTGAAATAATGCTGAAGACTTTTCATTCCTCGGCACCTTCATCATTCACTTCCTGTTGCTGAACCATTTGTTGGGCATGTGGTGGCGGTACTCCCAGTTGCATCATTCCACTGGTTGGAACACCTTCAACAGTTGCGATCATTGGCATTTTCATGGGTGTTATCGTTTGCACTGGTGTTCCCTTGTAGTTTCGCATCTCCTATAAATTAAAATTCACAAATTAAAATCAATGTAATGGGTTAAATACATTCAATTCAGTTAAATTCTTGTCGCTTATCTCCAAACAGTTTGTGTTTTATCGCAGTAAGAATAGTACAACAGATAATCAGATAAGAAGTGTTATCTAATGATCGAAGAAAAAATGATCAAACTTGCAAAATCCTTCCAAAATTTTCATTTTTCATTTGATATCTTTATATACTTAGTAATACGATATGTAAATTAATGATTATACCTCAGCGTATCGTTCTTTATCTTCCAATGCTTTTCGTTCGTATACAGCTCGTTCCTCCTCACCCAGCGCTTTCCAGAATCGACCCAACTCTTGAGCTACTTGCCCAACTTTCCACTCAGGATGTTGTTGCTGCACCTCAGGCCGCTTGTCATGAGAAAAGAAAAAGAAGGCGGATCTGAAATGCATATTTAAATCATTTGGATTCTGCTTTGTGTTTTAAAATTCGAATTTATGACTGAACGCATACTTTCGGATTTTGAGCAATATTTACAATCCATCCAGATTTTCTTAAAAAATCTAGAAAAAAGGTTTTACTTTAACGAGAGAAGATTAAATATCAATTTACAAGGCTCGTTTCGGCGCATTCGGATCTTTCTTGACACGTTTTCGTTTACGTAACGCATCCTCTCCACCGTATGCAGCAACCTCAGCTTGATAGCGTTCTGCATCTTTTTGTGCCAACTCAAAGAACCTCCGTTTTTCATCGTCAGACATGGTCTGCAATCAAAATAATAAATGAAAATAAAATTTTGCAAATATGAGTGCCATTCTTTATTTAGACAACCTAATCTAAAAAATGACAAAATTTCCTGACCACACCTGTGTCTTCAGCAGAAATGCTTTGCATTGCTATTTAAAAGATCAAATACCCTAACAGATTAGCAAGCTTAAATTGATAGCAAATCAACAACAATTTGAGACAATCTTAAATACTTCCGAGTAAATTAACATCTATTTCTCTTGCTTAAATTAGTATTGTTAAATACGCAAGCATTTCATCTCTCAAGGTTCATAGTTCACCGGAGAAAATGTTACCCATTTTTTCTGCCCCTACCCTTCAGTATTAAAGTAGAGGATAGACGGTTGTAAAAAGGGTTACCTTCCATTTCTCTGAGCACTTTTTACTTATTTCAGTCACTTGAACATTTTCATTTGGATATTTCTTTTTATGTTCTTCATAACACATTTTCACAAAGAATCCATACGGTGATGTCTTGCCACGTACTGGCGGCTTCGCCGATTCTCGCATTCTACTTTGACCGAAAATGATTGCCTATAAAAAATTTTAAAAACTTGAAATTTTTTTTTAAACAAGTGAAATGAGGACGGATCTGAAAGAAAGAGGGCTCTTCGTTCGGTATACACAAATACGGCACTCATTTGAATTGGAATAGAATTAAGATTAAACCATTTTGAAGAACATAAAAAACCGATGCACTGATAAAAATTTCTCAATCAAACATTTGCATAATATTAACAGGAAATGAATGTACCTGAAGTAAATTTCCCTTTCTATTACGATTGAAAGTATACAAGAATTCGATTAATTTCGTTTATCTCACTTTTCACTAAAATTTCCTATGTTTAATAATTTACACTTTTTCATAGACAAAACACTTTCATTAGTGCTACCAAACATGAAGCAATATTGCAGCAGTTTCGCCTTCCATTCAATGTTAATGTGTAATAATGTGTAGGAAACAAAAGAGCATTCTAACGCTTCCATAAAGTGACTACCACCACAAAAGACTAAGCCTGTAAGCTTTTGTTATGAGCGAGCTTAATTATTAATTTGTTGGCTAAATTTTTGAATTGTTGAATAGTATCGGCTCATGAATCTCAGAAGGACTTCGTTTTCTTTAATTATCATTATTTTTTAATAACTTTCAAACAAATACTTCTCAGTCATAAGAGAGCGAATGCATCGATTGAAAGTTGTTTCTGACCAAAGAAAATTAGATTTTACCTAATTTTGCTTAAGACTAAAATTAGTCAGGATACTAAACACATCCTTTTGATGTCCAGCTGTGTGAATTAACTCATGCTCTGATTCTGTCTTCCAATGATTTCTCTCTTCAGCAACCTAATAAAACTAAAATTAATGTTCTCTTTTTGAGCATTATTTTTCTCTTGTTCTTGCAAATTTGTTTTTACAGTTAAAATTAGCCAAATTCGGAGTCTCAAAATTTTTAAAATCTAATACAAACTTCGCAGAAATTTTAAAACCAAGCAAGCACTGATGCTATTTAATGAAGATTGATGTTAAATTTGTGGTACTTTTGATGGTACTCGTTTCATAAATTCAAATACTGGAAATAGTCGTGTAATCAACATATTCGCAAATGATATCATACAAATCTCAAATCTGTCAATAATGAATTTCGGCTTTAAAGTTTCGAAGAAAATAAGAAAAGAATTATTTGAATTTTATACTAGATTAAACTTAAATGGACGAAAATATCTTCAAATTCCAGTCCAGAAATTGTAATAGAGAAGTGAAGCCATTCGTTCATGTCAATCATAACTTTTTGTCACATTCAGTTCTTTGCCGGTTCATCCTCCACTTTCAATTCTCCAAACAGAAATAGGACTGTCACAAGCCAAGCCAACATAACCTACCTATGGGAAATAAGAGAAGCAAAGTTGAATCTTCGTCTCAGTGAGTTCCAGCGGGGAAAGTGTTCTTCTTTGATTGCATGCTAATTTCAATCTTATCAAAATAACGCTATAATCACATTAACGATAGTAACAATAATAATGCTTTGTTGATAGGATGTTATGATCTCTGAACTTTATATCATCCCCACGGACAGTGGAAAAGCAATGTTCTCATCATCGTGCAATACTTGATGCTTGCATTGAAAAAGCATCTACAGTTGGGTGAAGAGCTTCCTCCCAATCTCGATTCATTCCGGAAGCTCCCGGCAGAGATCTGGAGTAGGTATCTATTTCGTACTTGGAATGAAATTGATCAAAGTCTAGTAAATCTCAGAGAAAAGTATGAAAAGATTTGGAAAAGTCTGTAGATCGGTCCGAGGCTTTACTCTGCCTTTTTCATTGGCAAGTAAACGCACTTTTAACCAATAATGGTAACTATCGGGCAATAAGTAAGAAGTGAATGAATGAAATAGGTAAGTGCGGATAATGGAACTTTCTCAGTAACTCCTAGAAACACCATACAATTTCAACGTTAAATAGAAATACAGGTTACAAATAATGATTTAATCAAAACTTTCAAAAACGATAATTTCACATTGCACTTAACATTTTAGACTGAATTTCGGAAGCTGCATTAGGACATTAAATATAATGAACTAAGGTCTCATACCAATAAGTTATTGGGCTTATTGCTGGTATCAGTGATACCGTTTTAACGTCACATCCAAATTCAAACGTATCCGCAGAATGAATACATGAATGAAGTCCCACAATTTCAACAATTTCTGGAATAACTTCCACGAGGCCTAGCCGGACTTATGCCTGACCTCTTTGTGACCTCATTTGATACATCATACATTACAATAAATATACAAAATCATCAGTATAATGATGAAAGATAGGTGGAAAAGAGTAGTGAAATATTATGGCGAACGAGGAGAAGAAGCGAATGCATGGTCGGAGAGCTCAGAGGACGGAGCTCTGCCAACGAAGGCCGTGTCTGCCCCGCAATGCTCCCAATCCACAACACACACACAATGGGTGGGCTTTCTGCTATGCATGTATGTGTGTGTGTGTATGTTGTATGTATGTGAGTGTACATTCTGTATGTGTCTTTATATATGTATGTGTACACGTATGTTTATACTCGCATGTATGTATGTGTATGTTGGTGTCTGTGCATATGCTCATGTTTATATATACATGTATGTTTGTATGTCCGTGCATATATGTATGTGGAACATGTATGTGAATGTGTGTATATGTATGTGTGTGTATGCGTGTATGTAGAACATATATGTGGATGTGTGTGTATGCGTGAGAATGTATCTTGCTCCCGGCTGCCCCTCTCTTTCTTTCTACGCAATGGTGAATCGATACAGCAAGCGCACGCGAGACAATCTTATGCCTGCGCATCAATAACTTCCACAGTTCAAATTACCGCGTATTCACTGGATGGTATGTTTCTCTATGAAACTGAATATTTCTTATCAGTTCAACGATTTCCTATCCGTTCTACGTGTGTGGCGGTTATTCCATCCGGTTGTAACAGATGAGTGCTTTTACGCCAAGAATAAGTTGAATTAAGTTAAATAAATAAGGAAATTTGAATGTATTGCTTATCAACCATTAGGTTAGAATGATTGATCAAAGGCAATTGATTATCATATCGATACACGTGCTTGTTGATTCAATTTTCCGGATTTATTTATATTGTCGATTTGGGTAGGCAATGAACTGCAATAAAATTTATTTGAAGAAGCTTATAATGACAGACGAAAAAGAACTGAGACGAGAATATCCGCTGCATTGGGCTGTGTTCCGAAGTGATTATGAGAATTTGATGGAATTGCTGGAGGAAGGGAATACAGATGAGATCATTGATAAGCTCGATGTGAGAGGTCAGTAACCCTTCAGTTATGCTATCCATTAATTCACTACCCATTCATTCATTTATTCATTTACTCTAGGTTTCAGACATTGAATTCAAAAGTTATACATAAATTAGTGAAACTCTGTTTCACTAAAACGGAGCCTCTTAGTAAATCTACGGAAACAAATGTTAACTTTTTCCTTCCAAATGATTGCATCCTTAGATCAGTGAACTTCGATGAATACAGCAGATTTATCTATCTACACTTAACATTAAGAACTACTTCTTAAACTTGACTTTTATTTTTCAGGCCGTACGCCTTTGATGTTAGCCATTACTCTTGGCCATTATGATTGTGCTCGAGCTCTGCTAGAAAAAGGAGCCAATGCAACTATCCAGAATGCAGGTACATTAATCATCTGATGTTAACAAGGCAAGTCAAGTTGGCTTGCTTCAGCTTCATATCAAAATAAGGAAAGGGTCGAAAAAGACTTTGCTCACTTAAGGATCGATGTGCCATTAAAAACGGATTTTCTGGTACCTTCTATTCGCACCAATACGAACCCATTGATTCACTTATGCAGATATGTGGTCGCCTAGTCATGAAGCTATTTGTGCCGGGAATAGTGACCTTTTGCGATTAATTATCCAATATCGAGATTATCAACGAGCTTTGCAAACAAGTTCCGCAATGGAGCGTTTACTCGCTCTGTTGAAGGTGTGCAATTTTTATAGTCAGCGAGAAATAATTTAACATCGGTATAGGAAAAAGAACACTGTACTTATATAAATTTTTCATACCTCCTCAAAATGACTGGTGTAATCTAAACAATAAGCACAATAAAAATTTTTCGCTTCAAACATCCAGTTTCAGTGTGCTAGAGTACACACTTACTTTATCTGCAGTTTAATTGATTGAGACTAAATTGCAGTATCCTTATATGTGTCGCATTAATTGACAATAAGCTCTTTTCAGATTTAATTGATTGAAACAAGTTATAGGAAGCTTGTTTTCAGGAAACAAGCGATTTTTATGCAGAAATGAGTTGGGAATTTACTAGTTGGTTACCATTTGTCAGCAAAATGTGTCCTTCCGATACGTATAAGGTATCTTTAATTCATGTTTTAAAAAGAATTAGTGCATCTCCATAAACGTTTTGCTTAAAACTTGAATAATGATAATTTTGTTACAAGAATATTTTTGCCTATTCGAAAAATATTTTCCAATTAATAAAACAGTCATTTAATGAAGTTCTAGTGATGTTTAACTGTAATTTACTTGCCAACAAGCGTTTTCAATTTATTTGTTTTGTCCATACTTTAAAAGTAATTTTGCAGATTTACAAGTGTGGTTCAAATGTTCGCATTGATACAACATTGGTTGGTTTTGATATAACGTCAAATTGGAAACGCGGTAACCAGTCCTTCATATTTCGTTTTTCTGATAATTGTCAAGCACAATTTATTGTCTTGGATCATGACAGTAAGACGGTAGATATTAAGACTTTCTCCTTTATTTATTTGTTTCGAGAAAAATAAAAATGATTTTTTTTTCCGTTATATTTTAGAGTCCAAAATCACGTAAGTTTTTGATTTATATTTAATTAGCTGAAAAACACCAATATATATATATATATATACATGAGTGAGATTTAGGTATATTCGTATCTACTATTATCTTAATGTTTTTAGGCTACTGTTCATACCATGGATACACAATCTACCACTGATCTCAGGGATTTTGTTCCACCTGAAGAAGCTATTTATTCGCGGATGACATCACCTGTTGACACTACTTTTATTGATGTAGAGAAGATCGGGTTTGTATAAAAGCTTCTTATATCTTAAATTTTTTTTTGTTGTTTTGGAAACAATTATCAAATGGTAATTGTTTCATCGTAATTACAGATTTGAACGATCAAAAGGTGGTGGTCTTTTCTCTTGGCTAATGTCATCAGATCGTGTAGAAGAAGTGGAGGGATATGAATGTAAAGTATGTATTCTCTTTCATTACTTTTAAGATATTAGAAAGGAATCAAACGAATTATTTTCCAAAATAATTGGTATTTGAAGATGTTTTTGAAGGAAATCATCTTAAAGTAAATACATGGTTATAGTGAAATTAATAGGTATTGTTATTCTCAAGATAAACTTTTTTCTTCAAGCATTTCAAGGTGTTTAATGCGAGTAATGTTGACATAGTCACGAAGACGCGGACGGAGCACTTACTGGAAGGAGATAAGGAAAGGTTAGTTAATATATCGAATATCCGTTTTATATTATTTAGAAAAATGAGCGAAAAATTTTAGATGATTCTTTAAAAGGTATCATAGACTAATGTTGTTAGGCTTTTTGGAAAGAAGTGGTTTTGGTAGTTGGTTAATATTTCGTTAAAAATAAATATTTCTTCTTTAAGCGTTAGAGAAATTTACTTTTCTAGAAGTTACAGTTTAATTCACATGGAAAATAAAGTAGGTTAATTAACCTTATCCCAGAATTGTGGTGTTACAGTGGTCAGTTAATTTTAGATTCCGGCGTGAAGAGCATGAAAATCCTTTGCACACTGTGTTGAAATTAGCTGAAAAACATCAGAAATGCACTAGCGAAATGAGACAGACAGGAAGTGATGTGTATTGCGGACTAACACCGCAGCAGTATTTAGATAAGAATTATTCTATGAATAATCGCGACATTGGATTACCAAAGCAGGTTCTTTTTTTTTTCAAGTTCCGCAATATCTGGCAATATCAGCAACAGATCTTTTAATGAGGAATGTCGTATAGGCCGAAAGAATCATTCCTGTCAATCAACTTTAAAGTCATTTTACTTAGAACTTTTTTCATAATTAAGTGTACTCATTTTCCGAGGTAAAAGGTGCGATAATTAGAAACGACATTAGTCGTTCATTCTTATTGCGAGAAAATTTTATTAGGAAAGCGTTTTGAAATATGTCTTTCGGACAAGGAAGAAAGTTTTGTGATAACAAAGTGGGTGTGAAATAGAATACCTTTTAAATTACCTACATCCAAAATATAATCAACTCTGTAACTGACAGCTTGACATTAATTCCTGACTTGGAATTTTTGGAACATTCTAATTTTCTCGCCTTATATTTAGCTTTAAAAGATGTTAAATTGATGACATATTTTAAGTGTTATATAAATATAAACAATCTTTGTGTGACGCGTTTCTCCTTATTAAAGGATATGATTATAGTTTCCTTACATCGTTTGTTTTCAGTTACCAGATTTCGTTTGGTGTTTCACTACTACGAAGTAACTTTGTGTTAAATTATTTTTCCATTTTTAGGTGACAAAGAAGACTACTTCATTTAAAGCTACTTTATGGCTCTGTGATCACTACCCACTCGATTTACAGGTTATATTTTTGAAATGAATTGCGAAATGCTGATATGTTTGGTTTTATATTTCTATTCCTTCCAAAGGCTTGACCAATGAAGCTTTAGATTTTACTTAGGGGATTTGCTGTTCTGAACTATGTTTTTCATCTTAAATCGTTTTGCTTTAGAGAGCTAACAATATCACAACAAAATCTTATGACACCGTGCAAAAAAAATTTTAATTCCATTTGTCGTTATCACTGAATATTTCCGGGCTTTAATTTTGGTTTCAAATTTTTGTGGTTATTTCAGGATCAAGTATTACCAATCATTGATCTGATGGCTGTAAATAATGCCCACTTCGCTCGGCTGAAGAATTTTATCCAACTGCAGCTGCCAGCTGGTTTTCCTGTAAAAATTGAAATTCCGTTATTTCATGTTGTTAGTGCACGAATCACATTTTCGGCTGTAAATATGCCTGGACCTCATGTTTCTTACAACGTTTCATCAAACAAAGTAATTTTAATTCATTCTTATGAGAATGAGTTTCGCATTAGAATACTACACTGAGCATGATGGATGTGTCTTACAAATAAGATTTATATGTTTTCAGATAGAATTCGACCCGGCGACTTTCGAAATTCCTCAGTATTATCGCTCCCTGAACAACGGTGATTATGGCATATGTATAAGTGGAAATACAGCTACAGGCGAAGCGAGCTTCAATGGAAATCTTGCATCAAGATGTTCGTTTTTCGGCCTTTGTTCTTCCATATTACTATATGAGACAGAAATATTAACGTTTGCTACTCTGACAATAAGAACTATCAGTTTCATTCGTTTGAATGACTCTGGAAAAATTGCTTCAAATTTGGTCATTATAAATCCATTACTATTCCCTGGCAACACTGATTAAAATGCAGAAAAAGAAAATTATACTGAATTGTTCATTTGGATAATTTGGAATCTTAGACATATCGGAAGACGAACTCTATTTACAATTTGCACTGGAGCAAAGTATGCGCGAAGCAGCAGGCCTACAAGCAGCAAGCGCTAATAGTTGTTTCGAGGCATCCGTTAGCAATGGTTCGGATTGGCATGGAGACAAAGATTTAGCATATGCAATAGGAGAAAGTATACGAACGCTTCGTTTGGAACAACTGATGAGGGAGGATACTACAACAGTCGAAGGTGCCAATACCACAGAATGTCAAACTTTCATGGTACTTCTCAATCTTTTTAGCGCTTCTTATGCATAATTTTTTTCGTTTTAGCACTGGAATTATTTAGTTATTCAAACATTCTGTTCATTCTGCTGGTTGCATAACTATATTGACTCGGAAATGACATCTAGTTTATTTTTAAAATTTTAGGACGACGACATACAGCTTGCAATACGGCTGTCGCAAAAAGAAGAGGAAGAAAGGCTGAAAGCATGTGAAGAACAAGAAGAAGAGTTAAAACGTATCATAAAACTATCCCTTATCGAAAAATGATGCTATTATTTAATAGTAGCATGGGATTTTATCCAGTTTTAAGCTTTCGATTATTGTTAATAACTGTAGTGATCACTAGCATCTGGTCTGTTGAAGCTATTTTCATAAACAAAATTCTTTGAAGTGCAAATGGTCTTTACTTTTATTGTTTAAATAGGTCATAATTCTACTAAAAAAATTTCAATAGAAAAAACAATTTAAACGTTTTTTATGAATTCATCTTTGATTTTAAATCCAAGCATTTCGTTTCTCTCTTGGTTTTCTTATTTTTCTATACATATATTTTTTCTCTCTCTCTCTCTCTCTCTCTCTCTCTCTCTATATATAT